CTACTGCAGGCCAGCGATCAATCAGATCTGCAGTTACACTCATTGTGGACGCACCTACCAACGACGCCATTAGCTTTTCATAGCGTGTGGCTTTGGTGTCTGTTTGTGGCTAATTGGCCCAATCCAGCTCAATCACTCACGCGTTATTGAAAACTGGCCACTCGAGGCCATCGCCACGGACGCGCCATTCATCGCGTGATGAACATTGCGATTGGCGTCGTTCCTAGCTTCTCTCTCGTGCCGCGGGCCCTGGCCGCTGTTTGGATCTAGGCAGCTCCTAACGCGGCTGTTCATCGGTATCAACAGAAATGTTTTTGTGCAACGGTCGCTGGTCAGTTGTCCAGCTTCTCCTCACGACACACGGTATTCTCCATCCCATGTGGGAGCCTCAGCGGGATCGCGATTGAAGCACGCTTACGAACTTACGAACAAGCGTCTTACAGCCCCCTGCAAAGTTTGATTTATTAAATGCCACATTTTTACAGTGGAAAGATTTTTTTCTCACATGGCGAACATACAGCATGCACGCAGTGGCGCGAGCTATTACTTTGCGCAGCCTCTCGTAGCTGCCATTGGTGTCGAGGTTAGCAAAGACTGGTGAGCCAAGTCTCCGCAGTCCGGCACGCCGGATATACGTCATGTTTCAAAGCAACGCGAGACTATGCTGTATCGTCCATTACAGTAGCTCAAGCAAGAGGGGACCGATGAAAGCTATCAGGCGCAAGCAATTGGCATGCACTGAGCTCCGCAGCATCGGCAATGGCTTGAAAGACTTTGCGTGGCAGGAGAACAATCTCAACTAGACAATGGGCGAGCACCATCTCGAGATGTTGCTCTTCTCCATAATTTCAACAGGTGAACAAGGATGGGGATTTTACGAAACGCCGTCGCGATTGTGGCGCGAACTTTCAAGTTTTCGTGACAGGCATTGGCGTTGGTGGAATGACCACACATGGAGAATCTCAAACTCATGCATCCAGACCCCTGCAACAATGCCAACATTTTCGTCACGACGTCACTACTCTCAGCCAGTCGTTGCCTCGAACTGGTAACAGCGGGCGAGGCAACCCCTCAGAAATAAGCAGCTAGTTCTCCTCATCAGCTCCACCGCAGAGACGACTTTCTGGTCCAGTTTACGAACTGCCATGTTCAGTCCGAGCAGTCTCCAAACAAGAGGAGCGCCTTTTCCAAATGTGGACGAGCTCATGGAGCCAATGGTGCAGCTTGGCCAGGATGTTTCGACGCCAAGCACCTGATATGTACCGGAACGTATAGGTACAGCCCCGACAACACGGTGTTGGAGCAGCTCCAGTTGTAGCGAGTGACTGGTGACGGATGAAATTACTTAGTTTAGTTCGCTGGTTAGCTTCGGACGGGCATTGGCCTGCATGCATTTGAAGCTCTGGACTGCTTCGAGGCTCGCCTCACTGTTTGAAATTTGTGCTTTCATGACGATTTCGACCGCAGCAATCCTGCGTGCTTGATTGCAGCTCGACTGAGGATGCGCCAGCCAAGACTTCATCCATGAACGGTTCAACGCCGACCAGTATATCAAACTTTGCTCCAGCGCTGGTCACTACCGCATTAGTACATATGGTACGACAACGCCTTGCCCCGTACAAGGAGCTCAGCTCTGCAGAACCTTGCTGCTGCAGAAATGACGCGACCGACCAATTGCCAGTCGTCCTAGGACTTGGGCGTCTTTTTGATGCCTTGCTATGTAGATGCCAATTGCGACTCGCCAACTTATAGAGCACGCCACTGGCGGAAATCTTCATTCTCGGTCACCAATTACGTACCGTTAGGGCGTGCTGGGAACAGACTTTTGCCCGAAGCAGCCGTACATGGATGGGATGCTTTATCAATCGCCGCATAGACTTGCTTCATTTCCACCGCTGACATCTCCTGCAGCCATTTTGCTAGCATATCCAGTAATCTCCCACCAACGAGCGACAAATCAGGCTCGCTCTGGCACGCAAACTGCCCGTATCTACATAGCTCCACGGCAGCTCTAGGGAAGCTACGAGCTTAGTTGCATCGACCAGGAGCGCCGACTTGGCTGGATTATCAAAGCTACTGCAGTCTGCGGAAAAGCCCATCAAGTCTGATGCACAGCAGATGAATAGATCAGCAGCTGCGCCCGTGCTAAAATAGCCATGTTTCCAGGTAAGAAAGGTATTATTATCCTGTCCAGCCACGCAGGTATACCTGCGGCACAGCATCCACGAATCTACAAGGGGATATCGGGCTTGAAGCACTGGCCACGCGATAGCTTTCTCCTCACAATATCAGGCAAGGCCCATTATTATGCAAACCATCCAAAAGTCAGTCCTCCAGACATCGGCTCAATGGGAACCGGTTCCATCAATACTGGTTACCGTCAATGCAGTTGTTGTTGAGCATCATAAATCATGAGACCAATGGGCTGTCAAAGGTGGCTGTTGTGAGCGGCTGAAAGACTCGGGCAACTCAACTCCTCAACAATGCAGGGTTTGGCGATGCTGGTAGGGGGCTTATCTAGGGTTGTGAGGGCTGTGAGACCTGCCTGAAGCTGACTGGCAGCATTTTAAGACATGGCACTTCAAGAAGCCATCACAAGTCGTCTGTTGCCGTCAGCCTCGGATGTCTGTCTCTGTCTGGGTAAGACTGAGGGGCAACAAAGCCGCACGGGCGACATTCTTGCCTTCCTAACATTGCTAATTGTGCTAGTTGGGGTGCGGAGTTAGACCGAACATGGCACCCTGGCCAACTCGCGCAAGATTTATTATTGCAAGTATTTGTATGCTTTGTGCAACAGTGAGAAAGGCGCACACAGAACGTCCTTGGCCCTTGCGCTTGTAGCACGACATCGGCGCCGTTTACATGCAGAACGTGTGCAAACCTGGGGATGGCCTTCTTGTTTTCCATGCAGATGATACGAAGTAGAAGCCCGCTGCTGCCTGCGAGCAAGGCCGAGGCACGGGTTCTTTGTCTCAGGTGGCATCAACGACAGTGCTGGGGGCGGATCCCGCCCCTAGGCGCTGCTGCATCCTGAAACCCTCATTACTAATTGATCTCTTCTGGCCGCGCACCGACGGCACAAGCAACATCATTTGGGTTGCATCTCTCCGTACGGATACGAGCAGCAGCCAGATTTAGACAGTGAGGGTGGACGGAAATGGCGCGAGTTGAGCCGTGATGAAGAAGGAGCGCGGGCCAAGTTACAACGGCCCAGGTCTCAGACCATGAAGAGAGCATGACTACTCCGTAGAGAGGGAGGGCCATTTCAACAAGGGCCGCGACCTATTCTTGGCTTTTGGCGCAGCAATCAACTCTAATCATCAAAGCACGGACGATCGTCTCAGCAGGCAATCATGGTCAGTGAGGCTGGCTCGGAAGCTGATCTGGAGAAGGCCATCTTTGGGAACGTCGAACCCGTGACGAGAATAGAATGTAGTTCTTTGTTCTACGATTGTTTCAAACAAGTGGTTTGTGGTGGCCGAAATCGTAAAATTAAAGAGATGGTTGGCGGAGCACGAGCCCAGTATCGGCCAGTGCTCCAGAGTCACCAAGATGAAGGGTTCGCGCTTGCTAGTGATGACATTGGAAGAGACGAGCTTAGATGTACAACAAAGGAAAAGGGCACGAGGCTACTCTTCCGAGAGACAAGGCGAAGGAGAGGAAGGAGGATCGTAATTTAATCCACCAACAGCCAAGTTGTTATGTGATGGCAGCCATCGAGGACAGCAGCAGAATAACGGCAAGGGACATTCTGGATAGAGTGTCAAGTAGAAAAGGGGTAAACAAATGCAAGGCAAAGGAACAGTCGCCTTGATCCGGTGTTACGGCTATAAGTGGCATACTTATTCGGTGACAGTGCCGTGACAACGTGTAACTTGCGATGGTTGACATTGATTGCATCCAGCCGAGGACCAACATGTACGAACCAATATAATGAGCTGAAACTAGAATGAGTCTTGCGCGTCCCAAGGCCGGGCAATCTATGAGAAAGTTGAACAAGTCTCTCTGCTGGCGCCGCCCATGTCGAGCCTCAGAAACACGCAACGGCGGCGTCGGAAGGGAACTCAGCGCAGCGGTTTCTCCCACTCATTTGCTACAATCGAAGAGTAAGAGAGATAAAGCTTGATCTAGGGATATCTTGCAAAGCACCAGACGATGCATGCAAGTTCTTCTTCAGTCAGTGCCCGATGGGAATCGGCCTCCCGTCGGGATCCGGAGCCGAAGTCGGACAGCGATGGAGTGACACACAGCAATACAGCAGTGTACCTCGTAGTTATTCGAAAGGGCATCCTGGAAGTTTTTGAAACCTTTCATATCCCCGGGCGCATCCGAGGGGTCCGGCCGTACTTCTCACCGGAGTTGGGTCGCAGCTCCGGCTGTTCACTGCCTCCCCAAGCACTGCTTCATCTCCAGTCCCGCCGAGAAGGCATGACCTTCCAGCGAGCGCTTGAGAAGAAGAACAGACACGAGTCCTACTCGCTATTTAGCCTTTTGTGCGTCTCACGTCCAAGCGGAGACGCCCTCGTTCGGTTACGATAACCCCTCTCGCTCGACCCCTCGTACAAGCTCTGGGCCCCCAAATACCACACATGCTTCGTACAGTCTTCCCTCATGGCTTGTAGTACTTGTTTACAAACAATCGGTCATTGTGAGCGGAAAGTGGCAACTACCTCTGCTTCTCACGGAAGATCGCGACACCAGCCTCTGTTCGCCACTGACATGTTCTCCAATATACTGGAACAGTTCCCCGGCTCATGGTAAGCAACGATCGATCGGGGTTTGAATTGGAATTCACTAAATAGCAGCGACTACACTGCTCGGATAATACAGGATTGCCCAACAAAGCTTCTCTTCCGAGCCGAGCCGGGGGAGTCGGTGTGCAACCGGTCCCTTGCACACGCCCACCGACTGAAGCAGCCAGCCAAGTCGGCCAAAGTGCCCCGTACAATCCCATTCACACGAGAGAAAGGAAAAGAGGCATGCCGTGCTGTTACCCGGCCCTACTTGAGCTTCGGGATGTCCTCCAGCAGCGCCTTGAACATCTCCGAGCCGCCCGCCGCGAGCCTCTCAAACTCGGGCAAGTTCTCCTCGATCCAGGCCTTGTCCCCCTCCGGCGTCGGCATGTTGAACCCGGCCTCACGGCTCGCAATCGTCGGCGTCACCCCAATCGCATGCAGCCAAACGCTCTTGTCCTCCGTCAGGTGCGGGTGGCCCTTGCCGCCGCCCTTGCCGACGGTCTCGTACCAGGCCTTCTCGATGCGGGCGGTGACGCGGTCGAAGCGCTCCTTGGTGCGCGCGGTCGAGTACCGCGCGTGGTAGAGGATGCCGTTGGGGAGCGGGCCGGGGCCGGCGGGGCGGCCGGCGACGTAGAAGGTGTTGGGGGGCGCGCCGCGGGTGTCGATGAAGCGCACGTTGACGAAGATGGGGGGCGCGTTGAACTCGTCGACGTGGGCGGCGGTGATGGCCTCGGCGAGGGACTGCTTCTGCGCGTCGGTCAGGGCGAAGGAGTGGTGGACTTCGAAGAGAGGCATCTTGGGCTGTTGGTGGTGGTGGTTGGTAGGTGTTGCAAGTCTGTCTTCTGGAGATGTTGTGATTGATGTTGTGATTGATGTTGCTGTGTCTAGGGAGAGAGATGACCCCCTATTTATAAGAACAACTCTGCCTGCATGCTGCGGTCTTTGGTCATGGTATCACTCCTTCCGGCGAGCAAACCTTACCAGTCCGTACCAACTCTCAATCCTCTCGGACGAGGTAGATGGGTAAATCATTACCCCAGGGGCTTCCACAGCACATGCAGCGGTCGTCTTGCCTCGGATATCGGACTTCCACGTAATGCAACCATCATTCCAAATCCTCTAGCTCGCATCAATACTCGACTCGTATTGCGTCAATGGGTGCTTTGAAAGCATACGCCATGTACCCGATTGATGATGAAGGCCTCAGAAGACGCATATAGCCGCTTCAGCTGGTGACCATCTGCCGACTCCAACATGCCGTTCCGGCCTTTTGCGTGCTTCCTTCAGCTTGGAACGCTCAATGAGTCCGGCTGCACAGATTCATCATCAATGATGCCAAAAAGTCCGAACTTCTCTCCGTCCTTCCCAGTCAGAGAGGTCATATCCAGCCATGTTGCTGCACGCAGCCCTGTGCAAGTGACTTGCAAGAGGTATATCCCTTGGCGCTTCTGCCGGAGTTTACCAAACTCCCCGGTCGCTCTGCTCTGCGCGGCAAGCACAGAAAGAGATGCAACAAAGCGGCCAAGGACGACGTTTGGGGGGACGTTGCCGAAAACTCCGGTCCTCTCCGTTCCCAACAGCCGCAGCCGCCGCCGCCCCCAAACTCCGGTCGGGGACGATTTAGCCAACAGCCACGCGACAAGTCAATTTCTGTGACTGATTGACGGCTATCGCTTTTCCCCGGACTCAAAAGACGATTCCGGAGAATAGAGACCCAATCTCTCAACAACTTGACCTCGATGCGGAGTTGGCAGAAGGACCGACGCCTTTTTGTGACAAAGCCCAGCAGCCCTAGAAAGCCGAGAAGCGTAGACGTTTTCTCTGGTCGATATCTCAGGGATGCGTCATCGCCCATCTGCCTTTACCATATTTCTACTTTCCCATGTCTGATTGTAGTAAGAGTCGCCGTTTGCGAAAGAAACGCACCCAGTCAGTCTTGACCGGGCCACCCTTACATCAAATCACAAGCTAGGCTTCAGTCATTTTCATGCAACCAAAAAAAGATGTTTCAACAGATCTGTCGCTAACTCCGGAAAACAAAAACTATTCAAGAAGGGCTTCAATCGCCACCTCATCACTACTCTCCCACACGCCAAGAATGAACTCCCCAAGTCTATTCTCCCAACCATGAAGTTTTTTTTAATTTCATCTCGCCATTCCTTCATCCCCGCTTGAACAAGAAAGAAAAAACAGCCTTGCCCGTCTATTACAAAGCGAAGCGCTGGGGTGGACTATAACAAAGCGCCCCCATTTTCATGCCAGTGAAAGAAATAGAGAAAAAGAAAGGCGTCGCCGGACTACAAAAAATAAGGAAAAGGGTCATGTGAATGTTACATGGGTAGTGGTAAGTTTCAATGAAGGTGAGACCTGGCATGTTGCCGGGTCAATGACGGTTCAGACATATTTAAGCGTGCGACGAGTCACTTGCACGTCGGACAGATGGCGACTTGGAGGAGCCTTCTGCAGTGCAGCAGCTCTGGCCCTGGCAATCTTCAATGCACTCCAGCAGGCAAGGGGCGGTAGGGTCATTCTGTCCGTCGAGAGTCAGCGCAGCAGCATCCCTCAAGTGCTCGTGGTCCTGGTCGAGGCAGAACTCGGGCTGGATGGTGGCACTGTGGATGCCAAACTCGTGGAGGCAGTTGCGGGCACGTTTGGCGAGCTGCATGTACTTTTCGCCGCTGTGGGTGTTGATGGGGAACTCAACCTGGAGGTGCATGCTGGCGACAATCTTGGTGTCCGAGAGCTGCCAGACGTGGATGTGGTGGCAGCTGACGACGCCAGGCAGCCTCTCGATATCCTGACGGATGTCCTTGATGCTAATGTTCTCAGGGGTGGCCTGCAGCAAGATGCGCGACGTTGCAAGGGTGAGGGGGATCGACGTCTTGAGAATAATGAGGGTGATGAAGAGCGAGACGGCTGGATCAGCATAGTGCTTGCCGGGCCACTCAGTGAGCCAGATAACGAGGGCAGTTGCGATGACGCCGACATTGCCGAGGGCATCGCCGAGAACGTGGAGCATCATGGCGTTCATACCCATGTCGGCATGGTTGTGGCCAGTAGTCTTGCCAGCCTTCTGAGGGAGGGTATGGTTGTGACCGGCGTGGACGCTCGAGTTTCGGCGGGTTCGGTGTTTGGTCTTGGTGGTGCGAGGCTTGATGGCAGTGGCACCATTGTTGCTGCCCTTCGAGTCGTGGAGGAGGGGCGAGGTCTCGGTTGCCTCGGCCTCGTCGGCGGTAGGCTCATCAGTAAAGGATTCGCTGTCCTGCTGAGCGGGTGGGTGGTGCAGGCCGGCGGCAATAATGTCCTGGCGGAAGCTGGAGGGGTGGATGCTCATGTCGTCAATGCTGGTGAAGCGCGAGTGCTGCTGGGCCTTGCCGGAGAGGCGACGACCGCGTGTCTGGCTCTCGGACGAAGCGCGGGCGTGGGCGGCGGCTGTGAGCCTGCCGACGACAACATCGGGGTATACGTCCTCAACAGGACCGGACTCGTCGGCGACGTTGCGGCGCTCCTCGTCGATGTCATGACTATGCGAGTGGCTGTGTTCATGGCCGTGACTGTCGTCGTGGCCATGTTCCTCGTCACCGTGACCGTGGTCGTGGCCGTGGCCGCCGAGAACAACAAAGCCGAGCAGGTTAGAGATTAGACCAGCAGTACCGACAATGAGGATAAGTTTGGGCTGGGTGATCTCGGGAGGCTCGACGAATCGGGTGAGGGCTTCGAGGATGATGGAAACGCAGAGAGCGATGAGGAAGACGGCGTTGAAGAAGGCACCCAGGATCTCGGCGCGAACCCACTACAAGAATGTTAGGGAATAATTGGCGGCAGTGATTAGACTTAATGGAGAGGACGTACGCCAAAAGTGAATTCATCAGTAGTTTCCTTTTGCGAAGCGACAACAGCCCAGAGACCGATAATGAGGGAGATGATGTCGTTGAGCTATGCATCAGGCTTGGTCAGCAAGGCGGCGTTGCGCGGCGCGGAAATGCAGAGGCGTAGAAGGTGGCGAGTGAACGAACCATGTGGAAGGCGTCGGCGGTAAGGGCGAGAGAATGAACAACGAAGCCGGATATGAGTTCAAGGAGGAAAAAGGCAGTATCAATACCGATCATGATTTTGATACGGGTGCTCTTGGAGAGCGCCGACTTGGAGGCCATGGTGGGCAAGGCTGTGTCGTTGTTTGCGCCTGGCAGGCAGTTGGGGGTTGACTGGAAGCAATTGTAGGTCGGAAACAGGCAAGAGTAGAGTTGAACGAAAAAGAAGAATGAGGCTTGAGGGAGAAAGGAAGGAAGGAAGAAGAGAAGAAAAGGATCCAAGCAGAGGCGGGAGGGATGGATGGAGAAGGACGGAAAACCTTTTTGAGGGCCCTGCAGTCTGTGTGTGGTGGGATGGATGATGAAAAGTAAAATTATAGGCCGACGCAGGAAGCAATGCAGCGATGACGGACGGTTTGGAGTTTATTTGGGGGTGGCGTGGCTGAGAAGGCGAGAGGCCTGATAAGGTACATGGCACTACTAAACAATAACTGGATAGTACAGGTACCGAGGCGTGGGACAGAGGGGGAGTTAGTTACAGTGCATCTACGGGTAGTTCTGCCACTAACGCACAGGGCACCTGGGAGCCGAGACAGGCCAAACCTTGGATGGACTCGAGCCTCGACGGATGGCCGCAGTGCCGACAAGCAGGCAGTAACTGTCAGGGGGAGAGCGTACCCGAAGCACACTGGAGAACTTCCCGCAGCCCTGTATTCGCAGGGAGTACTGGGAGGTAGCTAGAGGTATCGCCAAGGTATTTATCTCGTCTGCTAGCGGCCCCAAAATAACACTACAGGTAGGTTTGGAATGTTGGCCGAAATATAAACCTACGGATACTGTTGCTCCCAATAAAAAAGGCAATATATCCCTGTAATAACATGACTTATATCTCAGCCTACAGGGAGAGAGGGAAGCTGCAGGTGAGACTGCATGTCGTGTAACCCGCAGCACAACGGCTTCCCTCAAGTATGTGACTACCAGCTTGCTTCGCAAAGAAAAGGATGCCTACTAAATTTAAGCATCTCTATTCGAATAACACTCCCAGCTTTCTGGTCGGCGAAAACTTATCATCTAGTCGTTGTGCTATTTATCCCTCTTCAACCTCACATATTGGGACTCTCGATAATAACGTCACACTGCAACTCCCCAGATCGGCAAGATGCTTCCAGCGCCCTGTGCCACTAGCCGAAGGCACTAGTCACGCTTCCAGGGGTTGTTTGCAGCCACCAAACCCTGCGTTTCCCTTGCTGAGCAGCCTTCTCACATTCAAAGTTGACAAACGACAACGACTTCCTTGGCTATCGACGAATAAGCCGCCTTATCAAATCTCGCTTCTCCCAAGTTCCCCCAATTTGCCGTCGCACCATCCAAATTCCTTCCGCCTCCCTCCGCGTTTCCCAGCATGATCAGCGCCGCCCAGCCGCCAAGCTTACCTCCGTATAGCGGGCCTTGGAAGAAACACTCCAACGTCACATCTCGCCCTTGCGGGGTGCGCAAACGTGCTCGTCCACCCTGTCAGCATTCGCAATTCATCTCCCATCAATGTCTCTCTTCTAGTCCCAATGTCTCTGCCGCCGAGCTCATGCCCCTTGCTACAGGCAGCAAGACACAGGCAAGTCTCGCCGAAACGCACGACACAAGAGCTGCTTTGGGTGCTGGATAAAAAGCAATAACAAACCAGGAAATCAACCGACTGGTAACAAGCATCCACCACGGCTGCATGAACAGCGGTTCGGTGTCACAAAGACCAGCCCGCCCAGACCCTGCACCAGGACAAGGGTTGCTGCATCCTTCAGAGCCACGTAAACGTTGGCATTGTTCTATTCGTCTACGGAGAACCTTCCTGCATCCCTGGAGTTTCCTTGTTTCCAGTACGGATACTCAAGGCCGATACGCATCACTCGGCACTTGTTGGGTTACTCCTTAGCTAGTGTCACGACTATCTGTACCATGACTCGCTGTTTGAGCGGCTTCAATCAGCTTGGTCCAACAACCAAAAAGACTCTACCAAGCAGTCGCTTCTCGCCAAAGCTACAGTCCAATAACATTAAAACGCCAAAAGTGGCCTGACTTTCAACAACATCGGCCGCTAATTCCCCGGCTTGGTGCCCACACAACTCGGACAGCATTTAATATCCCTCCCAGGTAAGGAGCAACTAACTAGACTAAAACACTTGCTGCCAGCGCCGAACTGAAAGCCTGGGCTGCGGTGCTGGGTAGTTACCGGCGCGGACTCCGGAAATATATCCGTCGCAAGGTTTAGATCAGCAAGTTCACCTTCCACTTTCACTCGACCTGCGCACCGCCACTTCTGCGTTGACAGACGGCATCGAATCCTTGAGCACATTGCCGTTGCTCAGTACTCAACACTCAACCCGGAGCCTCCCAAACGAGCCCTGCAAGTCGTTTTCCGCCGATTCCATAAACCTTGCATCTGAGAACGCGGTCAAGCTCGTGATAATCTCAGAACAACTTGCCGATTCACATCTCACCCAGAAGAAGAGAATTTCCATCGTCCATAGTCTGCCGACAATGCGAATCCGGCCGCCCCTAGCGACCGGGTATCGGGTCCTTATTACTCCCCCAGTGGGCGGAGATGATGCAGCTTATTTTCAGCTCCATGCGACGCCATCCCAGCCCCGGATAGAAAAGGCCCGTACGAAGTTGCCAGGATGGCGCTCCCACACGTTGTAGGGGTCCGTGGCGCCCGCAGTAGCTGACTTTTTGAACTTGATATGTTGCTTGCTAGCCATGCAGCTGCACTTGGAGCAAGGTGGCGTTGGAAGGAACTAGACATTACCAAGCCCAATTGTACGTTGATATGTGACAATCACGCTTGGGGTGGCTGCCCTCGAGAAGCAGAAGCTATAAGAAAATTTTCACCAAGGAGTAGAGATACCATCCATCAAAGCAATATTCACGATCCCACTTGTATTGGTTTTTCTTAGCAACGATGCAGGAAAACTCGGCATCCTACTCCACTGCTATCGACGAATGTCCACTACGGACCTCCACTCGATGGCTGATGAGCTTCGGAGATGGCTGAGATGGATCATGGGACTGGACCCAATAATGTCAAATAGTGTGGTATCTCGCGTTGTGACTCCATCTGCAAAAACTCGACAACACTGCGCGGGAAGCGACGCCCCGTAGGATGACTGTGTATGCACAGCAAAGGACAGCCTCGTCGCGTACCCAGCTTTTCATTTTTTGCACCAGCCGTGGGCGGGGCTGTTGAAAAATACACGCTTGTTATGAGCGATGTTTTGCGACAATAATAAGGCTGCGTACAGGCATTGGGCGACGAAATGAAGTTGGGCGAATGGCAGTTCCTTGCAGTCCAGCGTCAGCCGATTCATCTGGAGGCAACTCCCGGACATTGTGCATATGTTCCACGCTTTATAGAGAGGTAGATAAGATGCAGGCGCTATACTTAAATATAAGGTTGTTATGTGTAAAAGTTGTTATGTTCTCGCACTTGTAAGACTTCGGCTCTAGAGTGTTATAACCCTAGGTAACCCTAGATAGGCAGCTGTTGTTGATTGTCAGAGTAATAAACAACACTATAGTACGGTCTACCAACGACCAGCTCGTCAACTACAAGACTGAATGATATTAATTAGTCACTAATAGATGGTATGTTTATATTACTCTCATTGCCGCATCGAAGGCTACAAGAGAGAGAGTGATTTTGCGGCAATGTCAGTGCGATAAAACATGCCGTCAAACTGTATCGACTTGACTGCGGCATACGCATTATAAACGGCTTCTCGTAGGCTTGAGCCAGTTGTGGAAACAGAAAGCACGCGTCCCCCGGAAACAACGAGCTGCCCGTCGACGAAAGCGGTGCTGGCGGGGAAGATTTGCACATCTTGAGTAGGAAGAGGTCAGCAAGCTTGTAGAATGACGGTCGTGAAGGTGCTTATCTTTTGGCAGAGGATGCAGGACGATGGCTCCTCCTTTGATATAGTCCGGCAGTGGACACCCTGCTGCTGTCACAGTGACGTTGCACGCAAAGTCCGAAGAGACGTCGATGGTGGCATCTGAAAGACTCCCGTTGGTGCAGGAGAGAAGGACCTGCGAAAGATCTGTGTCTTTCAGGAGTAGCATTAAGGCCTGTGTTTCCGGATCGCCAAATCTGGCGTTGTACTCGATCACCTTGGGACCAGAAGAGGTGAGCATGACCCCAGTAAACAGCATGCCAACAAAGGGACGTCCGTCTAGCTCGAGCCCGCGGAAGGTTGGTCGCAATATCGACCTCTCAATCTCCTCCATGTCGGTAGCACTGACAAATGGCACAGGGGCATAGACGCCCATGCCGCCAGTGTTGGTTCCAAGGTCGCCATCGTACGCGCGCTTGTGGTCTTGTCCTGGTGGAAGAGTTCGCGTCGTCTTGCCATCGCTAAACGTTGGCACGCTTATCTCGTTTTCATCCACGTACTCTTCGATCACCACGGAATCACCGGCCGATCCAACTCTGCCCTGTACCATGATCTCCTCGAGAGCACGGTGTGCATCTTCTTTGTCCACGGGGAGAACAACGCCCTTTCCTGCTTCCAGGCCGTCAACCTTGATCACCACGCGATAGTCAAGGCTCTCCAGGTATTGCTTGGGTTTGGCGTAGCTGTTAAAGGTTTCGTAGGCAGCGGCAGGTAAGACATGTCGTTTCATGAAATCCTTGGCGAAGGCTTTGAATTCCTCAACCTCGGCAGCCTCTCTCTACTCAGCGCAAAGCAGGGAATGCCACCTAAAAGATTGCGTTTAGTGGAAAAGGGTGGTGAGTTTGGCAGGGCGCAGGGTAAACTCACTGCCTCGGAAGTAGCCCTCGATACGATCCACCACTGCCTGGTCTGATCCGGCGACCACAAGACCTGGCCCCAGGCGCTTGCGAGAGGAGAAGCAGCTGAGGATAATCATCGGTGGCCGTGTCGCTAACGTTGGAAACGCAATTGCCGAGACGCTCCATGCCGCCATTCCCAGGGACCACGTAGACGTGCTCAACCAGAGGGGATTGTATGAGTTTCCAAGCAAGCGCGTGCTCCCGCCCACCACTGCCCACCAATAAAATCTTTAGTGATCCAACTATCACGGATGCTATGGAGATGATGTCCCCGCACTTGGTCTGGAGGTTATCTCTAGAGGCTACAGGCCAAATTCGTGGGGTTGTGAGAGGCCTGCTGCACCCTGTGGCTGATTGTGCAACCTCATCTTCTGCCTGGCGGCAGATTCGAGCACATTGTTTTGACTCACGCCCCATGTATCACAGTGAAGTGGGCCTCAGGGCACTGCGATATAGAAATCAATGAAGCCGCCGATAAACTAGTCGGCTCCCACGATCTCGTAGGTGAGGTAGCAAAAGCAGAATGCTGCAGGACTTCTGCCAACGGTAAGAGACTCAGAGGGAGCACATATACGATTCAGTAGACCGCTTTGTAGCCACCAAGCGGATTCCAGTTCCTTGCACGGTCCAGCGGCTTGTCTCGCAGAAGCTCCTAACTATTGTGCATGCGTTCCACGAGGTTGTGATGTGTAAAAGTGCTATGTTCCTCGCACTTATAAGACTTTGCTAGTAACCCTAACCCTAGGTAGCCCTTGGTAGCAGTCATTTTGATTGCGAGATTGATAAAGCACGCCATGCCACGAATGAATTCCTAATAATGCTACTACTGACACGAGATATAAAACATTAGGATCGCATAGAAGAGTATAAAAACCATAAATGTATTTTTTATAATTAACATGAAATAAATTATACACAATCGTCAAATTATACACAATCGTCGCCTTACAACCCCGCGTGGCTCATCAGCGCCACAAAACACCAGCCATACCCGTCGAGTCGTCCACTGGCCCCGCTTCCCTCCGATCGTGCGTTTACTCCTCACGGTCGAGCTCAACCTCAGACAACTTATCGAACAACGAGCCACCAGAAGCAAAAAGAGAGGCATGCCCACGGGTCTTCTCCATTCTACATAGAGCAAGTAAATTGCAGCGCCGAGTCTATATCACAACTCTACACCATCCATAAACACCGCCGCTTTCCCCACTCGCGATCGCGGCTCCTTTCGCCATGCCTGAAGCACCGCTTACATGCGACGAGGTCCTGGGCCGCGGGTGGAATGACTTCTCGGAGAGCGAGATGCGATCACTACTCCGGGCGGAGCGCAAGAAGATGACAGAGACGTTCCGGGAGCTACCTAACGACAGCAGGCCGCCGACAAAAGCCTTTGACGGCTGGTACGAGCTGGCGCCGTTCCAGCTGCGCTGGCAGCTGGATGAGTACCTCGACGAGGTGCCCGAGACGATTGACGGCTCAGCACTGCCGATCCCCGGTGCCCGGGCCATCATCGCTCCGTGAGTGCCATTCTCCCACCCCTGTTTGCATCAGCCTCAGGAAGGTTCGGGTTGTTGTGTGCAAGGTCGCTGACCCCCGGTGCGCTGCGCAGCCACGCGGGATACGCCTACTCGGGACGGTGCTCCGCGTGGGCCTTTCGCTGCCTGGACCTCTCCCGGGCGAAGCGCGTCTTCGTTCTGGGCCCAACGCACACCTATTACTTCCGTGGCCTCGCACTTTCCACCTTTTCCGAGTACCGCACGCCGCTCGGCGCGCTCAAGGTCGACCAGGAGACGCTGCGGGCCATCTACGCGGCCGCCGAGTCCGCCGGCGCCCCCGAGGTGCGCAACATCCCGCAGCGGCGCGAGCTCGAGGAGCACAGCCTCGAGATGGAGATCACCTTCCTCCACCAGCGCTGCGAGGCGGCGTTCGGCTCCTCCGCCGAGTTCCCCGCCATCGTGCCGATGCTCGTGTCCGGGGACGCGGCGAACGAGGAGGCGACGGGCCGGCTGCTGCTGCCGTACCTGCGGGACCCGGCCAACGCGTTCGTGGTGAGCTCCGACTTTTGCCACTGGGGGCGGCAGTTCGGCGACTACCGGCCGTACTTTCGCGGGGGCGAGCGCGCGCGCAGGGTCAACCTGCGGGACGCGGATGCGCCGCCGCGGGACCCCCCGATCCACGAGTGCATCAAGATGCTGGACGACGAGGCCATCGCGGCGATGGAGACGGGCTCGCACGCCGCGTTCGTGGCGAACCTCGAGGACACGGACAACTCGGTGTGCGGGCGCCACCCGATTGGCGCGATGATGGCGGCGCTGGAGATGCTCGGTGCAGAGCGGCAGGAGGGGGTTGAGGGCAAGGAGAGCCCGCGGTTCAAGCATGTCCGGTACGATAGAAGCACGCTGCTGACCGACCCGATGCAGTCGAGCGTAAGCTATGTGAGTGCGTACGCGAAATTTTGAGGAAATGGGAAGGGACTAGGCATGATGAAGCCCTCATGGTGGCATAGATGTATTGTAGAGGCATATCTTATCGCATGAGCTTACTCTTCTTTGCTTTATTTTCCCGTCATTATGTTGTTAATTGCGGTATATTCTCCGGGCATGAAAACACGACATTACAATGAGATTTTCCGCGCACCGAAGATGAAATGCGAATTACATGATTATGTGAGGATAATGGAGTTATGTCTCGCAACCTCAAGTAGGACACTAGTTGAACGTGTACAGAGTACGGACACAAGTTACGATGGCGGAAGAGGTGGCCGAATAACCGGCGTACCTAATTTGTGTACCACCAACGACATTATATCCCTAGATAAATTTTATCATAAAGAAGCTAATTCATCTACCAAATGCCGTCACTTTACTCTATGTTTCGACTGTTAGCTGGCAGAACACGCTTCCCGCGTCTTGTTAGGCTTAGTACATGTTAGCTAAACGGTTCGTTCGTCTGCTTCCATCACTCAGCGGCTAAGCTGATCGTAAAATAAATAAGGAAAATTTAAATGAAAGCCAATAAAAAGCTACATAAAGAGCTTTACCGACCCAAACCAGCGAAAACGGTGCGCAAAAGTGGTCCCTGTTGCAAACTATCGTGGATGTATAGGGTAGGTAGCTAATGATTTCGCCGACGCTACCGCCTTACCCTTTCGGGAATTTTGCAACTTCTCTCCCGAAATTCCTTCTCGTTCATTGCACGCGACCGTGGTTCAATCATTCTCGACGCCCTCGATCCCGCGCGCGGTCTGCCAGAGCTGAAATCGTTGCGGAGAAAGCCCAATTGAAAATTGCACAATCCAGACGACTCACAAACGCCTCGACGCGAAGCAGCCATGGACAAGATTGTCAGGCGTGTGGCGCTCGCCCAGCGCTCTGCCACCCGCAGAACTCAACGAGCCACGAGGCGACAGAAGATCCAGTCATACTACCGCGCCGACGGCACGATAAAGGTGGCCAACCGAGAAATCATCGACAACATCAAGGATGCCAAAAAGGCCGCCAAGGAAGACTGGGAGCTCGGCCCCCTGGCTCCCCAGCGCGACCTGGGCTTCAACAACTACGGCGTCGTGACGCAGCCCATCCGCCAGGACTGGAGCAACTACGGCCAGATCAAGTACCAGACCAAGCTCGCTGAACAGCGCTGCGCTTGGGCTGGCGGTGCCAAGATGCTCAACCTGGCCCCGGGCGACAGAGTCGTCATATTCGAGGGCCACGACAAGGGCAAGATTGACACCATCAAGACGATCCAACCCGAGACCGGCTCACTCACGCTAGAAAAGTACAACAGAGTACGTTGAAGCTGCTGGCATTCAGACATTGCACATTTCACTAATATGCCCCCCTCAGGCCATGGTTAAGAGCATGCTCGATCAACCTCCCCGCTCGCAGCCCATACCCCTTTCCGTCGACGCTGTCCGACTCGTATACCCCCTACCCGACCCCGTCACGGGTGTGACCAAGGACACCGTCATCCGGCAGCTCAAATCGGTGCCGCCGCGGATGGAGTCGCCCAACATGACCATCGAACGCTGGCGGTACGGCAACAAGTGGGACCGCGTGGTGCCGAGCCTTAACCGCATCATCCCCTGGCCCGAGACGTCGGCGCCCGAGTTCGAGATGACGGCCAACGACACGGCGCGCGAGCAGGTCGAGGAGCGCACGTTTTACTACAGCCTCACGGCGCCGCCCATGCCCGAAGGCGTCATCGACGAGCTTCGCAACAAGTACTCCAAGTTCCGCACCCGGCACGAGGGCTGGTACGTGGCCGCGAAGGAGGCTGAGGCCCGGGCCGAGGAGCGCAGGGGCGAGGCGGCGCGCTCCATGCAGACGCCGCTGGAGGAGTTCAACGAGATGCAGCGCGCGATCCGCGACGCAGGCGGCGAGCCGGAGCTGTCGGAGGACATGCTGGCCAAGATTGGCGAGGTCATGGCCAAGAGCAAGGCCGAGGCCCTGAAGCGAGCTGGTGTATCGGAGGTTGAGTCGAAACAGTAACGTGTTTCCGTGCATTGTTGAAATGGGCATTGTTGGGTGTAAAGACTGTTGACTGCTGGGCTCGTCTGTCAAGAGGCAACTGGCGCTGGCATGTGTACTACTCCACCGGGGACTTGTATATTACGATTTGAAAATAGAAATTTATCGAATACATTCTCTTTCGCAGGTCAATGAGAATTCGGGAACCAGTTTGTGATGATGATATGGACCTTGGACGTAGCTAATTACACTTGTAACATACATACATGCCTTTTGGGACAGCCATTTTCGGGTATATAGAATCCAAGCAGTACCCAAGCTCAAATTCGCCGCGACATTTTCCATCCTCTTTCACTATATATATGCCTCATGTAACCAGCGTTACACTACTCGGCGAAAGCTACCCGGCCGTCTCCGACCGAGGAGGGGAAAAAAAAGAAAAAAAGCCATTCGAGGTTGGCTTGGCCGTTGATAACACCCCGCGCTGGCAGCCCCCCACCCCGCCGCAACCGATAGATAGAGTTGCAAGCTTGCCACCCCCTCCCTTTCCCTATCTTATCCCATAGCTACTCCAATTCATCCTACCCAAGACAAGGAAGGGAGCCGAAGAAAATCACAAGATCGTCATGTCGCACTCACACGAAGGCGTGTCCCACTCGCACGATAGCGGCTTCAACGCCCAGGAGCACGGCCACTCGCACGAGATCCTCGACGGGCCGGGCAGCTACGTCGGGCGCGAGATGCCCATCGTCGAGGGCCGCGAGTGGTCCGACCGGGCCTTTACCGTCGGCATTGGCGGGTGCGCCTTTTCTCTCTCTGCCCCGTAACTAGACGCTTCGAAAGCTAACAAAAATTCCGGACAGCCCCGTCGGCTCCGGCAAGACGGCGCTCATGCTCGCGCTGTGCCTCGCCCTGCGCCAAGAATACTGCCTCGCCGCCGTCACCAACGACATCTTCACGCGCGAGGACGCCGAGTTCCTCACCCGCCACGCCGCCCTGCCCCCCGAGCGCATCCGCGCCATCGAGACCGGCGGCTGCCCGCACGCCGCCGTCCGCGAGGACATCTCCGCCAACCTCGCCGCCCTCGAGGACCTGCACCGCGCCTTCGCCACCGACCTCCTCCTCATCGAGTCTGGCGGCGACAACCTCGCCGCCAACTACAGCCGCGAGCTGGCGGATTTCATCATCTACGTGATTGACGTGAGCGGCGGTGACAAGGTGCCGCGCAAGGGCGGGCCGGGCATCACGCAGAGCGACTTGCTGGTGGTGAACAAGACGGACTTGGCGGAGGCGGTGGGCGCGGACTTGGCGGTGATGGAGCGGGATGCGCGGAAGATGCGCGAGGGCGGGCCGACGGTGTTTGCGCAGGTCAAGAAGGACGTGGGCGTCCAGCACATCGTCAACCTGATCCTGAGCGCGTGGCGGGCGAGCGGCGCGGAGGAGGAGCGCAAGAGCAAGGGTGGCCCCAAGCCGACTCCAGGCCTGGAGAGCCTGGCGAAGTAGGGAAGTCGAGATATTACCAAGCTGCGGTGCTTGAGAACTATAGTATGGGAGAAGATAAAACAGGAGGTCGCTCAAGGTGGTCCTTTGCGAAATGGAAAGAGAATAAGTTCAAGCATTTCATGAAATTTTTGTTACCCTATGAACCGAATTTTCCCAACACGTTAATGCGTACGTAGTCCGTTGTCATGATATATAAGCGTAAATTCCACTCTCTGCCCCGAGTCTCCAGTTCCCGTAAATCATTTTTGTAGCTTCCCTTCTTTCTTACGCCATGGTCAAGTCGCCATCACCTTCAACAGCACCAGCAACGGATCCCGCTTCCAGCAGAGACTCGCGGATCGGCATCGCGTTGCGCGGCCAGACCCTCTTGTACAGGCTGATGCCGATTGAGTCTTGCGGGTTGATGCGACCATCAAACGTGGCCTTGAAGTAGCCGTGTGTGCCGAGCGGCTCCTTGACGTAGCCGCTGCGGCCGCGCCTCGTCCACAGCGGCATGGCCTTGAACCACTCCACGTCCTCGCGGTTGAAGAACATGTAGCGGATGGTGACGATCTTCTTGTTGATGTGGTACGGGTGGCCCGTCAGGATGATGCGCTTGGCGACGACGCGGTTGGTCGACGGCGGCAGCGCGGTGCCGGTGCCGATGAGGGCTAGGCCGGGGCTCGGGCCATCTCCCTCTTGCAGGACTTCACCGGGCGTCGTGCGCTTGAAGAAGAGCACGGGGACGGCGCCCCAGGTGACGGGGCCCATGAAGGTGGCGATGGCGCTGCCGCCGGGGTGCAGGTAGCGCGCGTACTTGTGCACGTCGTTGGGTGTGGTGCCGGCCTGCGAGAAGAGCGGGTTGATGACCATGCGGCGCGGGCCACACTGCACGATGATCTCCTCCTTGGACTTGACCGACTTGCCGTAGTCGGTGCTGAGGTTGAAGAGGTAGTTGACGGCCGTCTTCTTGTTTTCGTGGCGGAAGAGCGAGAAGAGCGTGACGTGCGACGTCGGCTTGTGGGACTGCGCCAGGCTCGGGGCCATGCCCTTGACGAACACCTGCACGCGCGTGCCGGGCTCGACGCCGCCGACGAGGGCCTCGCGGACGGCGCGCGACTTGGACGAGGCGTAGTCTGGGATCTGCAGGAGCCGGCGCCAGTCCTCGGGCTCGTGGGCGCGGTCCTCGTCCTCCTGCCACACGCTGGTGCGCAGGCTCTTGAGGCCGCGGTAGCGAGAAAGGCGCTCGCGTGCGAGCACGTGTGGGTGCAGCTCGATCTCGTCGGGGAACTCCTTGTCGTCCTCGGCCTCGTCACGCTTCTTCAAGCGGTACTGGGCCAGCTGCTCGGCGTCGGCCGCCTCGTCTAGCTCCTCCATCATCTCCGACTGGGGGTACTCAGAAGGACCAGCTTCCGTGGGCTCTGGCTGAGCATAGCCCTCAATGCCGTCTTCCGGAGCGGCTTCGTACTCGTCGGCGTGGCTGTCCTCCATTTCCATGTCTTCCATGTCTGACTCGGAGTCAGACACATCCTCGAGATACCAGGCCGATTGGTACTTGGATGTTCCTTTGGGAACCTTTCTCCTTTCTTGCTCTGCCTTTTGCTCCTCTTCCTCGTCAGAGAAGTAGTGGTGGTCGTCAAGAAGCACACCCTTCTTGGGGGCGGCAGGATCTTCCTCAGGCTCGTCAGCATCCATGACGACGTCCTCAGGAGCCAATTCGTTCAGGTCATCGCGATCGTCGCTGGGCTCGTCGAGCAACTGGCTGGCCTCGTCCTCGGCCGATTGCGTAGCATTGCCTTTGCCATGTTTGGAGAGCGGCGCAGCGACAATCTTTTCAACCTGAAAAGTACCCCAGTCACCAACTTGCACCAGCCTATCGGCCTTGAGGCCCCGACCACGGACCACACCAGTAATGACCGTCGAGTCCGATTCGGTGTTGGCGAACTGAATATCCTCAGCGAGCATCCAGCTGCGCTCATCCCTCCATCTTACCCCCTTGGGCGTTGTGCTGCATAGCGAGCGCATCAAATTGGCGCATTCTTGTCTATTTTCGAGATTGAAGACCTTCTCCTGCTCGGGGTGGAAATGCGTAATGAAGGACTTGAGAGAGCTGACGACGCCAGGGCGCTGCTTGGCGGGCTCAATCTTTTCTAGACCCTGAACGACGGTGAAGAGTGTAGACAAACCCTGGCTCTCGACTGCGCGCAAGATGAGCTCGCCAAGAGGGTCGACTTCGACGGACGCAGAGAGCACGACGACGACAAAGTCGGCAACACGAGTAGCATCGAGGCACTCAGTGAGATCGCGCTGGAGGGGGATATATTGGAGCTTCTGCTTGAAGCGGTCGACGGGGACTCGAAAGTTTCCGGGCTGAACACTGGCCGTAATGTCTAAGCTGCCATTCAGCTGCTCGATGGCGGCGGCGGCATCACCATCGGCACACAGCGGCAGGACGGCAACGATTCTGGGGGCGCCCTCGCGGCTGTTGAAAATAGAGGAGCTCTTGAGGTGCTCCTTGTGCTTGGTAAGGCGGGTCTGCTTGGCCTGGTTTCGTCGGTCAAACTTGGACATGACTTGTTGATGCGGCGTCTTTCGCGATCCTTTCTCGTTGGGTACCCGGCCTGGGGGAGGAAAAGAGTTAGCCTTTGGAAAAAAATGATGTTAGAAGGGCGAATGTATGTCTTACCCTTGGCACGGTCTCGCAACTCGTGCTTGGAGGCGGCCTTGGACTTGAAGGCCTTGTGGGTGACCTTGGTGGTTGGCCTATGGGAATGGGCCACGGCGGCAGGCATTTTGCCTTCACCGGCTTTGAAGCGGAAAGGAAGGGAGGCCAGGTTGAGAGCGGTGCAGCTTCTGGCTGGAGGGTAAGGATGGCGAGTTCCTGTAAACTGGAAATTTGTTGTTTCTGGCGCAAGACTTGTAAAGGCGGCAGTCGACAAGCGGCGGCGGGGTGCGATGGTTATCAAGAAATTTTTGTGTGGCCAGCGCTGATAAGTTTTAGTGGTGGTGGGCTGGATGCCCGCCCCATGGGACACCGTGATGGCGGCGTGAGGGTCCACGAAAGGACGATGAGTTTTGAACTAGAGGATTGCACACAAATATACAGAATCACTAATATTAACTATTTTTCCATCTTTGTCTCTAAATAATTATGAATTCTTGCTGGCTTGCCTATGACAGTCGACTTTGGTAATCATCTTATGGGGGTCTCCTTTGGGCAAGTGGGGATCGACACCGCTTATCGATACCAAACTTTTTTTTTCTCGACCTGAATTCTCCAGAATTGACTGCTACTGGCATCACCAAAGTACTGTCCACCGGAATGCTTGCCACGAAATTTTACGTCATACCACCAGCCAGAATTCTCCGTTAACCTTGACCAATAAACTTGCACCTTAATCGAGCGCCGCGACAATGTCTACAGACGTGGTGGCTGAGGCCAGTGCCACCGTGCGCGACAATGGCGCGGTCGCAGTAACCACAGCGGCCAAGACCGACCTCATTCCTCGCCACGAGAAGGAGAGAATGAAGCGCTTACGCGAGGCCAAGAAGGCTTACGGCCGTGGAAAGGCAATCGACACCAAGAATATTCGCGACAAGAAGCTGCGCGCGAACATGAAGCAGCTCGAAGGCAAATATCACGAGGCGGCCGTCAAGGCCAAAGATGCAGAAATTCTGCTCGAACACACTTCGGGCTTCCTCGAGGCCGAAGGCGAGATGGAAAAGACATACAAGGTCCGCCAAGAAGACATCCTTCCCGAGGTGGCGATGGAGACGGCGACGAAGCGATTTGAACTCAAACTAGACGCCCTTGGCCCATATGTCTTTGACTACTCCAGGAATGGTAGAGAACTGCTCCTCGGCGGGCGTAAGGGTCATGTCGCGACTATGGACTGGCGTGAAGGCCAACTTGGTTGCGAGATTCAGCTTGGCGAAACCGTCCGTGATGTCAAGTGGCTGCACAACAACCAATTTTTTGCTGCGGCGCAGAAGAAATACGTCTACATCTACGACCGCAACGGAGTCGAATTGCATTGCCTTCGCAAGCACGTCGAACCTACACATATGGAATTTCTGCCCTACCATTTCCTCTTGGCCACAATTGTAAGATGGACGGCGACTCTGTACTGAGAACAAAGCAAGGCTAACCTGACAATAGGGAAACGGCGGCGTTATGCGATATCAAGACACCTCTACCGGCCAACTCGTGGCAGAAATCCCAACAAAACTTGGACAGCCCGTCTCGTTGGGACAAAACCGCTACAACGCGATCATGCATGTCGGGCACCAGAACGGTGCTGTCACATTGTGGTCGCCCAACTCACAAGAGCCGCTGGTCAAGCTGCTCGCCCACCGTGGCCCGGTGCGCTCACTGGCCATGGACAGAGTGGGCCGCTACATGGTATCAACAGGACAGGATCAGAGAATGGCCGTGTGGGACATAAGAATGTTCAAGGAGGTCAACAGCTACTTCACTCGACAACCTGCCTCATCGGTGGCCATATCCGATACCGGTCTGACGGCCGTGGGCTGGGGCACCCAAACGACGATATGGAAGGGCCTGTTCGCCAGCAACGCCGCGGTCCAGCAAAAAGTGGAAAGCCCGTACATGGCATGGGGAGGCGAGGGCCGACGCGTGGAGCGCGTACAGTGGTGCCCTTTCGAAGACGTGCTCGGGCTCGGGCACGACCAAGGCTTCTCGTCCATCATTGTGCCCGGCGCCGGCGAGGCCAACTTTGACGCGCTCGAGGCCAACCCGTTCGAGACCAAGAAGCAGCGGCAGGAGGGCGAAGTCAAGGGCCTGCTCAACAAGCTGGCGCCGGAGATGATCGCGCTGGACCCCAATTTTGTCGGGCAGCTGGACCTGCGCTCGGAGGCGCAGCGCAAGGCGGACCGCGACCTGGACGCACCGGCGACGGACATTGCCGAGGAGATCCGCAACCGGGCCCGCGGCAAGAACGGCGCGCTCAAGAAGTACCTGCGGAAGCAGCGCAAGAAGAACATCATCGACGAGAAGAGGATGCGCATCGACGAGATGTGGAACGAGCAGCAGAAGCAAAAGGACAAAAAGCGGCAGGAGGAGGAGCAGGACCTGGGCCCGGCGCTGGCTCGCTTCGCACGCAGGGAGTAGGCCTGGCAGCGGGAGATGGGCTGAGCTGCGGGCATGTATATAGAATACCCATGAAAATTTATAGCGTCAACATGTTGAAAACTACGTTGGTCCAAGTGTGAATGAAAAGTTACCATGCTCATATTTCCAAAGTTCTCGTACCTCGCCATGTAATCTTCAAGCCGCCTGCTTCACGGCCAGATCCACTTTTCCCTGGAGTCGAGTCACTGGCCGAGCTGAGCCAACATTCTTCAACCTTTCATACTTTGCGAAGAAACAGATTCGATCAATTCCACTCAAAAGCGTGTGGTTATTGGCAACATGGCGGACAGAAAAGCCATGGTGGTTGCCATCTCCGGCTGCTCATCAAGCGGCAAGACGACGCTCTCACGGCTTCTACGGGACATCTTCCCAAACACCTTTATCCTTCACGAGGATGACTTTTACAAGACGGATAAAGAGTAGGACCGCCAACCCAATCCTGAGACCCTGTTTTTGAAGCTCAATTGGCGCGTTTTAGCATTCCCATGAAGAATGGCGTCGCGGACTGGGACTGCGCGGAAGCAATCGACATCCCCGCCATGACCGAAGCCGTGGCATACGTCCGCCAGCACGGCCACGTTCCAGTAAGCCGCTGCCTCCATGACAAGCCCTAGCCCCCCCCCAAAAACAACAGCTAGCTCATAAGAAGACAAACAGCCCACGTTGAACTCCATCGAGGACCAAAACTCCGTCGGCGCCTGCCCCGTGCCCGAGCCTCTCATCGCCGCGCTCAAAGGCAAGGTCTCCTCCGCCCTCCCCGCGCAGCACCCCCTCCCCGCGCAGCACCCCCTCCCCGCGCAGCACCCCCTCCCCGCGCAGCACCCCCTCCTCCGGCCCGGCCTGCGGCTGTGCCTGCTGGACGGGTTCCTGCTGTACAGCCGGTCGATGGCCGCGCTGGGGCGCTCGCTGGACGTCAAGGTGCTGCTGCGGGCGTCGCATGCGCGGGCCAAGGCGCGCCGCGAGGCGCGCGACGGGTACGTCACGCTCGAGGGCTTCTGGAGGGACCCGCCGGGGTACGTGGACGAGGTGGTGTGGCCCAACTATGTTGAGGAGCACGCGTGGCTGTTTGAGGGGGGAGACGTGGAGGGGAGGTACAGGGAGGAGGTGCTCCGCGAGGAGGGCATAAGGGTGCCGGGCGGAGGAGCGCTGGATGCGGACTTGGCGGAGACGCTGGAGTGGCTGGTGGACATAATACTGGAGGAACTGGAAAAGTACAAGGAGTGATGGAACATAAACAATAATATCAGAATTAAAAAATACGTGTTGATGAGTGAAATGAGCGATGCGTGCAGCCTACATCTCCAGCGAGGTCGAGTACACACCTCCCAACCCACAAGTTCCGCCAAGGTTGACCCAATACAATTTCCTGCTCAATTGTCTTCATCTCGATTCTCGGCTTGCGTAGCCGCCGAGGGCCTTGAGATAGGCGACACCCTCCGTCGCGGCCGCCACCCGCACCTCCTCCGCCGTCAGCCCGCCTCGCGCTGCCCCGACCTCGACGCCGCTAACCACCAGCCTGCAGTTGTACGTCATCCCCACGCCGTCGCCGGCCGGCACCTTTTCGATCTCATACGTCATCGGCCGTGACCCAGCCACCTTGCCAAGCTCCTCCTTGGGGTGCTGCATGTGCACCCCGTCCGCGAGCACGCGGTCCAGGTACGGCAGCACGCCGACGCGCGCCAGGAACGCCTCGCACGGTGCCAGCGCGCCCGCGTCCACCCATATCGCGCCCACCACGGCCTCGATCATGTCCGAGTAGAACTTGCCCGCGTGCAGTCGCGCAAGCATGGCCCAGGGGTAGTGGTCGCCGGAGCGGAGCGCGGGGAGGATGGCGTCGCGCAGCCGGCCGTGCCGCGCGGCCACCTCCAGCTGCGCGGGGCCGATGCCGGTGGACGAGAACCGCATGAACCGCCAGAGCGCGGTGCGTCGGTTTTCCGTTAGGATGGCGCCGCTGGGCGTTACGAAGGACTCGGTTTGTGAAAGCTCGTGCTCCTCGAGGCAGATGAAGGCGAGAAAGTCCTTGTTGACCAGAGCAGTCTTGGTCATGTGCATGCGCGAGTGCGGCAGCGGAGGGCGGTGGTTGATGAGCCTGTTGACGATGATGTAGTCGAGGACCGAGTCTCCCAGAAACTCCAGGCGTTCCCAGCTCCGCCCTGACATGTCGCCGATGAACGACGCGTGGGTCGTCGCTTCGAGAAGGAGGGACTTCTTGGTGAATGAGTACCCGACTAGCTCCTCTAGGATATGCAAATAGGAAGATTTTGCGCAGTGGCTCGGTGCAAATAGGAAGAATTCTTCCCTGCATTCGATTGGGTCTGTCCAATCGCACTCCTTGATGAATATTGACAGACACTGGATGGCCTTGGGAATGCCACCCACAGTGTAGGCGACACCCACCAACGCCTCGACTACATCGGCAAGCACCTTTGTCGATAGACGTCTATTTGGTGGCGGCTTCATCTTGCCGGACAAGACGGCCTCGAGATAAAACGCCTGCCACTTGTGGCCTGTAAAGGGCATCGTCAATATGAACTGTGACAGGCCAGTCTCAACAGCTGCTCGGGAGAGCCTTGAATTAGCTACGAGACGATCCTTGTATCTGGATAGGTGGCCCTCGGACCAATTCAAGTCTGAATAGATATGTTAGCCCGGGAAAGAAGTCACCTGAATGGGGCCACTTACTTGTTGCTGCTGCTTGCATGCTGGCGCAGTATTTGAGTATAGAATCACCTAGGAACTCGAGCCGCTCGTAGTGAGTGGGCTCAAACGCGCTTCTTGCACTGATGGCGTCTCTAATAAGATTGTAGTCCGAAATACCCAGTGGGCTCAAGAGTGTGGTGGAAAGCTGTCGTGCAATGAGCATGGTCTCGATTGTGTGGATGATGGATGGTATCAGCATTCCGAACCGAGCGTGCTTGATATGAATGCTGTCAACCGTGGCGTATGAGACTGGAAGTACAGCGATGTACTTCTTCTGACTGGTTGTTTGCGTCTCCGGGTCCACGTTCCACGTATGAAGAAAGTCGGTACGGCGAGTCCACCGCAGCAGATTTAAATACGGCTCGTCCTCAGGCGCGTCGTCGTAATTTTTGAAAGGTCGCTGAACCATCGCCGAGGGCGGCTTGGAAGGGAGGTCACCAAGGTACCTGCACGGTGCTTTGCCCTGGTCCCTGATGAGATAATTCTCGCTCGAGACGGCGGCTGATCTTGCGTCAAGCGGGTTGCTCCCGATATCTGGAAAGCGCAGGGGGCCATCATGCGAAGTAAATTTGATGACATGAGGCTCTTCCGTCACCGGCCAGCGATGGCAAAAGTGCAGGCCAATAAGCGTCGAGGTATCATCTGACATTTCATCCGCTTCTGCGACAGAAATGCGGCGCGGAGGCGAAAACTCGAGCCTGTATGTGGTACTATAGTCGAGGTACATGTTCACCAGACGGAACGGGCCGAGCTCAATGGGCAGCGTCATGGTGTAGTCTCCAAAGAAGGCATCGTCTGCACCATGAAGCTGCACCTTGTACGTCCATCGGTAGTCTCCCTCTGACCAGGCAGACGCCGCCTCCATCCACGGCTGCACCAACGACTGGACACCGATGATCGGCGCCCGGCCTTCCACCTCCACGTCAATGTTCGTCTCTAGCGGCAGCAGATTCTTATTTACTAGGTCTGCGCGAAAGAGAGCGAGATAGGCTTGGAAGGCGGCATCCTTCATGGCATTGGCCTCCGAGTGCCAAGCGCGCGATGCCTCGAAGCGTCTGAGCTTGGGCGGCAGCGACGCTGGGAGGAAGACCTCGGCGCGGATCATCAGGCCGCGGTCGCCCTCCACAAACTTGGTGACATAATCCGGACGGCCATCCGTGTATTCCGCGGATGAGATGACGGCACAGAAATGCGCCAGATGTTGCCTGGCGTTGTCGTGGTCGAGTCGCGCTCCAGAATACGGTACGCGGAAGCAAAGGTCTATGCCTTCGTCCAAGCGCTCCAAGGTTTGCAGCTGTTGTCGTTCGCGCTCGGAATCTTGACAGAGCTTCTGGATCTCCTCTTCAAATACCGCCCACTGCTCTACTATTGCAGACCCTTTGTGGGTGAAGAGCAGTAGTCTCGAGTCTTGCATACGGGCTCGCCCGCGCCGTTGGATAAAAGACTTGGGAGACTGCGGGCTGTCGAAGCAAATGACCAGGTTGCATGCTGGCACGTCGATGCCCTCTTCGAGAACTGATGTTGCCACCAAAAGGTTGATCTTGCCTTGCCGAAATTCGTGCAGAGTCTTGAGATCCTTGGAGTTGAAGTATTCACACAAATCGCGCTTTCTAAGCTGGTTGTGTGAGGTCCCAACCATGCAACCCACCCGGTACCGGTCCCGAATGCCTGGTACTGACTCGAGGAGGGTCGTGAGCACAGCAGCAGTGGCACGCTCCTGAACGAAGACAATCCCGGTGGCCTTGCCTTCAAATTCAATCAGCTCACGTAGTAGTAGGCGAACCTTGTCTGAGACGCTGTCGAGTCCGGTTGGGCGCGGCGTGGGCTCGAGGGCGGCGATGTCGCGCAAGATTCTCGAGATGTAAAGCGTCTCTTCCGGAACCCAGCCATCCAGAGAAGGGACTGCAGACTCTAGTTTTTGGAGAAATGAGCGCTTCGCTCTCCAAATGTATAAGTCCGCGGCCCAAGGGCCCAGTAGCCTTCGAATAGTTCGGGATCGGTTTAGAAGGCTGGACATCTGCAGTCGTGACCATGTTTTCTGATTTGCCAAGACGCTCTGAAGACGACGCTTGCTTCTATCGGTTTTCTGTGCTTGAAGTGATACCACATAGGGATCTTCCAAAATGTCCATCTTTGCGTACTCCTGCTGCAGAGAGACCATGGCGGCCGTGTGGTGCTCCGTTTCGGTAGATTCACATTCAATGATCCCTAGCCGTGGCCGTTTCACGTGTTTCACTAATTCTTCGCGATGAAGTGACGGTGAAATACATTTTGCGTTCAAAAGCTCCTCGAGCTCCTCGAGACCCTTTACGTGAGCTCTCATACTTGGCGTAGCTGTGAGACCCAGTATCGCAGGCCGGGACCTAACATTGACATCTTGAGGAAGGCCTTGGTAGTGATAAAAGTGATTCATAATTTTCCCACCGGGATTCGATCCCACGCAATTGTGTGCTTATCACTGTCAGCTTCGGAATAGCTGCTTTGCGCGCTGTAAGCTTACCTTCGTCAAAGATCAAGAGAGACAGACAATCCATCTTGACGAACGCATGGCCCAAGGCGTCAAGAAGCACCTGATATGTAGATACGACCACCTGAGTTCCATTCAATACGTATTTCCAAGTAGAGGCGCTCCAGGTGTGAACATTGTCGCTCCCAACTACCAGGCGTATTGAAACTGAGGGTATCTCAAGCTTGATGGCCTCGAATTGCTGGGTACAGAGCAGAACAGTTGGGGCTAAAAACCAGATCAACTAGATTTGATTAGGAACTTGATCAAGAATGAAGAGAGCCACAGTCAAATACCTTTTGGTCCGAAGAGGACTCAAGTTGGGCTCGTATTCGGAGGATGGCACTGCGGTAGTTAGATATTGCGGATTGAGGTTGTGCAGAAGACTTACATTTGCGTCTTTCCACTTCCGGTATCCATCTTAAATTTTGGTCAATAAGGGAAGCTCTGCAAGTACCGTGACTTGCTTACCGCAACAATGACATTCTCTTTGAGACTCATCTGGTACATCTCGAGTTGGTAGGCTCTGGAAGCGCGGGAAAAGTCTGGGGCATCCTCCATCATTGAATCGGGGTCATCGGAGTTCAAAGGTGGCGTCACATCCACCTTTCTGTCGGAGGATGAAGACATTATAGTTATGGCTATTGGGATCGCAGGGACACCGTTTGACGTTGATTTGATCCGGGGGCCAGGCGGGGAGGGAGTGGGGGGTGGTTTGACGCCTGCAGTGTGCAAGACAGCCTGCACATGGAGATGATAAGAGGTATCTGTAGAGTGTTTTCGGTTGATAGAAGTATGTCGAGAAGAAGCTGCTGGATGGCAGAATAGCAATCGCCGAGCTGAGGTCGCTACATGGTAGAACTGATGCTAGGAAGTTATGTCGATAGGATGGGGGTGACAATGCGAGTGACGGAGGGTATGTGCAAAATAAAGCGGGGGGAATCAAAAAGGAAAAAAAAGAAGAAAATAATATCAAGGCAGAGTTACATGAAACAAACAGGCCCAATCATGCCGTGAGGCGATGCGAATGCAGAGTTCTGAATGTGTTTCTTGGTGGAGGCGGCGAAGGACATTGCGGGCGGCTTGGGTTTTTTGCCCGCCGACCTGATGAATGAAGGGACATTAGGCACGAAAAACAATACTTTCAGGTTGTCTACAGTTCTAAAAAAAAAAAAGGAAAAACTCGCACAAGTGGAAGTATCTTTCAAGTATAAACTTTATGCCTTATTAAAGGCAAGAGGCGTCTCAGTGGCCTAATCACACACATTGGTACCTGACCAGCGGCTGGGTGCGACCTAACCGCCGTCCTTGTACGACGGCGGGGAACAGTGAATGACTGGACCAATAGCAAATAGCAAGAGATGGAAGACTGCTTTAATTCTGGGAAGAAAGAAAAAAAAATAATCGAGGAGAGAATTTGATTCAGAGTTTCCTTATATGGAAAAGAGCTAGGAATGAGCTTGGTAGCTGGATTTGGTAGCCGCTGTCTATGCCTACATATACATACATAGCATGGCAAGCCCTCCCCCACCTCTCTACAAATGCTTTCAAAAGTCGTGTCTCGCGTTGAAATTCTTTTTCAAGGAAAAGTGCTGTATTTTTCTCATTTTCCTAGATTCTTTTTTATATTTCTTAGCTTCATGTCTTTCATGTCATTTCATCTTTCCAATATTCGTCATAGTACCTAGAAACACGACTTCTGAAAGCGAGCAAACAGTTGTCAGGCGCAGCCAGTCATGCCTCATAAACATCGCTTCCGTCAAAGCCAACCAACCCAGATCCAACCATCATCACGCGCACCCTCGTACTAATGGCGACACCGCGGATGGCTTTGTATGCCGCAGGCTCCAACTGCTGGGGCCAGCTCGACTTCCAGCGCAGCACAGAAACCGGCTTTGATCTGACCAGGTTCACCGAGGTCATCTCTGCCAACGAGATTGAGAGACCCAAATCCGGGAAGGTATACTCACTGGGTTCGTGTCCTTCCCTCCGCACACACACACACACCAAAAAAAAAAAGCATTGCCGTCTGATTCCTTGCATTTAGCCAGAGTTGACGGACGGTTTCTCGTCGCCGCTCACGTGCGCGACCAGATCAGCATAAGCGACGTCGCCAACGTCGCCTTCACGGCAAACGGCAACACCATCCTTAACGGCTGGCACGAGAACTTCCTGACGAGCGAGTACTTCGATGCCGAGGGAAACTCGCATTCAAAGATCATCACCCTCAGGAAGCCGGCTAAACAGGTGGTCGCCTACGACACGGGCTTTGTCATACTGTACGAGGACGGCGTCGTGGCCACCATGGGAGACGCCCGCTTCTACGCGCCCCTCGGCCGCACACCAAGCCCTTCCACGTCCGTACACCCTCCTCCCCGCCCTCTTCCAAAAAGGAGCTGTTACGCTGACGGTTAGGTACGCCTGCCACAGGCCCGCGGATGAATTTGCCGACGTGGACTGGCCGGGCGACCTGGACGCCGACCCGGTGAAGCACATCACGGCGTGCGGCTGGATGGTCGCGGCCCTCACGGAGTCGGGCGCCGTCTACTTATGGGGACAGGACCCGCCGTCGCTGGGAGGCAAGGGGCCGACGTTCGTCCCGGGTCTGAGCCCCGAAATAGGCTACGCTGAAATCGACGGCGTGCAGGATGTTGCAGACTTTGCACTCGGCGAAACGCACGCCATCGCGCTCCTGTGCGACGGACACGTATACGTGGTAGGCAACAATGTAAACGGGCAGCTGGGAATTCCAAGCATCCAGTCGACCAGGGAGTGGACAAGAGCCCAACTGCTGCTGCCGCAAGGCTCTCGCATAACTGGAGTGGCCGCTGGGCCAAATACGTCCTTCATTCTTGTATCGCATGGAGAGGCAGAGTGATGTCGCAGGAGAAGCAACTGACGCCTGCATTTATAACAGACCAGGTTTCTTTCTATTACCTCGGCCGTCAACTTATCTAATGTACAAGCATGCCTAACCCCCCACCTTTCAGCTTGTTTCCGCTTATAGACTCGTCAGGTAATCTTCAATTTCTTGCGGCGTGAGCTTGCGGAATCGAGGACCGGTGGCGCCCTCGACACCTTCCAGACCCAACAGATGGTCGGCCGGCGGTCCGACGATACCTGGCAACGGTTAGCACAGAACGGGGAGCCAATTTATTTTTAAGAAGAGAAAGCACATACCAATTTCAATAGAGTCGCCGTTCATCTCGCCCTCAATGTTATCCTTGAGAGTCAGCAGAGCAATGTGAATAGCATCTTCAAGCTCCAACTCTTCCGAATATCTCTTCTCCAAGAATGTCTTGGCCTTCGTCGCACTTTTGCCAATGGCCGTAGCCTTCCAAGGGAAGTAGCTGCCCGTGGGGTCGACCTGGTACAGCATGGGGCCGCCCTTGTGAATACCGCCCGTCTTCTTGTTGGCCTTCTTCTCGCCGCCCTCGGGCTGCTCGACCTCCTCGGCGTCCTCGGGCTCGATGCCGTCATCCCAACCAGCAACCAGCATGCTCACGCCGTATGGCCGGACTCCCGCCGACTGGGTGGCCTCCTGCATGACGCGGGCGACGTCCTGGACCAATATGCGGGTGGGCGGGTACTCGTTGTAGATTCTCTTGTATCCCGTGTGCGAGACTTTGCGCGCGCGGTCGACGAGCACTCTGTAGTCGGGGCCCATGCCCGAGTATACGGCGCCGATGTTGGGCGTGATGTTGCTGATTTTGGAGAGCGAGCTCTGGTCGGCGAGGGGCGAGGACGACTTCTTCTCGGTCGCGAGGACGATGCCGTTGGTGGCTACGGGCGGGGAGTTAGCAGCCGTGGGAGGGATCCAGCTCAAGTTGCGCACCTTTGATTCCGAGGGCAGTAATGCCTTGGTTGACAGCGTTCAAGGCATACTCTGAGCGCATAGTTAGCAACAGGTAGAAGACGCCAATACACAGTCGAAACTCTATCTGAGACTCTTCAATGTTTGCGTTGTGATCCAGTATCAACACGTACCGATCTGCACCAGCTTGCCGCTATAAAGAGGTTAGTTGCGCCCAATGGAGGCTTGCTTGGAGCGCTTACCTGGGCGAAAATGTAGTGAGGGAGAAGGAGTATCTGTCCGCCATAGCTTCAGCGGGTATTAAAGGTCGTGCAAATCGTGAAGCGGCCCGCAAGTCGTGATGTGTCTGGGCGGATTGATGCTTGTTTGAAGGGCTGGTTGGCAGGCTGGGGGAGCTCCGTCTGCGTTGCAGCTCCAGGCACGATGACCTGCGCGTCAAGCTCACCAGAGCAAGACCGGAAGAATAGTTCTGCCGAGATCCGATCCACCATGTCATATGTAGCTTGTCGGCAGAGCCCACCGGCCAAAAAATAGAAAACACAAGAGAGATAAGAAATATGAGAAGTACGAGAAGGATAAGGAATAGAAGAAATATAAAAATATATGATTGAGGCCGAATTACATAGACACGACGACTTTCAACAGCGGACCATTGTCGAAGTTCGGCTAAGCCCAACGCCCCACTTCAAGGAGCTCGCACCAATTCTCCGCGGGTGTTAGCTAGCTGCGGACATTTCTGATTTATTTGCTCCGCCACGGATTATTTTGCTTGGAAGCGAAGAATTGATGAGGTGGCCTCTCCGGGCACTTGCATCCGACTATTTCCTATTTGTGATGTCCATAGTACCTCCGAGTACGATGGTGCGTTCCTGACAGCAGCATATTATGGGAATTACATCCCCGCTGCAGACGCCGCCGCTTGGCAGGACCTTCCTTCTTCTCTCCTAACGGCATCCCAATTTTTTTTTTTGCAACCATCAACATAAAACGGGCTTGTCCAGTCCAACATGGATCAACAACAATCCTGGAGCTGGAGCTCAGCAATGAACGCGCAAGACGGCGAGACGCGACAACGGAACACCACGGCCGACCAGCCACCGCCGCGCGCTGAGAACAGTCGTCGCTACAGCCCGCGCACGTGCCGAATCTGCCTGGACACGGTAGAGCCGCAGTACGAAGACGCGTCGCAGACAGGCCGACCGACGTACGTTTCGGAAGACCCGGCTCTGGGCCGGCTCCTGTCGCCATGCAAGTGCAAGGGCACGCAGAAATACGTCCACGAGGGCTGCCTGCATGCGTGGAGGGCGGCCAGTCCGACGCAGGAGCGCAATTTCTGGCACTGCCCAACCTGCGGCTACAAGTACCAACTCGCCCGGCTCGACTGGGCGTCGCTGCTGAGCAGCAAGATCACACAAGCCCTCCTCACCCTGGTGCTGTTCGCGTTCGGCATCTTCATCCTCGGCTTCATTGCCGATCCGGTCTTCAACCTGTGGCTCGACCCCCTGGGCACGATAGGCGATGCGTTGACCGCCGATGAAGAGAACTGGGAGATGCCCTTTGAGGAGCCGCCGACGTGGATCGAGCACTTCGTGAAAGGCTTCTTTTCGTTAGGGATCGTTGGCCTGATCAAGTCGGCGCTGTTCATGTCGCCGTGGCACTGGTGGCAGCTGCGAGGTACGGGCGTCGGCGGTGGCGGCAGGCGGCGCGGTACGGGACGCGGTCGTGTTGAGAACCTGAGCCTTCTGTTCGTGCTGCTGGGCGCATTCGCCGCCTTGAAGGGAATATGGAAGCTGGTCCGATCCCTCAGCGCGCGCGTGCTATTACGCATGCGAGACAGAGTCATTGATGTGGACGATGACTAAGGTGAGATTCATGAAATTACGATGGAAACTTAATCATACGCGGGACGGCTAGACGGCTGTTGCCCAGGCGGGTGTTCTCTCATTCTACTCATAGATAGAATGACAAGACTTACCCCTCTCTCTGCCTTCCTTATCCCCTCTTATTTCACCCTCTACCCTCGCTTCATTATCCTTGTTCTTGTTACTTGCTATTTTGGCGTGACCTGTCCCTGTGGCGTGGCTACATACCTGCACACTCTTAAGTTGTCTTGAAGGTTGCTTCTCCGCATCAAGCCAACTAGTCTGTGTGCAAAGATTGATGCTCCATCGATGCTTAGACCGGAAGCCGTTTTGGCTTCCGTGTCAATTTCAGCGAGATGGAGTTGACCAGCCCGTAGCTTAGGCAAAGAATGCATTTTGCATTTCTGCGCCGTGGCGGTCTACCAGGTACACACCAGTACAGCTGTGTGGGTAGATTGCTTAGCATAAGTTGGTATATTTCCTTCCTTCGTAATTTGTAAACCACCATCTTTAGGTGTACCCTTGAATATTGTGTGTAGAACTTCAAGAACTTCCGCATTTTAGCCCTAGTAGGACACATCTAGTTGTGACGTTGCGAAGTTTAGAAACAACTGGTGGCTTGTTGGTACGGACATGACGTCTGTTCGAGACTATGTTAGCAGTTGAGAGCATCGCTGCTCTACAGGAACTACTATGGATAAAGCGTGGTGAGAACTAGTGAGCAGATTGTTGATTCTATAAGCTAGGTGCTATTGGGAATTTCCCAAGTACTTGTACATTGAAAACATGACTTTTTTATTCGTTGCCCTAAAATGATACATCCTCAACCACCTGTCTCCCATGCAATGCCATTTACAACAGCTTCAGGTGGCCAGTCACCTCGTCGACAAGGCTCCGGGGCGCGGGGCCGACGCCGAGGACCGTCATGCTGCCGGCCTCGATCTGCGTACGGCCAGCATCCTTGATGACCTCGGCGGTGAGGCCCATGCCGCGGGCCTTGCGGCACAGCTGCAGCATCTCCTCCTGGCTCTTGAGCTGCACCGCGATCTTGGCCTGGCCATGGCGCTCCCAGCGGGCCAGCATACGGCGCTCGGGCGAGTCCGGGTCCGGATGGGCGGCGAGGGCCTTGTAGCAGGCGAGCGTGGCGTGGGAGCACTGCGCGGCGATCTTGCCTAAGCGAGCATACGGGGTCAGCGGCGATGTGATCCGGGGTGGGGGACGGGCAAAAATAAAGTACCTTTGGTCATGCCTAGGTCGGTGCGAACCACGAGGACGAGCTTGCACTCCTCGTTGGTGAGCTTGAGCTTGGGAGCAGCAGTGCCGGAGGCGCCGAAACGCAAGCCCTGCTTGACGTCGGCGGCCTCGCCGTTGCTCCAGTTGGGCGCGTGGTCCAGCAGCGAGTCGTCCTCGTCGACGTCGCTCTCCGCGCTCTCGACGGGGTCGTCCCGATTGGCGCGGCGCTCGGCCTGCAGCGCGGGGGAGAAGAGGTACCCGCGGCTGGCATAGAGGCCAAAGATGTAGCCCGTGACGAACGTCGTCAGTGCCGTGGTGATGGCGACGGTGGTGTTGTCCATGGCCATGGTGTTTGAAGGATGGGAAGTTTTTGGTCGAGCGGACGGTTCGGACGGCGTTTGGGTTGGGGGCTATCGGCGGCCGGCTGGAAGGCGACGGTTTCGGCGTCTCAGGACTGAGGTTCCCCAGAGTCCGGCGGCATTATCGAATGAGCGTATGGAATTATGTATCGGCGAGGACTGAAGTTGGAATAGTTTTCTGTTTCCTGCGTTTCTGATAACAGTCACGTGGGCGCTGTAGCGTCTATGATGGGATAGGCGGAATAGTTTATCTTTTCAATCTTTTTTGGGAGGTTCAAAACAGATTTATCAATATTCAATTTTTATTTGTTTTTCATTAATCTTGACTTGCAGAAATATGATTGATGGAACTTGGACACCGGACATTCACGTAGGAAGGAACAGGTCCCTACCTGGAAAAGCCACCTCATTGTCAGTTTATTTGTAGATTCCTGGCCTGAACTTTAAAGGAGGGCAAAAGAATTGGGTCGGCGCATTGTGGAGCCGGCGCCGAGAAGAACGTGGCTGCTTTAGCATGTACTAAAAGTAATCGAGGGCAGCGTCGAACTAACTAGGGGGTTGACGAGGAGACTTTCTTCTTCCAAGAAGCATAACGGTGTCGAATTTGGGCTGTATCCCTCCTGTCTGTCGAACCGTCGGGCAGCTCTGGACATTTCCCATCGGAAATTCACACATACCGCACGTTGTGTGCTGCATGCGACAACCACTTACTCCCCTGGATCTCTTTTTTGACCCTTGCAGATAGATCCATCTCGCATCTGGACAAATCGCGCCATCGACGTGCAGGCGGAAAAGGCGCAAATCTTGTTTGTTTACAGGAGTCGAGGCGACGAATTTTGGCCTGTGACTAGCATTCGACGACGGTACTTCAAATATATTCAGGTCTGGTGTTTTTACCGCAGTCGCTCGTTCCTAGCTCGGCGTCCTCAAGCCAGTACGCTACAGACAACGAGCCTCACGCGAAACTACGACGACGAACGGGGCCTCGACGCTCATTCTCCTGCAACTCATACCTCTTGGTACCCTTCTCGAAAGTGAGCCTGTCACCCGAGTGGGCGCTCTTCTGAATTCACAATGCATTTTGCCTACCCCCCGCGGAAAAGCTCCGACCCCCCGCCATACCGCCCACGGTCCGGTCTACTACCCTTTCTTCGCCGTGGGCGGTTAAGAACAATCGTCCTTGGGCTGCTGGCGTGCATACTTGTGCTCTATTTGATGTTCAGGCCCAGCAAGCAGAGCCCATATCATGAGCGTCAACCCGCCGGGACACCGTCCGTCGTTCTGGTGACTGTCCTCGACACCAAGCTGTATAGCGCTGGGTATCTGAAGACTGTTCGCGAGAACAGAGAAGAATATGCTTCGAGGCACGGTATGTCCTTGAGAAAAGGAGAAGAAGAAAGAGAAACGTCGAGATAATAGGCGAGCAGCTGACACAGATACAGGCTACAAGACGGTCATTACCGAAGGCAGCCAGTACGACACTGCTGGCGCCCCTACAACGTGGACGAAATTGATGGCCACGCACCACGCGCTGGCCAAGTTTCCGGACTGCAAATTCGTCTGGTACCTCGATCAGGATGCCTACATCATGAACCCGTCACAATCGCTCGAGGATCTCGTGCTGCAACCCAAGCAGCTGGAGTCACTGATGATCCGCGGCCAACCTGTTGTGCCGCCGGACAGCATCATCAAGACCTTTAGCCATCTCCGTGGAGAGCATATCGACGTTATTTTGTCTCAAGATAAATCCGGTCTCGTGCACAACAACATCATTATTCGCAACGGAGCATGGGCAAAGTTCTTCCTCGAGACCTGGCTGGATCCTCTCTACAGAAGCTACAACTTCCAGAAGGCCGAGAGACATGCTCTGGTAAGGATGAGTTAGAGAAAACCCTGGTTGTATGAGCTAACACGAGTGGTCTAGGAACACCTTGTGCAGTGGCACCCTACCATTTTGTCAAAGCTGGCTCTCGTTCCACAGCGCACCTTTGCTTCCTATTCGAAGCCGACGCTGGGCGAGCAGTACCAGGAGGGTGATTTTATCGCCATGTTTGCTGGCTGCTCCAATATTGGCCGCGAGAGCTGCGAGGTTGAATCGGGCCATTTCTGGGAGAAGTGGAAGGCGAACTTTGGCTAAGCCAGCAAGCGGACGCGGCGGCAGCAACATCTAACACAAACTTAGGAAGACGCACAACAAAGACACGTAATAAATTTGGTGGGATTTGTTAGGACATCATGACCGGCAGCGTTTTCGGGCCGACGGCGTTTTACAGACAAACATTTGGACAAATTTGACTGCAGCTCAGCCTGTTAATATCCTCGAGAGGGCTGACCTCGCCTCGTGAGCGACAGGCCGGATTTGAGCTTTGCTTAATGCACAATGATTTATACGCATTTTGTCATTCGGAAGGGGCATGGGGGTTTGAAAATTTTCAGCCAAGCTCGGCAAATTCTTTTTTGGATGCACGTTGAGCGAGCTTGGCCATGACATGGAAGAATTGGAGGCGGCACCACGTTCATTCAGTGCGCCTGATGCAGAGCAACACGGGCAAACACCTTTCTCTCTTCTAGCCGCTCCATCGATGTACTTTATTATTTTTTATATTATTTTTTCTTCTCGAATTACTTATAGAATTCTTTCCCAATGAAATTTCTGAATGCTTAACGAGTCATTCGCTGATAGGAATACGTAGAGTTTGCCGCCGACTCGTTGGTTGTGGTGGTCGTGTCACTTTGGGCGGGACCCTGGGCGGATAACGTCGTGGAACACTTGTCCTTTCACCATCAAACAAACCACAAGACCGAGCTCGCCATTTCTCCTTTTCAACCACTGCAACTTCGAAGCGAATGACGCGAAAATTCAGATAACCCAGAAGTCTGGTGCGCGAGACGCACAAAAACATCCTCAATATGTCGCAGTTCGTATCCATCATGGCCTGGTCCTTTCTGCCCGGTGTACGTGCCACCCCCATCCGCCTCGTTCGAGACAGCAGCAGGCGCTTTCCCTAGAAGCGACAAAGCCACCCGGCGGTTGCCCATGCTCTCGGCCATTTCTACTTTCTGCCCTCAGCTCGCTGACCGCTTCTCTCCCTGCAGATTGCGACCTCCTGGATCCAGACCATCTACTACGGGCTCACCATCCGCGCCGGCGACCCCAAGCCCACGCCGGGCTCCCCGCGGCACACCTCCCACCGCAACACCATCCACATCCTCGTCGTCGCCACCTACCTACTATACACCATCTACGAGGCGCACCACGACCTGCGCAGCGCGCCCTCCTTCTACACCGAGCTCGGCATCCCCGTGACCGCCGCCGAGCGCGAGATCAAGTCGCGCTTCCGGCGCCTCGCCGCCCTGCACCACCCAGACAAGGCCATGAGCGGCGCCGGGGACGCGCAGGCGTCGGCCGCCTTCTTCATCCACCTCAAGACGGCGAGCGACACGCTGCAGGACGCGGCCAAGCGCTACGCGTACGAGCGCTTCGGCCCGGCCATGCTCGAGTGGGCGCCGCGCTGCGTGACCGTCCGCGACTTCGTCACCCACGGCGTCGTCTACACGGTGCTGCCGCACTACGCCATGGCCGCGGCCGCCGCGTACGCGCTCGGGCTGTTCGGGTACATGGACTTTGCGCGCTTCTACCGCTGGCTGCTGCTCGCCACGCTGTGCCTGCTGGAGGTGACGCTCGCCACCACGGGGCCCGCGCTGCCGGCGCCGCTCGCGGCGCTCAACGCCGTGCTCGAGCGCGTCGCGGGCCTCCCGCCCTACCTGCCCTTCGAGGTGGTCCACCTGGCCCGCAAGGTGACGCTGACCGTGTACATTGCGCTGTCGCAGATCGGGCCGGTCTTCGCGGCGCAGCTGGACCGGCGGGCGGAGCAGGGCGTGGAGGACGAGGACAAGGCGCTGCGCGAGGGACTGATGCGTCTGGAGGGGATGACGCGCCAGCTGGACGCGGACGCGGCGCGGCTGGTGGACATGGAGCTGACGCCGTTCAAGGGCGACGAGGAGATGGTGGCGAGGATGAGGGGCAAGATGCGCGACTGGCTCGTCAACAACACCATTCGCTCGGATCCGATGGTCAAGGACGCGCTGGGCAACTCGTTTCGGAAGAGGCGCGTGGATGCGCCAGCGGGCGCCAAGGGAAACCGATAGAGTCGAGATTGTCAATGTGTGACCAGAGGGAATAGAAGGAAAATTTAGATTTGCGCAAGGCTGCATTGGGTTGTTATTTACAATGTATTCTATCCAAGGAATTTGCATGCTTGAATATGTCATATACCCCCAAACAAGTAATCAGACATGAACCAAAACCATCCGCTCTGTGAATGTTGTTTGTGCATCTACTATACATGTCCTCATGAGCTAGCGCTCAAATATCTACAATGTGGATTATAAACTTTTTCAGGAAGTGCCCGTCACTTGGACTGAGCCAGCAACAGAGGGAAAGCTTTATAGACGCTGTGCGCCTCGCGTCTCGATAGGAATCAAGCACATGGCCACAAACGCCGAAAGGATGAGCACCGCAGACAGGTATATTGGGCCGCTCGCGCTGTCGCCGGGCATGTTGGCCGCCAGCAGCGGCGCCATCAGCCCCGTCACGCGGTTCAGGAAGCTCGCCATGCCGCTGCCGGCGCCGCGCACCGGCGCGGGGAAGATCTCCGGCGTGAAGGCATAGAGGACGCCGTACATGATGTTCTGGCTAAAGGCCTCGACGCAGGAGAAGAAGAGCTGGGCGGTGGGCGTGGTGCCGAAGAGGACAAAGAAGAAGAGGAAGATGGCGGAGAGCAGCGTGGAGCCGGCGAGCGTGCCGCGGCGCCCGAGGAATGGCGACGGGTGGTCGACGAGGTACGCGGCGAGCAGGCTGCCGGGCACACCCATGACGGAGGTGATGGCATAGTTGCGGTAGGTCTCGGCGGAGATGGGGGACGTCTCGGACGGCAGGCTGCCGTCCTGGGCGGCGCCGTTGGTGCGGGCAAAGTACTGCGGCAGGAAGGCGTTGAAGAGCGGGTAGCCCATGCCGATGCTGGCCCAGCAAAACCAGACGAGGGCGGTGGCGAGACCGAGGGTCTTGTTCTGGAACAGCGGCCGGATTCGGTCGGCAGAAAAGCCCTTCAACTTGGTCGTGAGAAGGGTCTTGGTGGGTGCCGTGTTGAACTCTTGCTGTGTAGACGAGCCTTCGCCGTGCTGGTAGTCCTCGGCGGCAACCTCGTCGAGGATCTCAGACGTGAGCCAGGTCTTGCAGCCGTTCCTATAAGCTAGACCATGGATCACAGCCACGGCCTCATTCTGACGGCCCTTGTTTAGAAGAAATTTTGGAGACTCCAAAAGGTGAAAGACGAAGAAGCGGACGATAAACATGGCAAAAGTGGCAATGCCAATGGTGACGATGAAATAGCGCCAACCCTGCTCAACAGGCCAATTGGCGATAAAGTACCACGCCGCCAGCGACGAGACAAGCTGGCCGATGGGCCACCAAACGGACAGAAGCGTGAGAAGCGAGCTTGACGCGTCCGGTAGAAACTCGAGAAACAGCGCGCCGTCGACGGGCAGGTTCCCTCCGACGCCGAAGCCAAAGGCGGCGAAGAAGAAGCAGACGCCGGCCCAGGTCTGGGCGTAGGCGGCCATGACGCCAAAGACGCTGGTAATGAGCAGAGTCATGTTGAAGGCGATGCGGCGGCCAAGGAAGTCCGAGCCGATGCCCCAGAGGAAGCTTCCCGCGGAGAGGCCGACGAAGCAGGCGCTGGTGGTGTAGCGCACCGTCTTCTCGTCGACGCCAAACTCGGCCGACAGTGAGGGCAGCGTGAGCGAGACGCCCTGGAGCCAGAGGTTGTCGGCGAACCAGCCGAAGCCGCAGAGGACGAAGAGCTGCCAGTTGTAGGTGCCCATGCCGATGTCCTGGACGGCCTTGTTGATGAGCTTGGACTTGATCTCGTACTCGCTCCACTGGGCGCCGCCGCCGCGGCCGTCACGCATGGCCTTGCGCAGGCCGTGGATGCTGTACTCGGCGGCGTCCATCTCCAGCATGCCCGCGCGCTCCTCCTCATCACCGCGGTCCTTGCGCGCGCCGGTCTCGTCGTCGTCGTCGTCGTCCAGGTCAAAGTCACGAGCCTCAAACTCGACGCGGCCGGTGCGGGCCGAGTGACTGTGCAGGTGAGCCTCTTCCAGAGGGACGAGAACGCCGGCGTAATGGTCGACGGATTCGACTCGGCCAAGGCCAAGTCCCCAGGTAATCCTCATGGTTATGGATCGTGGTAAGCCCAAAGCCCCGGACAACGGATATCGATCTCAGCCGGGGAAACCAGTGGGGGATAAAAGGCTCCCAAGTCGCACTCTTTGTATAGATTTCCGAGCGACGCCTAAGCTGGGATAAAAGAGGCCGGTTGAATATAAAGAGGGGAGCTCGGGAAGCAAAGGCGAGATTATTATGTATGAAACTGAGCGGGTGCCTGTGGAGTTGGCGCAAGGGAGCGGAAGAAGCCGAGGGCGCTGCAAGATCCCAGGTAACGCAAAGGATGGTAGGAACGAGAATGAAGAAGATTAGGCGAAAGTAAGCTTTCAGTAAGAAGTAATAGAAAAGAACGAGCGGAAAGGAAGAAAAGACGCGCCAAAAGGGAACGGCTATGATGAGAGACGGATGGATGGTATGGGAGAAATGGATAGAGGACAGAATTTGGCTATTGACAGGCCCGGAAATAATCATGGCTGAGCTGGCCTCGGTTTGCCCAGACAGCCAGGGCAGCCAAAACAGGGGCTGAGCCAGCGCTAATAAAACGGTGCCCGCGGCTCCCACGCACAGTATAAACCCACTATACGTACATAGCTACTGTAGGTACTCGCTGTCGAGACAAACTGCAGCGCTTTGCTGAGCCACCAGACGGTGGGTACCAGGGTGAATGCAAACACCGTGCGGAGGAGGACTGTGGTGCTGCCACGACTTGGTGCTGATTTTTTTTGGGGTATGTATTTCTCTTTTAGTAAAATTGGTAGATGGAGAGAGATTTATGTTTTCATTGAATATTTCCAGGAACTTTATACGACCCGAGGCTGTGTCAAAAGTGGCATTCTAGGGTCTTGGTATTCATAGTTCCAGAGAAGTGTTCTTATAAACAGTTACAGTGACAAAGAATATCATCAACAGGAACAAGGAAATGAGGAGACATAACAACTCAAGTATATGAGTCAAAAACATGAAGAAAATCAAAGTTTGGGGCAAGGAGAGACAAAAACTTGGCGGAAACCTTCTTATGGCTCGACTTGCCTCAACTCGATAACCGCCGGCATCATAATCGCAGCAACAGGTGGTTCAGAGATGACATTCAAACGAGTACTACATTTGACCAAGGCTGCTATCTATGAATGTTCCTGATCGTACGAGTCTAACAGCCCGATCTGCTGCTGTATTGGACAAGGTGCAGCGTATTGTGAACGATGGATTCGACTACGCAGCAGGTTTCACCCAGGTGGGCAGTTAAAGAACATTTCACCTCGAAAGCTAAGCAAAACAGAATTGCTTTCCATTCTGCATAAACTATTATCAGATTTCTCTTTACCGAACAGCAATCGCAGTAGTGATTCAAAGTAGTGGCGCATCACCTTCAGATACCTGCTGTGTTCGTATGTCTCAAGTTGATTCGTTTGCAACAGCATGTAACGGCACTTTGGGCCAGGTAGCCACCACTAATTGCCCGTATTGACTTCTTTCGAATCATAATTTCGACCACCATTTACCAAGCAAAGAAAATCCATGGCGTTGTCACTGCAGCGCCTGAGACATGCATCTGCTGGCCCTTGACCGAACCATGGAAAGACCGGATTCTAGACTACTCCGTGCAATTATAAGACGCGTGACCTTTTTGTGACATGATAAAAGGGCGGGGGGCTGAAATCCAAGATGACGATACTGCAACATGAAGGCTATCTATCCATTATACCTACATCAAAGAAGCATCTATTCCATATCATTCCTCGTGCTCCAACCCTGCCTCCTTGGCCTTCTCGTCCGCCAACTCGCACAGCGCCTTCCACTCCCCGTCGCTCACCCTGCTCACGCTCAGCCGTCCCAGCTTGAGCATCTGCATCGTCTCCAGCGGCCCGCCCGCCGCGCCCATCGCGCGCAGCTCCTTGAGGTAGATGGGCACCGCGAACTTCTTGCGGAACTCGACGTGCACCAGATCCCACTTGGGCTTCTCCTCGGTCGACGACGGGTCGTAGTATGGCGTCCCGGGGCGCCTGGCGCTCTCTGGATTTCCTACGTTAGACCGAGATTGCACACGTTTGCAAGAGAGGGGCGATGATGAAAAGGACAACGAAGAAAAGAAAAAGTATGATGCTTACTGTCCTCGGAAAACTCCTTGACAATCTCCATGATGCCGACGATGCCAGGCTCCTTGCAGTTGGAGTGGTAAAAGAAGGCCTTGTCGCCGACATTCATGTTTCTCATGTTGTTGCGTGCTAATAAAGAATTGTCAGACCTTCAGAAGGGGCAAGAAAATCGAGCAAATATTCATACCAGGATACGCGCGGATGCCTGTCCCCGGACGACATGTTAGCGAGAGCTTAGTGTTTCACAAACAAGCAAACCACACGTACCGTCCCAGCCCTCAGGCCTCGTCTTGGCCCGCAGGTCGTCGATCGAGAAACGCACGTCGTGGCCGTTCTCCATGCGCGTCTCCGGCTCCGCCTTCATCAACCAGTACCACTCGCCCTCGTGCCTCGGCGCGTCCGGGTTCACGGCTGGTATCGAGTCCACATCCGGGTCCTCCGATCCTGCCCGATCGGCGCCGTCTTCCTCGGTGTCTTTGACGGATGCCTTGGCCTTTTTGCCCTCCTTGCCCCCAGGCTTTGTGGTAGCAGGTGCCGCCTTCTTGGCAACCTTGGCCGGCTTTGCTGCCTCCGTAGCAGCTGCAGACGCCTTTCCGTTGACCTTGGCCCATTTGTCGGCAGCCTTTTTAGAGACCTTGCTCTTGGCTACCTCAGATGGCTGCTTGGTCTCGGACTGGGCAGAAGCAGGCTTCTTTACCTGTGCTGGCGCGGGGTTTGACGCGGTTGCCGCAGCGGCCTGTCGCGACGATCGCCGCTTGGCGACGGGCTCAGCATCGTCGGCGCCGTTCGCGACCGCGTTGTTACGCTTACGTGCGGGCATATCTCTCGCTGGGTAGATCTTCACAACCAATGGGCTTGCAAGAAGAAGAAAAAGCCAGGGAAAAAAGGCTCAGGCAAGTACTGTTTTCAACGCAGAGAAGTGGGCGAGTGCAACAGCAGATAATTTGATGCGCGTCGCACAATGCAGGCAAGCACCGTTGTGGCTAGTAAGAGATAGTGAGCAAAAGTGCTAAAAATGTGGCTGGCTTTGCTTAAATATGGGGGGAAACAGGGTGAGTTGAGATCTCCCCGCCTAATAAGCAGTTTCGGGACCCATAACTCAACGACAGGTGATGGTTCCAGGGCCGGGATGAAGACTGTAGACAGCGTGATAATTACTAAATTGAAAAAAAGACGCTGAAACACCAATTTAGACAATGCGAAATAGCATAGAAACCCCTCAAGCTAAAATTTAAAAAATGTGATACCATGCCGGCTGCTAGTATGGGCTGGTACCCTCGTGTCGGCCTCTCCCGCATTGCATCCCATTCAGACACACTACCAGCGCAGACGAGTATTTTCGTCCAAAAACCTCGTTTCCTGCGTTTTCTGCAAATACTGGGTGTATACAGAGTCCACTGGGGCCGAAAAGACCTCGACAGCGCACTACCTGTGGAGGCACAGCGAGATTCCCCAGGGCCGCTCAGAGCCGGCACCTTCCCTCCCATGGCGAAGCCACCCATCAAAGCCGGCAAAGTTTGCATCCGCGCATCGAAGCGAATTTGCAAGTCTTCATCTCAAAAAGACATCAAATTCAAGGCGGAAACTCGGGGATTTTAACGGTGTCGTAAAAAAAGGTCACGGCACCTCATATGCCGCCGATGCAGCCCATCGTGCAAGCCAGTCGCGAGAGCATGCCGCCATGGTCAAGCCTAATATTCCAGCACCTCCACAACGATCTCGATGCATTGAAATAATACACGCCGCGTATCCATCGTAAGAATGAGCAAAATAATTGTCGTTTAGTAAAATCGGAGCGGAATAGCGAGGGAGGCGTGCACTGCGCTGGGAGCCGTTGGCATCCGATTGGCCAGCGGCGCAGGCTGACCAAGTCTCTTCACCCACACATAAATACCCTCCCACCCCTCCTCTTCGTCCCTCTTCCCTCTTCTCTTTTACCGTTCCCTTTCATAGTCTTGTCCAAAGAAACCGGTTCCCTTTCATATCATCTCTCCGTTCCCAAAGTTGTTCTCAACTCGCTCTGGCCCCCACACCAGTGTGTATACCTTCGTGCTGTGTTGTCACACCCACCGCCATACCCTGACTGCCCTATCGCTTCCCTCATTGCTGCACCATAATACCTTCATTAGAAACCACACCGTCCCAAGCAAGACACACTCTCACGTCTGACTCCTTTCACCAAGATGGCAAAGCGATCTCATTCACTTGCCATGGCTGACGCCATGACTTCCCCTCTCACACCACCAGACCCTGTTGTCAACAGCAAAGACTCGCAGTACCATTCCCTCCTTTCATCCCCACCCGGTAACACCGGCCTCAGTCGATCAAAGCACTGCCGTGGCCCCGGTGGCAGCTGTCATCAACCCATGCATTGGCACCCTGGACAGCAATGGATATGCGGTCTGACGGGCATACCAATTAAGAGCCCATCGTCCGAGTCCGGTTGGAGCACCTTGCCACAGGTACAGTCGGTCAAAGACACATCGGAAGGTGATTCACAGGGCATGACTCTCAAGCTGGAAGTCGGCCCTGATACCCATTGCTCGTCAGAGTATTCGCGCCGCCGTCCAACTCAAGACGAAATGCTTGTGGGATGCGGGGCCTGGCAGCACCATCAACTGGAGACAGAGATGGTCCCTTCCATGCCATTTGAAGAAGCACTGGCACATGAACTACCCAAACCCGACCAAAGAGACAATTGCAACAAGCGTCACTCTGATGGAAAATCACAAATCAACAAAGGCTATTGTCCAAGCCTTCCAGGTTCATATTCCGATCCATAAATACGAGCCGATGCTCTAGCCAAGAGATGAGATACCGAAAACTCCGAGGCAAGCAAAATATGAGATTGTCCTTCACCGGAGGTCACCCAAACATCTTGGTGACGGCTGCGTACAGCTTCTGGACGTTGTTCCACATCAGACCGACTATGCCGACAACAGCAAAGATTTGAAAAATCTCAAAGGGCGACCTTGTTTTCACTTCGGTCTCGACATAGGGCGTCTTTGTGTCAGACATTGCTGGGAACCGTCCCTCCGTCATGTACACCTCCATTAGCTCGTCTTTCTTATACCATTCCTTGCGCAGCCATTCTTCGAATTCATTTTGGTCATCGAGGGGGATATCAGCTAGGCGGAATCTCCTCCAATGAAAATTGACGGACTTGGGTGGTCGGCCAGCAAAATATGTGCCGCTGAGTGAAAAGAGCTCCTCCCCGTATTCACCACGCCTGCGTTACGGGTTGAGGTTAGCCTCGCTTCATTTTCAGAAGGTATTTTTTGAGGAGAGGTTAGGATGTGGACTTTGAGAACGTACTTTATGCCTTCATAAGCGACGGTGCAATCATATACATATTCTACCGAACCCTTGAGCTCGTTCAGACAAAAGAAGGTGCCTGTGCTTCGGGGTAGCATGACGTGCTCCGGATCTCTAAGGTCGTTTTTGGCGGCCCAGCTTGACGATTTTCGCCTTCCATTGTTGGAAAGGTTGGTTCCCTCGGGAAATAGAAGCAGCCACATGGGGTCGTAGTATCTGCTCCCGTTGGGGGCCGTCTTCAACTGTCGCAGCTTCTGCAGGCGATGGGCGAGACGCGGGCGGTCCGTGGCCATCTTGCGCGACATAAAGATGAAACCGTAAAACATCATGCCGGTGCCCATGATTGGGATCCAGCGAAGAGAGTCTTTGAGGATGATGTAGATGTGGCCATGCATGCCGATGCGATTGGCATACGCGACCCACCAGAGGTACAGCCAGTCTGTGTAGATCTGAGATGAGTTAGCGGCGTGCAGGGAAAAGTTGCGTTTACTTGGAGACGTTTCTTACCTGGTGGTTTGCGATCATGACCATGCGCTCAGGGAAGTCAAACTGAACAGTGCCGTCCGGCATCTTCCTGATTTGGCCGGCCACAGACTCGTCGCCGCTGACGCGAATGGTGGTTCGCCCCCAGATTCTGGTCATAACAGTGATGACGAGGGCAAAGGACCGCTTGGTCATGGCCATGTAAGCGTAAAACATGTCCTTGTTGACAAAGTAGAGCGGCGCGCCAATCAGCTGGGTGATGCCGATGCTGCGAGGGAGCGCATTAGCCAAACGAACCGGGTGCAGCTCGTCCCGCCGGAACTACCGGGATCGTTTCTCGAGCAGAGGAGGGGTGATCCAACATACGCGATGCAGCATGTCCAAAAGTACACGGCAAAGGCAAGGCCGCGCAGAAACATGACAACCGCGCCATGTCCGGCCTTACCGGAGGGGTGATGGGCGGCGGCCGAGGGCTTCGTCGGCGCGGGCTTCTCAGTCGAGCCGTTGAGGCCATCTTTCAGCCCCAGAGCCGCATCCGGGCCGGGAATGTCTTCCTGGCTCATGATGGCGGCAGGAAGCTGAACGGATCGGGGCACGGTTTTCAACGATGAGAAAATATGCGCTCGGATGCTGGCAGTGCGGGGGAGATGACGGTGAGTATGGTGAAATGAGAAGGAGAAAATTCTTGAGAGCCGATGGGGCGAAGACGCTGTCGAGAAACAAGAAACGCAGCTCGTCGCACCCAGGGACAAACAAGTTTGCGGAGATGCAGCTGCAGGAGGAGCTAAAAGGCGTTGGTCAGGCAGACATTCTTCACGAGCTTGGGCAATCAGGTGATAACTTGTTTGAAGCCCGGGTGGCTCGGTAGCTCGAGCGGGTGGCTGGAAGCTGGAAGCTGGAAGCTATGCGCCGAAGAATTAGGCTGACAACAGCTTGGAACCAGCAGCCAAGATCGATGTGGGCAATACTCTTAACCGAAGCTTATCCGCCGCCCCTAATTCAGCACATTGAGTTGTGATTGTGGAAGCCGGATTGTTGAGTCTATTGTAAGAATTGGTAAAATTATTGCATTTACTCCCCATTGCTGGGAATGTATTGTTGGATGCAGTGCAAAGACATCGGGCACTGATCGAGGAGTGGTCAAGTCTAACGCCGTTACCAGGCGTTGTTTAATGGAGCCCCTGTGGCCTTGCTCCCGCGTGGCGGTGCTGGCAGCTGATGCCGCCTTGTTCATTCAACCAAATCGTAAAGCATGGGAAAAAGAAAGAATTGGATAATCTGGGGGGGAAATCATGATTTACTTATGCAAGAGCTAATAAGTAAAAAAAGAACAGAGGGCGGCTTTTCATGCCAAGTTATGCACAAAGTACTACTCCTTACAGCGCCACCTTTCGTAACCGCACATAAGTCTGCTGTGGCTTGTACACCACGCCAAATTTCCCCAGCGGACTCGACAGCTCCTCCGGGCACTCGAGCATCTCAAATTTCCACACCACGCTGACCAGCAGCAGCCGGAAGCTCATGTACGCCAGGCGCTTGCCGAAGCACGACCGGATGCCCATGCCGAAGCCGTTGCTCGGGCCCGCGTTGGGGTCGCACCTCTCCGCGCCGTCCACCAGCCAACGCTCCGGCCGGAACGCCTCGACGTCGTCGTCCGCCCACGCCGCCGCCTCCTTGCCGCCGCTCGAGTGCCGCAGCTTGTCATCGACGGGGTAGGACGGCATCGTGAAGCCGGGTCCCGCGCTGAGGTGCATGACCACGGTGCCCTTGGGGATCGGCCGCCCGAGGACCTCGGTGTCGCGCGTCGCCTGCCGCGAGTTCATGGGCACGACGGCGCACGTGCGGAACAGCTCCTCGATGGTGGCGTCGAGGTAGGGCAGCGGTGTGTCGAGCACCTCCTCGACGGTCGGCTGGCGCCGCTCCTCGAGGGCCGCGGCGTACGCGGACTGCAGCGCCCGCCGCAGCGCCGTCTGCGTGGCCTGCTCCCGCGACAATAGCTTGACCGCCCAGCACATGGTGGAGCTGGACGTGTCGTGGCCGCCGACGATGGCGCCGAATACCTGATTTTGCTTTCACGTTAGTCTACATTAGCTGATTGGGAGAGCGCGGCTGGGGTTTTCACGGTACCTCTCCTCGCACCGCCTCGCCGAAATAGTCGGGCTGCCTGTTCTCCTTGCCCGCCATGATCCTCTCGCGGTTAACTATTAGGTCGACGCCGTGCCGCGCCGTCTCCTCCGCGGTCCTCTCGTCCAGGGCCTTCATCCTCTCCAGCGCCCTGCTGACCTCGCGCCGGACGCACTCGTCCTTGGCCCTCTTCAGCGTCCTGTAGCGCCCCGTCATCGTCTCAAAGTACCAGCCCAGGTCCTGCAGGCCCATCGACTGGACGGCCTCCGCCCGCTCGATGAAGTCGATGATGTTCTGCAGCTCGGTGTCGATCTCGCAGCGCGGAAACACGGCCGGGTCGTCCGCGCGCGGTCCCCGCTCGACGTCCCCGGCCGACAGCGCGGCCAGCGCCTCCAGCCTCGGCCGCACCGCCCTGTACGGGTACTGGCTGCCAAAGGTGAAGACGGTGACGGCGTCGAGCGTCGCGTGGAACAGGTCCGTCTCGGCGTCGAAGGGGCGGCCGGCCGCCAGGCGCGCCTTCTCCTCCCAGAGGCGGACGAAGACGGCGCAGCTGGAGTGGATGTTGGGCGCGGCCACGTTCTTGAGGAAGCGCGCCGACATGGTGTCCTGGCTGAGGCGTCGGCGCGCCTTCCACGCGGGCCCGGTCGGGAAGGTAATCTGGCCCTGGCCGATGATGGGCCGCAGCAGGTTGCTGACGAAGACGGTGCGGTCAAAGTCGGCGCTGCGGTGGACGAGGATGTCGCGCGTCTCGCGCGCGTCGGCGACGATGACGACGGGCTTGCCGAGCAGGTTCGTGAACACCTGGTTGATGACGGAGCCGGACTGGAGGTTCTGGTCGCGGAACCAGAGGAAGACGTCGCCGCGCCGCTTGATATCAGCAACCAGGCTGGGCACGTCGCCAAGGAGCCGGCCGGCAGATTCCTTATTGTAAGGGATGCCGGGAATGGGCTTTGGCAAGGCCCATCGATACAGCTGGTAGAGAAGGCTGAGTATAATACCAGCGGCGATGAGAGCAGTATGCGCCATGATTGCGGTAGCTATCTGTGTTGTTGAAGGTACCCGGAAGATGACGCGCAAGCGGGCCAGGCAGAGACAGACGGAAGCGCAACTTTATATGCAGGGGAAGTTCGATGAGTAAGTTTAGAGCTTAGTTTGGCATCCATTCGGAGACTTTCTCGATGTCTTCATTCGTCGCCCCGTCTCTTCAAACAACTCGTAGCTTGATGGGGCGCAGCCTGCTAGGAGGAGTTCTCCACGTCAACCGTCAGCCCTAACTCAACGGCGATCATGAGATAGTTGGTAAACCACAACTTATGATTCGTCGGTGGCCATGTCCTGTACACTCTCGTCTTGGCGACATGAATGGACTGCGGTTGCAGTTGTGTTACAGGAATGGGTCTACATGACTATCCTGGGCGAGAGGAACTTGCTGATTTGTATGCCCACCTTGTGAGCCTCGGAAAATGCTCAGAAGCCGAGCCTCGAGAAGCGCCATGTTGCTCGCTAGCGTCGCAGTCTCGTCTAATGAAGGCCCCTAGCTGTCGCGATTAGTATGAAGGGCCGGATTAGATGATGATCAGTGGCTGTTTGGCTAAACTAAGATGGTGCTTATTTTTGTACAAAGCTTGCGCCTTGATCGACGTGGTGCCGAGATGTGCTGGCAAGCCTGACTTGGTGGTCGTTGGCCATTTCTCGAACGAGCCTGAACTTTAAAAGTTACTCGTCACATGCGTCGTCATTTTCATGGACCGGGATGAAATACGTTGTGAGGCTCTGCATGGCAGCCTTATCGTGGTGGGGTTTGGTGAGGAGGCATCGAGGATGGTGGGCTTCTTGCAGCAGTGATTCAACATATCTGGATTCGGTAGTTAGGACCAACCAATCTTATGTTGCAGGGTGCACGGGATAGTTAGATTGTTGCGTATGAGTTGAAGCCTGATTGATGGGGGAAATGTAGCAACCCGACGAGTATATTGATCAGCCCCAGAACCCCGTACAACCAGCAGCCTTCATCATCGTCCTTTCAAGAACAGTCTACACCACAGATATGCGTCTTAACCTTAATTCCCTTACTATCTGAATTCACCACTATGCGATGTTCAAGAATTTTAAGGCGGATACTAAGGTGTCATCCAAGTCCCCGTGATTAAGCTGTAGGAGTACTGATTTGATGCTCAGGTGGGCCGTTCCTAGGTTCCCAAGGGAATTCTCAAGTCCTCTTTTCTCTCATGTCTTCTACGCATGGCGCTGCACCGCAGACGTGGGCTCGTATACATATAGATCCTTGTTCGGGCCTCTGATGAGTGCAACTGAGCGTATGTACTGTACTGTACATACCTTGGTATCTACAGAGGGTCTTTATTAGCAGGCACAGGTACTAAATTAACGTTAGCGGAAGCTGGCCTCCAATCAACGCCAGGCAAAATGCTAGCGCCATCCATGCATTTTCCCTGAACACAAGATTTTGCCCAGATAGATCAATTGAGATTAATTCACATTTGCAGTATGCCTCGAACAGAAGATTGCGTCTTCTTCCTCGCCTCACATCGTATTCTTTGTGTACCCTTGCGACCGCAAGTCACGAATATACCGAGTCGCCAAGCGCTGTCCCCGCCAAGACCGGCCAGTTCCTACCAGTACTACCCAGTAACAAATAACCTAAGACCTTGGCCGTCTCATGAGAAGAGAAGCCAGCACTGACTTAGTCTTGGCAAGCAACCACAACTTCCAGCTCCTCTATCTTTCTCCTCACATACTCCTCCGGCCATCTCCCATCTTCCACGCCATCATCTCCGCCAATTCTATCACCATTACGCTTTTCCACAGACAGCATCGTCATCCCGAATCCCGCGTCGCCACGGATCCCCGAATCCCCCCTCGAAACATTTCCGACCCACCACTTGGTTGCGTCAACTCTCAGCCTCAGCGCAACTCTCTCTCCCACGGGCGCAACCGAGCAGCCCGCGGGCAACTCGCGATTCGAATGTCGTACATACTGCAATAACACTGTCTATACACTACGACAATGAAGCATCTGGTGCTCCTGCTCGCCGCCACGGCGTGCCTGTCGCAAGCGCACAGCGACTCACCTCAAATCGGTACGTCAGGTAATTTCGGGCATCCCGAGCGTCGTGGCATACAGGTCCAATCGCCGGGCAATCGCCTCCCACACAAAAGCATGATGGAAGCTAACGGTGCAATGTAGCCCGCGTCGACCGCGCCGAGCCCTCCAACCTACCACATGCCTCCGCCGCCGCCCCAATCGACACACTAGATGAACCGGCCGTTGTCGAACGCGCCATAAACGCTGCGCCTTCGGGGTACATCCCGACCTCCTCAGCGTGTCCCAATCCTGCGCCCAAGATCCGCGCAGGAAGCTCCATCGGCCCCGACGAGAAGGCCTGGCTCCTCGAGCGTCGCAAGGAGACAATACCCCATCTCCGCCGGCTCCTCAAGCGCCTCGCCATCACCGGCTTCGACAGCGAGCAGTACTTTGGCAACGTCACGTACAACTCCACAAAGCTCCCCAACATTGGTATTGCCATCTCCGGCGGCGGCTACCGCGCCATGATTGGCGGCGCCGGCGCAATAGCCGCCTGGGATGCGCGCTCCGCCGGCAGCGAGGAGAAGGGAAACCTCGGCGGCCTGTTGCAGAGCGCGACGTATATATCTGGGCTGTCGGGCGGCGACTGGCTCGTCGGCAGCTTATATGTGAACAATTTTACTTCGGTACAGAGTGCGGTAGATGCGCCTCTAATCTGGCAGCTAGAGAACAGCATCTTCAAAGGTAGGGGGGCACTCAGCCCGCGCCATCCCCCCATCAACCGTTGAGGCTGACTGACATCTTTGCTTCAATAGGACCGGACCAGTATAGTGTCCGTGGATATTACACCGACGTTTTTAACGAAGTAGAGGGCAAGTCCAAGGCCAACTTCAATGTTTCCGCCAGCGACTACTGGGGCCGCATGCTGGCCTACCAAATGGTCAACGCCAGCAACGGCGGGCCAGGCTATACCTGGAGCTCTATCGCCAATGACACCGACTTTTCCAATGGCAAGGCGCCGATGCCGTTCCTGCTCGCCAACGGGCGCGCGTCCGAAAAGACCGTCATCACCTCGGTTAATTCCACCGTCTACGAGTTCACGCCGTGGGAGCTCGGTTCCTCCGACCCAACCCTCGCTGGCTGGGTGCCGCTGCGCTACGTCGGCACGACCTTTCAGGACGGCGACGTGACGGACCGCGCTAGCTGCGTGACCGGCTTTGACAATGCTGGCTTCGTCATGGGCACCACGTCGTCGGTATACACGCAGTCCATCTCGTTGCTCAAGGACAACAACAAAAAGTACATCCCCGGCGACGCGCCCGACTTCGCCATCAAGACGGCCGCCAAGCTCATCTCGGCGCTGAGCAACCCGACCGCGTACGACATTGCCGAGTGGTCGCCGAACCCGTTCCGCGGCTTCAACCCGGCGACCAACCGCAACGCCAACCACTCGCGCCTCAACCTCGTCGACGGCAGCGAGGACGCCCAGAACGTGCCCTTCCACCCGCACCTGCTCCCCGAGCGCGCCGTCGACGTCGTCTTTGCCTATGACGCCTCCTCCGACACCGAGTACGGCTGGCCCGACGGCTCCGCGCTCGTCGCCACCTACGAGCGCGCACAGCAGCCCACCTTGCGCGACGTCGGGCCCTTCCCCTCCATCCCGGACCGCAACACCCTCCGCAACCTGGGCCTCAACGCGCGCCCGACCTTCTTCGGCTGCAACGCCAGCAACTTCTCCTCGACCGCCTCCCTCCCGCCGCTGGTCGTGTGGCTGCCCAACCAGCCGTACGTCTACAACGGCAACCTGACTACCTTCACGTGGACGGTGCGCGACCCGGAGCGCGCCGCGCTCATTGACAACGGCTGGGCCGTCGCCACGCAGCTCAACGCCACCCGCGACACCGAGTGGCCCGCGTGCGTCGCCTGCGCCGTGCTGGCGCGCAGCCTGCACCGCGCCAACGCCACCGTGCCCGCCCAGTGCGCACGCTGCTTCGACCGGTACTGCTGGAAGGGCAACCTCAACAGCAGCACGCCCGTGCGGCCCTACGACCCGACGTACTACGGCAAGCCGATCATCGTCAAGGACAGCGGCGCGGCGCGGCGCGCGTCGTCGGTGCTGTGCGTCCTCCCCGCGGCGGTCATGCTCATCGTTGCGATGCTGTCGCTGTAAGAATGGGGGATGCGGCGCGAACCGGAACAAACGGCCGCGTCAAAGTAAGAGGCATCGCTACGCGTAGTAGACTTTTCTCCTTTTTTTTTTCTGATCGAAAATATTGTCAAAACATCACCAGGTGATCATCACTCGCAGGCGTCGGGCGTTGCAGCAATTGGGCCATTTCTTGTTTTCTTGTTTTTATGTGCTCTTCAAACATTTAGCTCTCCTCCCGTCCTATAAACCGTCGTAAAAACTCTTCTTCTTCGTTTCTCGCGATTGGCGTACCTATACCATCGGCTACGTATACTTTCATAGTCCATTATATTAAACCATTAACGATATTGTAAGTGCTCGACCATTACCACCGCCTCCTTTGTTGCGCGTCCGTGTCCTCGCTCGGCGCGGTTCCGGTCCCCGTCGTCGTCGTCCGCGTCGCCCCTGACGAGGAGGAATTCGAGGAGGAGAGGTACTCGCCCGAGTCCATGAACTTGTGCTCGCGGACGGGCACCTTGTTCTCGCTCTCGTAGAATTCGTTGATCATGTTGTCAATCTCCGAGGCGATGCCCAATGTCCAGGAGAATGTGTTCACCCCCCGCCCAAAGGGATCCCACAGCGACCACATCTCGTTGAGGAGGATGATGACCATGGCGCTCGTAACGGCCAAGATGGCCATCCGCCAGACCAGGGGCAGCCCGGATGTCGACATGAACCAGGAGCAACGCCGTATGGGCACGGTGAAGGCGATGCCGCGGCTGCAGACGTCAATGGTCCAGAGCATGCAGAGGGGTATCACGTCGGATCCACCATATACCGTGCATTCTCGTCCGGCTAGGGCTAGCATGTCGATGTTTTCCCCTATTATTGGTTAGCAGAACGGCGCAGGCAAAGTGTGTGCTGATTCGACTCACGGACGATGGGTGCGCGACCGGGATCGAGATAGTGATTGTCAACAATGTTTTCGAAATGGTTGCGCAAGTTATAGATGATGTGCTGCGGTGCCATGGATGGCATTTCTTCTATTCTCCACTGCTGAGCAAATTCTCTTTCCAGATTCAACGAAAGCAGCTCAAAAAAGTATTCTATTCTAACGTGCTGTTTGGGGCCATGGCGATGCAGAGGTAGATCGTGACTCCCGGCGCAAGGTGAGGTGGCAAATACCCTTACGCCGTCGTGGATCTCTTTTAATTTGTAAGCAACTTGTTGACAATATTTCGTCACTGCCGGTTCGCAGGTGTTTCCTTGCACTTGGTGTAGAAGCGCGACCGGATATGCCGTGAGCAGCGCCAAACATTCGCTATCTCGGTTAGCGAGCCGCAAAGTAGGAGCTGTTTTCGGGGGGGGGTTTCATACTACACCGTTAGAGGCAATTCGCCTTGCGAGTGGCCTCCGCCAGGTACGCTCATGGCTTTGATAAAGGCGTACGCCAAGGTGGCGGCGGTTTGTCGGACACGCTCCATTCTCTCCCTCGTCGCTCGCAACCTGGACTGTGTCAGTTGCTACTCACCTGCCTGCGAGAAAGAGGGGAGAGAATACCCAAAGTAGCCCTGGCCAATTAGAAAAGCTGCTGATCCCGCCAGAACTGCAGTGCCCCAAGCTACGATAGAGTCCAAGACCTCGCCATTGCCCGTATGCCAGTCTGACGAGTTGCACACGCCTTCATCGAGCACGATACGCAACACGAGTTGATAGATGAAGAACAGGGCTATCCAGCAGAAAAGCTTGAGCAGGGGAAACCCGGGGCGGACTTGATAGCCGACGTCTCTGCAGCTTTCCGGATGCCGGATTTTGGATTCCACCCTGGATCGAAACAGCTGTCCCCGGGCCCGGCGCCAAAACGGCACAGGGCGGATCTGCTCTGGCCATGTCCCGCATCCAGCCTCGAGATCGATGAAGCCGCGCTGAGACTCTGGTGTGCTGGCCGCGGTCCAGGTTCCCTCCGTGTCCGTATTTGCGTAAGTGCCCGCGTCGGTGTCGGCGTCTCCATCTCCGTCCGAATGCGTCGCGGTGCTCGTCTTGCTCGTCTTGCTCGATCGGCTGCTGTTAGGTATCGACTGGGGCGGTTTCGACTGGAAGGACTTGACTTCTTTGATTGGCGATGGTCGAAATCGAAGGCTACGAAGCCCTTTTTTGGAGTTGCGCGTGGTTCCGAAGCTGGGCTGCTGGTCAAAGGAGGATCGTATCGAGGAGTGCGCAACGGCATCGCGTCGTCTGCCCGAGTATATCAAAACGTCATAAGGAGAAGAGCTGGATACAGCGCAGTTATCCATTGCGCATCGAGGAGGATGGCTAGCGGGAATGATGCTGGCATGTTTGGCGAGAGAGATGTCGAGGTCAATGTCGATGTTGATGTGGAAGCAGGACTAGGTAGCGCAAAGGAGCACCTTCCAGTTGAGAGTCTGCCACCCGCATTTCGGCCTCTTGGGGATTAGCAACTACGAATAGAGATGGTTCTTCTCTCGTACTCCCAGCGTTGACTTGAACGGTCACTTGAATTCTTGCTGTTAGAATAATTGATTCGAGCAACGGATTAAAACAATATATTAGATCTGGCAACCGCGGTTACTCTTTTTGGTACAAATTTCAACAATGCCTCTCCCAAATAGTAACTAATATACAAAGTGGTTCTATTCAAACAAACGAAACTTCAAAATCGCCATGTGTTCTATACTTGTGATGGGCGGATAATATTGTAAATGCGTGGACGAATCTGTCCCCAGCGCCGCGCGACGACGATGGCGGTGGCGGCAGCAACAAGGAAAAGCAAAACAGGGGCGATGACCTCTGTAAAGTGGTCCGCAATGTAATTTAGAGCACGGCCGTCCGAGCCATGCCAAGATCGGCCAGCGGCGTGGTGCACGAAGCCGTGGAGGAACGAGTCCTTGAGCACCGCCATGGATTTGATTTCCGAGGCCTGGTTGTACAGCCAGGCGTACTGGTTCATGACGGACGTGATCATCAGGGGGCCCGTCGACCAGAAGACGACGACGTAGGGCAGCATGAAGCGTCCGGAGAGGGAGCCCGCGCGCTTCTTGGCCTCGTGCAGCGCCCACAGGAGGAACTCGGAGTCGCGCTCGGCCATGAAGAAGTGGTTGCTGATGCCCCTATCCTCGCTGGTGGGCGCGAGGATGGCCTGGTATCCGAGGTTCTGGAGGCAGGATATGGTCTCGGCCGAGGTGTCGAGCGAGGGATAGGCGTCCAGGTCGGCGTAGATGCCGCCTTCGTGGTGGACGACCATCAAGCGAGCAACGTCGGCGCGTTGAATGTTGTACTTGTAGGATTCGTATGTTGACAGGAACCACGGGTAGGAAGACTTGACCAGGTTTACTATGTCGGCCTCTGTCCAAAGCCTTATCGTGTAGTTTGTGTTTTCGAACTTGGACTCCCAGGCACCCGTCGACGCCGTGAGAGGATAGGTGGAAAGGTCCTTGTCCTTCCATATTTGATGGATCTTGTTCGGTATCCGGGGATTTGTGTTATTCTTCGATAGCTCGCAGTGGTCGACAGTGTCGGCGGCGTCTTTTATTCTCTCTGGGGAGGCGATGCTTGGGGAGAGGGCATGGTGTAGGAGGAGGAAGGAGAGGATTGCACCGACGCCAACGGCCAGCAGCACAAGCCGAGATGCTCTCTTGAAGCAACCCAGTGGCATGATGGCTACGTCTAGTGTACCAGGATCAATGACAGATGGAAGTGGAAGTGTTGGGGAAGTTTGACCAAGTCAGATCTCAGATCTTAGTAACAGATGGCTGGAGAAAGGACTATAATAACAAAGGCAATATTGGGAAGCAGAACCAGACAGATGGAGAGAGGGTGTAAGTAGTGACGAGAAGGAATGGCCAGGTGAAAGGAGAGTTAGAGGGGACCTGGAAGATGGTGATTGGGAGGACCAAGAACGGAGTAACTTATTCGACTCGCTACACGATGGCGGCTTGTCAAAGCCTGACACGAAGTACAACTACAGTTATGCAGGCCCGGGAGCTGGGTATGGGTACGGCTTGCTACACCCATAATCTAACAAGCATAACAGTCTCACGAGCCGGCCTTGTCCCCTGATGCCGCAATGGCATTTATCCCAGAGAGAGGGCTACACCGATTGCCGCCAACGGGCCGACGTTTCTGACACCAACACCGGGCGCCGCCCAATAGCAGAAGGGGAAACGCCTTCGTATTGCCAGCTCCACTATACTGGGTAGAAGCATTCTTCGAGGGTGTGGTTCTCTCTTTTTTTTCATGGGCCCCTCGCTAATAAGATGCCATAACTAGTAGCGATGTCAAAGGGACGGCTGCGCCGCGTCACCAAGTGGGCTTTGGGGGCAAGGCTGAATGGGGTAGGAGAAGAAGAAACGCCAACAGATGGACGGTGGCTGGTGAAGGCATCGTCATAGCAGTCAGCATCAGTGATGACAAAGGGGGCGCATCCAAGGCCAAGCATCATTAGTCGTTACTGTGAGACGCCTTCGTACGACCATAGCCAGCAGGCAGTAGTATCCTAGAGGTGAAGTCGCTAACTATGTAGACAGTGAGATTGGTCGGGTGGCAGAGAAAGAGGATCGCAGCCTCAGCAGGATTACGTTGGCCCCTGCAAAAGGGCACATAGCACGTCGTCGGGTTAGCCAGGGAATGCGAGCATTTAGCAGGGGGGGGATAACATAAGAAACGTGCGGCTTGTCCCTTTTTGGTGGAACAAGGAAGCCACAAAGTTTTGCCCCTTGTTACAGGCAGAACTATGGAGCTAGTTGACCAGTTATACTGCTTAGTTAGCAGTAACTATGTACATACATACATTGTTACCAGTAGTGAGGGAAGAAGGTTTGGTCGTAGGGCTGCTGGGTCGCCCATCCCATCCGTGTTGTGGGGGAGAGGGGAGCTGTGAACGGTCTGGTAACGCATTGCATTGGAGGGGTAGAAAAGGGTCTTTTGTCCTTTGTCCATTTGTCAGGTCATTTGTTCCATATCATCCTCGGGAACAAGCAGCGATTACGTACGTCCTTGTCCTTAATAGTATTACTAGATGTTGCCACGTGAGACAGCTCTCTCTTTCTACCTATGAGTGACACGTTGTGGTACTTGATCAAGTCAACCAACAATGACTGGCACGGGGTGGTGATGGTGAATCATCCTGCGTGTGCCCGCAAGAGCCGTTGTGTGCTGTCTACTCTGTCTCGGCAGGGCCCGAGATGATGGCGGCGGGCGGTGTGCGCGCTGCTACATTCTAGAATTCTGCACGACAAGCACCCGTGAGTAATTGTTGTTGAAATTTGGAAAAATCAAGACTCTAATCAAAGGGCCCGAGTCAGCAACGAAACGCAGGACACGAGGCACAGGACACAGGGCACAGGAAACAGGGGCACCAGCCAGCACAGCACCAAGCATTCAAACACTGCAGTACCAAGACTCACTGGGCTGGGGCCTACAATTCCTGGTGTTCCGGTGAGCAAGAAAAAAATGAACATTTCCGGGGAGAGGCAAGTCGGGCGAGATCGATCATGACGGACAGACATGACAGCCTTTGGAATTGGTTGGCTCTGTCGTCTGCTCCTCAACCGAATCGACAAGTCCAACCCAGCTCAACAGCCCACTTTCTACACTTTTTACACTTTTCTGGAGACCAAGCTTTCCTTCTTGCGTAGCCTGCAGACGCGGACCCCTCTTTTGCCCTGCCAAGTTGCTAGTTTGACCCTGCACATCAACCCTTTTTTTTTTTTTCACCTGCCTTCCTGGGTAACTATGTAGTTATCAGTGTCGACATCGACGGGCATAATTATCTCTGTTTTTCTCCCTGGATCTGATCAACTTTTTCCTTCTGTCCGAGGGCCGTATCGTATTTGCTACAGCCCGCCCCTCCTCTATACCAATAGAGTTGGCTTTCGGCCTTGAAAGGGAGCTGCTAAAGGGAGGACCGTGATATTAGCCTGTCTCAAGGACACATCCATCAAGATCCAGGAATTGAGTTGCCATGAGGTAAGAGAAAGACGAAGACGAACAAGACGTTTTCAAGTTCAAGACAAAATTGTGGGCTAGCCCTGAGTGCCGACGCCAGGGACCCGGAGGGCTGGTAGGCGATCAAGGAGCTGTGCTGGCTACGGAATCAGCGGCTCAGCGGGCAACTCTCGCAATCACGTCCCCGATATGTACTAGCCGACCTATCACCGACCCGATGAAGAATGAAAGACCATGGATGCCCAGTGTGGCGCGGCGCCTGATATGCCAAGCCAACCTGGCCTACTCATGTCCCGGGCGACGAGGCCAAGTCCACAGAATCGAGGGTCTGCTAAGTCACCAGTCACTATAGAACAATCAAACTTCACCGCTGACTCGGTCTTTGCATTTTCTCGTCATGTCTCTAATTAGGTCGCCGTTGTATTCCTGCCTTGTCGCTAGTAGCTCGTCGCATTGTTTGTCTCGTCTCTACTTCGTAACGCGGTCCTCAACCGTGCGGCTGGTATAGTCTGCACCGCCATGCCGTCCATACTAATAAGGCTCAGAATGTACCCAGTACACGTGCGCAGCTCGGGTTGAGCCTCAATCAGGGCTCGCCAATCCGACCGCAGCTTGGCATGACACGCCCGAGGCGACCAGGGTATGCCGCATCCTGCAACTGTCAAACCCGGCAGATAATAAAGTATGAACCCAGAAAATCAGCCCGTTTGGGTTGGTTATCCTTGGGCTTCGCCTTCAGTAAAGTGGCCCTGCTGTTGCGCTGCAGGGTAGGCCCTTCCTATGAAGCAACACCCATGTTCGGTGGCAGTGGCCGTAGCCCAGGCGTATCTATATATCTGGCTCTCCTCACCACGACACGATCCGAGAATGGTTGTTTCTTGGCATGAAAATGGTGCCAGTCGAAATAATTATAACACAACGTCGCCGCCCCCGCGCATCGGAAGTCGGGTTCTCGGGTCCGTCTGGCATAGTTGCTTGGATATTATCCCGATGGGCCGCGAAGAGCTTCAAATGACCATGTTGAACATAATGGCGGAATGCGTGGACAGCCAACTTTGATGTTCCAGAGTTTATGACTGTCGTCAACTTTTCAAATGCTGTAATAAGTGTAGATGTAGTGGTGTAATTCGCAACCGACCGAGTGGGCCCCGTGAGTGTTTTGGCACTGAGTCCGAAATCGCTCATCTTCGTTTGCTTCTCTTCAACCACGACAAACGACCGCCAGTCTCGCAGAAAAAATGACCATCACCGTCATTCTAGGCGCCCAATGGGGTAAGTGTTCCTTGCCTCCCTTGACTGAAACGCGTCCTTTCCTCCGGCGCCCGGTCGATATCGAGTTGTGGCACTTGTGATGACTGACCATGACCTCATAGGCGACGAAGGCGTGAGTTCCTCCATCGGAAACCAGTACCGTCGTGTGACATCCAGAATTTGACGATGCAACTCGTGTTCAGAAGGGAAAACTGGTTGATATCCAGTCGCGGGAGGCGCAACTCTGTTGCCGAGCTGCCGTAAGTTCAACCAAGGCACACCAATTCCGCCAACGGCTGCCACGAACCCTTCAAAATTGACGATCTCGCGGCGGAATACCTGCTAATACCTTTCAAGGGTGGACATAATGCAGGTCGGTTTATTTGTAGCGAGCGGCACCCGTTCCGAGGATCAGCGCTGACCGGTACGACGGGCTTCAGGTCACTTGATCAAGTTCGTCACACGCTTTTCATTGATGTACATGTTATTTGCTAATCAGTTAAAAGGGTGGATGGAGTTTCCTATAGGTAGGGAACCGGCTGTCGTAGTTGCCAGGAGTTGGCTACTAACTTGTAGCAGCTTTCACCTCCTGCCCTCCGGGCTCATGAATCCCCGGTGCATGAACTTCATCGGTTCCGGCGTTGTTTTTCACATGTACGTCATCGGAACCCTCCCCGAATGTGATCTCATCGATAGCCAGGCAGGCATCTTCTTGATGTCTCGCCTGGCCACAATTCAACAGGTCAAAGACTGACTCGGTCGCCCCCAGCCCAACCTTCTTCAGCGAGCTCAAAGAGCTTGAAGAGAGTATGTCGCAGCATATCCCGACCGCTTCAGCATCAGTATGTCTAACATGAACCCAGAGGGTCTGACTGCGGTACACGACCGCATCCTTGTTTCGGACCGTGTCAATGTCCTCCTGGACATGCACATGGCAGTGGATGGCCTGGAGGAGAAGGAGCTTGGAGGTTCGTCCCGACCTTTCCCGTGTCTTCTTCTCAAAGCAGCAGCTAACGGAAACCTCAGACGAAGCCATTGGAACAACAAAACGCGGTACCGTACCCTCACAGCTCCCTACTGCGCTATTCCCTGTTTGCTGGGTTCGCGCCTTCACAAGCACCCCCGTAAATGAAGCGTAGAGCCAGCGACTCTATCAAAGCAACCGGGTCTAACTTCAACCATAGGCATCGGCCCATGCTACCAAACAAGCAGAGCGGTAAGACTTTACTTGGCTTGATGAGGGCGTCGCACTGTGCGCTGACGTTTTCCCAGCGAACTGGCATCAAGTTGACAGACATCTTCTATCCCGGAAGCTTGGAGAAGAAGATGAGGCGCTTAGCTGATGGCTATCGAAAGCGCTTCGGAGAGCTGTTCACGTACGACGTTGAAGCCGAGCTCGCTCGTTTCGAAGAGTATAGGGAGACGATGGGCAAGTACGTCGTCGACGGCGTGTCCTTCATGGCATCCGCGCAGCAGAGCGACTCCAAGATTGTGATCGAAGGCGCAAACGTAGGCCCTCCCCCCCAGAGGTAGGAAAAACAGCGCTGACTTCGATAGGCACTGATGCTAGATGTTGATTACGGCTCGTACCCGGTAAGTCTGCGCCAGCTTCCTTCTTCCACCAGCGGTTTTTAATCGACAACAGTTCGTCACTTCGTCGAATACCACGCTCGCTGGCGTCATCGGTGGCCTCGCTCTGAACCCGAAGAACATTACGGAGACGGTTGGGGTCGTCAAGGCTTGTATGTTGATCGCTCCCCATTCCTGACGCTCGCTGCTAACTGGCAAACAGACACCACCCGCGTCGGTTGGGGCGCCTTCAAGACCGAAGATACGGAAGAGTGCGTCCTTATCACACTACCCGGAAGCAAACCTTGGACTAATCAAAGCTCCCTAGGATTGGCACTAAACTCCAAGAGATTGGACGCGAATGGGTGAGGCTACCTTCCGCCCCAGGGCAGTGAAGCTTTCGACCGCTGACAGGACATAGGGGACGTCGACCGGCCGCAGGCGCCGATGTGGATGGTGAGCTTTCTTCACTTTTGCTGCCGATCAACTTGCTAACTGTTGGTAGGCTCGGTACGAAAACTTCAACCCCTTTCCCCCCAAGCATTGGGAACACAACTAACAGTTAGTACCAGACCTCGTGGTTGTCAAATACAGCAACTCCATCAACTACTACACCAGCCTCAATCTCACAAAAGTAGGCCTAGTATACTTTTTAGATGCGTTGAAAGACTTCTAACACTTGGATAGCTCGACGTCTTGGACACTTTCGAAACCATCAAGATCGCGATCGCTTATAAGATCGACGGACAGGCAAGTGATGCCAACGAGACAATACTATATGATCGTGACGCTGACCGCGTCTGAAACAGGAATTGGACTCGTACCCTGCGGATCTCGAGATCTTGGAACGAGCCGAGGTGGTCTACCACGAGATGCCAGGTTGGCAAAAGCCAACCACCAACGCGCGCACCTGGTACGACCTGCCCAAGAAGGCTCGCGACTACGTGGAGGTAAGCCTCGCTCGAGCTTGGACTCGTGCTAGCGAACAACGGCGCTGACTTCTAGCAGTACATTGAGCAATTTGTGGGAGTCAAGGTACGTTGGGGCGCAGGTTTTGTTCAAGCCCGGAAGATACTAACGTTTCCGTAGATCAAGTACGTTGGCACCGGACCCGAACGTGAGGCCATGATACAGCGCGCATGATTGCGCCGAATGGTGGAGGCCTTCATCTTAAGCACTCACAGCCGCTGACATCTCGGCCCAAACGAGCGAAAGAAAGGACACGTCAATCTGCGTCGATGAGCAGAACCGGTATCCAGGGTACAAGTATGTGAAAGCGGTCAATTATAGTGTATGGTACATGATCTTACGTGCCCTGCGGCACGAATCCAAGCCAGTCCGACTCTGGGTCCGGCAACCTTGCCACCTCACCGTTTGCTGTATTTTGTGACTGCGATTGGCCACTCAGTGCCCGCACCGCGGGTTCTGATATCTTGGGGTAGTTGAAAAAGTCAAACACGTCAATGTTGTCCAGCTCGCTGAGCGACGTGATTTGGGTCGAGGTAGGCTCAGTCCCCGTTTGTCGAGTCGACCCGGTCAGTGTTACGAGACCGTGTGCGCTCCTGCATTGAAGATGTTAGTACAGGTTCATAGCCGATGCTGGCGGGGATTACTCACTGTCGCATAGCGTTGAAGTTCATGCCGCCCTGTCTACCGCGCTGAACAACACGGGCAAGAACCTTGGCGTAGTTGTCGGCAACCTCCCAGTACTGCCCAACGTGCCCAAGGATCTCGATGAAGAATTCGATGCGCGGGTCGACGGGACAGCCAATTGTCGCGGCGTGAACAAGCAGCAGGCGAGCCGCGACCCAGAGGGAGAAGATGAATGGCGGCCCGAGGTGATCCAATCCACTGGCCTCGTACACATCTTGCGCAATGTCACCCAAGCTCTGCACAGCTGACAGGCAGCGCTGCATGGCGTAATGCGAGGGTACAAACAGATGCGACCTCACAGTCGGATATGCCGCGGAAGAGTGGAGGCGTACGACAGCTGTGACATATGCGCTGTGCAGCATGAACCAATTCGCAACTCGGCTTGCGGGGTCCGAGTGACACAAGGCAGATATCTTGCTGTAGTCACCAGGTAGCCCTCGCAACCAAGCGTCAAGTGATGAATCCAGCGATCGATACGTATTTCTCCAGGCCGCCATTTCAGAGGATGATGTGATATCTAGTGGTGTCTTGAGAAAGTCATGAACTTTGCTGAGGATTCGTAGAATCTCACAGTGATATGAGAAGCTGCCCAAGTTGTCGGGCTTGTTGACCACAAGACCCGCCGAGCCGTGTTGGTCAGGGCTCGAGCCCCAAGATCGTGTCTCAACCGGAATGTCGCGCGAGAAGAGGTCGTAAGAACAGGGTAATACCCTCTTCATCTTTGTATCATCTAACATGAAATCGAATGTCGTCGTTGCAATTGTCGCATATCGGTCAAGGAGATAAACCATCCAGGCGAGCCGCCTGCGGCCCTCGTCCTCGATCCAAGATTGCGGTCGGTCAATGGCGATGCGTCTAATAGAGCCGGTCATGGGCGAGTCGTCACTGGTTTCAACAGAGAGAAAAACGCTACTCTCCTCGCACAGGCTGAGTTGCCGAGCGTTCTGCGCCAGCAGCGACAACAAGTTCCACCCTCGCGGCCCGTTGGAGGTGCCGAGCTCATCGAGACAGACGATGACGAGAGCACGCAGCGCTTCGACACTGACGTGCTCCATCGCGTACATTTGCACAATCTGGCGAGAGGTTTCATGGTAGTGAGCGCGCATCTCGGGCGAGAATCTAGGATCCTTCAGAAATCGAAGCGTGGTCGCTACAATAGCGTGTAATAGAACTCGGTCGGCTTCGTTTAGCGACGTCGAACCAAAAAAGATGCTGAACGTTGTTTTGCGATCTAAGATGGGGGACCACGTGTTGCAGTGTTTGAAGTACAGATCGACCAAGGTGTACACGATATCTTGGGGCGGCAAGTCTGTGCCAGCAGACAGTGATGACGGCCCTCGTCGGAGAGGTGTTATCCGTAGGGCAGGTAGTGTTGTATTGTTGTAGTCAACAGTCATTGCCTGGCCAGGCATTCGCCCCAGTCGTTGTTCGTCATCCCAAGCCTGACCTGAGAGTGCAGATGGCGGACCAGCCGCTATGGATGGCGTCGTTCGAGGAGCACCGCTGGCAGGGCTGCTTCTGTTCCTGTCCTGTGCATAGAGATCGATGTGAGACTGTGTGTGAGTGCTAATGGCTGGTGAGAGCGTCTGCGAATGTCCCGCATGTCCTTCGGCGATGTGCTCCTCTACCCGACGACCGAGGGTCTGAAGAAGCGCGTCAATCCTGTTGACCTTGGCTTCCAGCTCGAGACTGAAGCCGATGCGGCTGCCAGGTTTCTGCCTCTCAAGATAGACGCAGGTGCGGTTATGACGGGCGCACCATGAGCAAGCCGGCTCCGCCCGATCACACTTGACCTTCCGAGCTTTGCAAAGCTCACATCTGCCGATGGTTCTGGTTAATCACACCACATGGACGAGACAGCAGTATGCAAGGCTGACATGGGCGATTGAAGCTATGACAGGGGTGCCACTCACGAGGTCTTTTGATACTTGCTGCGCTTGCGCTTCTTGGAGCCCCCGGTAGAGTCGGTCGAGGCATTGTCTCTCGCCTCGTCACCACTGGAGCCATCATGCTGGCTAAGTGTAGCCGAGACCTGCTCCTCCTCGGGCATCAGGGCGCGAGATAGAATAGTGGGCTATGTCGGAGAGATATGATGTGATCGGGAGAGCTTTGACAGGCGGGCAGGGGACAGACACTGCCGCTGATACAGTTAAACCGATTGAATTCCGGTCGTGGAGAACCTCCACCCCTTGTTTGAGGCCCGCCAGAGATGGGTCTTTGATAAAGAAAGCGAAGGGAGGCTGGCCAGAGGACGACAGATGGAGAGATCTCGGTATCTCGGGCGAATATTGCAAAGTGAGTGCTAGGCCAGGCGAATATGGCGACAAGAGCCACTCAATAACGAAGAAACCATGGAGCAACAGATTGGATACGAGGTGGGGAGAATCTATGAAATGTAAGCTATTTCGCCTCCGTAAACGGCTGAAGTAGATGTGAAGAGGAGCTGCTCACATAGTAGCGGATGGTAGAGCGTAGAACTGTGCCACTTGCCACACTAGCCAGCCAGCCGATGCCTCGCACTGGTAGTTAGGGAGATGTATTTTGGCTGGGTTACTGATCACTCGTTTGAGCAAGATCTGGGTTCGGGTTCGCAATTTGGACACCGAGGATTGGGTCCGCATTTAAGTGTTGTTCGGCACTGACTTTGCGAGTTCCATGTCCGCTTTTCCTTCGGTCGTGGTTGGGCGCTGGGTTGTTCGTTGGAAGCTTTTTTTTCTCGGCGTCGCAATTGTGTGGAACCGCCGCATTGCCTGGTTGCGGCGGAAATGGAAGACGGCGTGGAAGTCCCTGACTAGCGGAGGGGAGGAGCTTTGAGCACCTGGTGGCTGGATAGATACATGGGATGGCAATGGACGGATGGAGATGGGGTGGGTTTGGCTAATGATGATGAAATGGTGGTGGGTGGGTGTGAGAGTGAGGAGGAACTGCTGGCGGGCTTGAGAGTGAGGGGGTTCGTCCATTGCGGACTCACAGGCTTTGCAGATGGATTTCAGGACCTGCCACCCAGCAGTTTCAGGGCATTGTAGCGGGTGCGGTGCTGCATCACCGCTGTAACAGCGCTAGAAGTCTACTGTAGCCCACTGAACTGAGTCGTCTCCTCGTCTCATCTCATCATGACCCCCAGGCTTTCAATATCGTGAACCGCGCATCGTAACCTTTCATCGACAGCTTTCCCCAGCCAAGCTTCCCTTGCACTGGTTTCCTACAAAATCAGCCACACGTTCCTCCAGCCATCCAAAACCAATCAGGTTTACGTACCCTCATTGCCCGACCCCAGCCACTCGGACAAATAGGTACAAATGCTGGTCACGGCGCGCAGCTACATAGCTGGTCGGTGGCCCTCATCTGCCGCACCCCCGGGCGCGGAACAAGAGGCCCTTCTGTTCGAGAATCTCGTGTGACGACCTGCCAGCCTGGCATGGCTGAAACTTATCGGCGACCTGTGTGACCACGGTTAATGCCGTTTAGTGCAGCCAGCCATACAACGACCAGCTGCTGCTCATCATTTACGTATCCGTCGTGAGGCTTTTCCATGAGGAGGCAGGAACGGTGTTTCTTTGATGATAAACAGGTGGGCTTTACTTTCTTTTTTTCAAGAGTAAAATATGTGTCATCCCGGTCATTTGACGACTCAAAAAAAGAGCCGCCTTCCTAAAAAGAAACTATTGCTATCATGTGTTCCAAATCCAAGCACCAAGAAGAAAGCTGGACGAACAATCAGAGAAAAACGCCGTGATCATACATGAACCTCATCGTGAGCTAGACAATTTGGCCTAGTTGGCCCAGCCCTTGCTCATCTCGACAGCCTTCTCCCAGCGAGAGAAACGGCTGCTGGCATCCTGGGTGGTGATCTGGGGCTTAAAGGTCGTGCTGCCTTCAGTGTTGACATTCTTCAGGTCATCAAGGCTGTTCCAGATACCGACAGCGAGGCCGGCCGCGATGGCAGCGCCGAGGGCAGTCGTCTCCCGCATGGCGGGGCGGTTTACAGGGATACCAATGAAGTCGGATTGCGTCTATACGATGAGCTGTTAGCATTCTGTCTGGCATTGTCATAAAAACATTTTGCGCAATTACTAACCTGCATGATAAGGTCCGAGTTGCACATGCCACCATCGACCGCGAGCTCAGTTAGAGCCTGGCCGCTATCCTTCTCCATCGAGTCGAGGATGGCCTTGGTCTGGAAGCAAGTAGCCTCGAGGGTAGCGCGCGCAATGTGGCCGCGCTTCGTGTAGGCGGTGATACCGAAGATAGTGCCACGGGCATCATCAATCCAGTAGGGCGCGAACAGGCCGCTAAAGGCGGTGACGAAAGTGCAGCCTCCATTGTCCTCAACAGTCTCGGCGAGGGCACTCAGCTTGGAGGACGAATCAATAAAGCCAAGGTTATCGACGAGGAACTTGATGCTGGACCCAGCGACAGCAATGCTACCCTCCAGAGCGTACATGGTCTTGCCAGGGCCAAAGTCGAAAGCGACGGTGGACAGCAGACCGTGGGTGGAAAGAATAGGCTTGGGGCCGACGTTGTAGAGGAGGAAGCAGCCAGTGCCGTAGGTGTTCTTGGCCAGGCCAGGCGTGAAACCCTTCTGGCCGACGAGCGCCGCGGACTGGTCGCCGAGGCAGCCGGTGATCTTGGTGCCCTTGAGGGCGGTGTTGGCGAGGGCGCCAAAGGCCTCGGGGTCGGAGGAGCGGACAATCTTGGGCAGCTGGACCTTGTTGCGGTCGATTCGGAACCAGTCGAGGAGCTCGGCGTCGTAGTCAAGGCTCTCGAGGTTCATGAACATGGTGCGGGAGGCGTTGGAAGGGTCCGAGACGTGAACGTTCTTGTCAGGCCCGCCGTTGAGCTTGTAGGCAAGCCATGCGTCGACGGTACCGAACGCAAGGTTTCCAGCCTCGTACGCCTCCTTGACCGCGTCGACGTTCTCGAGCAGCCAAAGCAGCTTGCCGACGGAGGAGTAGGTGGAGAGCGGCAGGCCGCAGCGGCCGGTCAGCTCCTTGGAGCCGAGGCGGTGCTTGAGGCGGCGGACGAGCTCCTGAGAGCGGGTATCGGTCCAAACAATGCCGTTGTGAAGAGCTTTACCAGTGTTCTTGTCCCACACGATGGTGGTCTCGCGCTGGTTGGTGATGCCGACGGCGGCGATCTGGCTGCGGGAGTGGCCCTGCTCCTCAAAGGCAGCGACGGCACCGTCGATGCACTGCTCGACGGAGGTTACGAGCTCTTCGGGGTCATGTTCGTGCCAACTGCGAAAGGAGAGTGGTTAGCCAATTGAAGTCTTCTCGTTATGCCGAAGCGACTCTATGAACCGCGACTGCGTGCGACAGAGTGCGACGGCAGCGCAACTTGGTGGCGGGGTTATGGAGGGGTTGAAGCTTACCCAGGCTGGGGGTAGATTTGCTTGAATTCAATCTGGTGGAGGGCGACAACTTCTCCATTGGTGTTGAAAATGAGGAAACGGGTGCTGGTGGTGCCTTGGTCAATGGCACCGACAAAGACATCGTTCCCTGAGGAAGTCATGGCGTTGATGAGTTTGGAGTGAGTCTGGGAGACGAGGTTGGCGAGCATAAAGTATGGCGGGGAAGCTGGCAGCTGGTTTATGGAGGGTCAAGTAAGCAAAAATGGGGAAGCGAGCTATTACAAGCAGAGCTCCGTAGGATAGGTGATGCAGAATATGGAGTAGAGGAAGAAAAAGGGAAAGATGGAAGAAACTACTAGAAGATAGAAAGACAGGAGTAAGTTGCAGCTGTCCAAGAGGGGGATCGCAAAAATACTTGTACTCTCGTGCAATTGACATGTGGAGGGCCTGGCCTGGCAGCTTGGCTCCCCCAGACCCCGTTTTCTGGTGGCGCCGCCGACGCTCCCCAGCTTGCCGGCCACAAGAAGCCCACGGGGAAGCGGTCTTGGGAGACGCCGCACCAACTCCAAGCCACGTCCGAGTCTAGAGCAGGCATTTTACTCGTTTTCCGTTGTTCTCGTGAGTTGATCCCTACAATAGCACAGCCGACCCGTCCGCCCGCTATTGCTTGTTTGGCGCAAGGCTGGAGGTTGAGCTTCCCCTCATCTTGGGAGGCAGCTGAGCCGTTGGCCATGCATGCAGCAGTAATCTGCACTGGCCGCCCTGCATTTCGTCGTCTCAGACCCCAAAGACATTTATTAGCTAAAGTTGACTATTGCAGAGTTATCGCGGTCACCCCTATTACCACAACTCGAACCCAGTCCCGACGGATGGGCCTGCTTGTTTGATCAACACCGCCGGGCCCAAGGTACTTCGCAGTTTGTGGGGAGGAGGAGCCTCTCGACGTCACGGGATGAGAAATAAATCTTAAAGCCTGGCTGCGCGCTACTCGTGACGTGAGAAACCTCATCAACCGGCTGGGGAAAAAGTATGGAGAAGTTCGACTTGGCTAGGAACCCCTTGGGGGTGTTGCATCTACATGGATGTCACTGACAACAACGGCAACTGAGGCAAGACATTGTACTCAGTAATGTCCCGGCTGCAGCCATGAGCCGTTCCGAATTGCTTAAAAGTTAGTAGCGCCACCATTCGGTCAGCATTTGGGGGGTCGAAGTGGCTCGCCGGCGCTATGGCTGAATGGCTGGACTTGGGAACGTTGCAGCGTTGCGGCCAATATTGACGCAGGTCTTTTTCCTACGCGCTCGCTTTCGCCATGCGACAGGTTGGAGAACCGACAGCTCCATGAGCGTCAAAGAATTGGAGCATTTGCGGTTCTCCAAGTCCCCGCCGCCGCCTCCGCCTCCGCCTCCATCAGAAGCTCGGTGTTGAACACCGAGGGCGGTGGCGGGCTTCTAGATGGTTTCTACGGAGCGACCCCCAATCGGACAACTGGGGCGCTAAGAATAAAAAGCCAACGCCATGTTCGGGGCAAAGGGCCGAATGCCTGCTGGCGGGCTTACAGGGGGGCGACAGTTGAGTTTTGAGACCGACAAGAGGCTGGTGGCTGGGTCTTGGCTTCGTCGACTGTTTTGGGGCCAAACTTCGAAGCGAGCGGGCTTTCTATGCTCCCGCCAAAACGCCGTTTTTATCTTTTGGCTCCCCTCCAGGTACCTTGCGCCCCATCCCCCCATTCCCCTGCCTCCTATGACTTGCAGAGCCTGGTTCATCTGTGGAGGCGTTCCTTGTGGGCGAACTATACAGTACAGGAGGCTATACATATAGTATGTAGGAGCCAGCATAGTACGCCTACTATTATCACGAGCCAACAGGCCAAGTGGCAATATCTGTGTTCTTCTCGGTGCCTGCAAACACGGCTAGAGGCGCCAGGCAAGGACGAGAAAAACGGATGCAATTTGATAGGAGATTTGCCGATGCACCACGGCACTAAACTACCCAACTAATCATGCAGGACTCAGTTCTCGCTGCTCCAGTGCGCGCACGAGGCTGGCTGGGACTAGGCGCTCGCGGTAAGCACCTGTGTTGTCAACTTTGTCTTATTATGAGCCAGTCAGTGCCCATGGAGGCAAAAAGGGGAAAAACAAACCCAAAATATCATCCGAGCTATTTGAACAGCAGATCCTTCAGCTGCAGACTGCAACGCATATTTTCAGGCCATCCACCAAGTGCCACGGGCACCCCTCGTCGGAAGCCCCGGTCGCTGGCATTGGACCACAGCGGGGGTGGCGTGTCAGATCAGAGGCGTTGGCGCCAAATCTCAGTCCAAAAGCAGCATCAACGCCGGGTTGTGTGCATGCGTTGTGTGTGTGAGCAGTCATGTAAGGTTTGTGAAGTTGACTGCAACCAAGGTCTGTTAGGCGCAGGTGCAGAATAAAGGCATGAAAATGACCGCAATCCTCCAATGAACTCGATTGCATCGTCATCAACTCGATGCAGCCCAGCCCATCTGGGTACCAAGGAACGCCGTGCTCTGTTCCTGCGCCACAACCAAGGAACAAGAAGGAAGGAACTGTTCTCAAGCCACGCGAAGCCACAGCGAGGTGGCCGAGGTGGCGGGGATGACAGTTCCGCACCGCCCGGGCGCCGCCGCCGTCAGTTGCTGGTGATACCTGCATTCATCTTCGTCTCGGCCGGAAACTACTCACTCCAATGCCTTCTCAGGCCATTTTTCACTCGGAATCAGTGCAGTGGCTTTTTTTTTCTCCAACACAACTCGAATACTTCATGCAAATGCAGGTTGCTGCAGATGCCGCTGCCGCCGTCGCCTTCGCCTCCCTCCCCGTCCGTTGGTGGCGGTGGTGCTTTTCCGGACGTCTTGCCCCTCTTCGGCGCAATGCTAACCTAACTGTATGCACACCCCGATGCGAACCCCCCCTGTTTAATTATTGTCTTTACTTTCTAGTCCCCATCGTTCGCTGTCCACTGAATGAGAGGAGTAAACTAACTACTGGGATCCGTAGGCTCTGGTTAGCCCACTCACACACCACACCACAACCTTCCCTGACGACATGGGTTCCTCTTACTTCCTCCTCTCTCCTGCCCATGTTCCCCCAGACTTGCCGCATCTTCACAAAGGCCTGACCATGTTCAGACGGGTAGCCGCCGCTCTTACCCTCCCTCTGTTTCTCCTCTTTATACAGTAGTCCCCCCTAAAGACGCCTAGCAGTGCCACTCTACACATGGCGCTCCGCATCCTCTAAACATTTTCATTTTCAACTCTCACACCCCTTCTTTTCCACTGTGGCTTGTGTTTCCCTCATCTCACCCTCAGCTTCTCTGTGGCATCATACATTTTTAAACCTGTTCAGCCTATGAAAATATCCTCACCATTGCCGCCCCTGCTCGGTTCCTAAGTCCACTCACGGCCGAGACCACCGGATCATACACTCTACTCGCTCGGCTGCCTCAAGACCCTACTAAGACACTCGCGAAAACAACCCCGATTCCTTGCTCGACTCCATCCCCGGATCCTCTTCTCAGCTCCTCTACCTGTTCATTCCGGGGCACCTCGAATTCACTCCGCGGGGTTATTAGTCGCAACGGCTAAGCCCGCCGTACCACCCTCGCCTCATCCCACAAAAGAGCATATTAACCGCCTCTTCCCCGTGGAGTTGCATCAGAGCCTTTCTCGACTGCATTCCATACTTCATACTCTTGACCTTCGTCTTGCACCAATGTCCCTTCCCATCTCTCACGACTCTGTGTCTGCGTCGTCGGTCGACAAACTCAATTCCTTTCACGATAGCAAGATGGTTCCTCCCAGCACTCCCGACACCCTCCCTCCTGAGCTTCCCGCTCCCGAGGAGAAAGAGCTTGCCTGGACCAAAGTCCGCTCCATCTGGCAAGATGCCTTTTCCGAGTTCCTTGGCACCATGATCCTCATCATCTTCGGTGACGGTGTCGTTGCCCAGGTTGTTTTGAGCAAAGAACAAAAGGGAAACTACCAGAGTATTTCATGGGGCTGGGGGTAAGCTTCTTCACTGTGCTTTGTAGCGATTCACACACTGACAGCATATAGCATCGGTGTCATGTTTGGCGTCTATGTCGGTGGCAAGTCTGGTGGGCATATCAACCCTGCCGTGACCTTGGCCAACTGCGTCTTCCGCGGCCACCCTTGGCGCAAATTCCCCGTCTACGCCCTTGCTCAGCTCCTTGGTGCCATGGCTGGCGCTGCCATCATCTACGGCAATTACAAGTCGGCCATCGACAACTTCGAGGGCGGCCCCGGAATCCGAACTGTCAGCGGCCCCAACGCTACCGCCGGTGTCTTTTGCACATACCCCGCCCCCTTCATGACCCGTACCGGCATGTTCTTCTCCGAGTTCCTCTCCAGTTCTGTCCTCCAGTTTGTCATTTTCGCGCTCGTCGATGACAACAACATTGGTGCTGGCAAGATGCTGCCATTGGCTCTCTTCTTCCTCATTTTCGGTATTGGTGCCTGTTTGGGATGGGAGACCGGTTATGCCATCAACTTGGCTCGTGACTTTGGTCCTCGCCTCATTACTTACTTTGTTGGCTATGGCACTGAAGTCTTTTCAGCTGGTGGCTACTACTTCTGGGTGAGTCTTTTGCATGCTGAAAAGAGAAATGAATTGTTCTAACTTTGGAGTCAGATTCCAATGGTCGCACCGTTCTTCGGCACCCTCTTTGGCGGCTTTTTGTACGACGTTTTCATTTATACCGGCCCCAGCCCCATCAACACTCCGTGGTTTGGCCTCAAGAGACTGGCTCAGCCCCGTCGCGATGTCTGGTCCAACACCTACCGAAAGTCGCTCGAGGGTAAAGTCTAAGATGGAAGAAACTGGGAAGTGATCGCTACGACAAGCATATCTCAGGGACTGGGGATGATTGGGGGAGGGCTGAGCGAGTTCTGATCATTTTTGTTGTGCCTCGGCGTTTCTGTGTTGGTTGTATTTTATTGGAAATTGGTTCTTTTGAAGAGGCGACGAGCGAAGCCGTCTGGCGACCTGAAAAGAAGGACATGCTTGACATATTTTACGATTCTGCATATGATTTTTACTGCATTCTCTCATGCGATATTTTTATGAATTTCAGCATATTTCTTCATCTTTACAATACCTTGCCTCTGTGATGCCTGACGGCAATATGGCTTCGGTGCGAGGTTTGACGAGGTCAACTACTGTAGCTTGTTGCTAGGTAGTTTTTCCCCCGAAGCCTGTTTGGTGAGTACTAACTAATGATTAGGGTATATAGTGCCTGTCTGATATAACTATTGGCCGGTAATGGTGTTGTCGGCGCTTCGCCATGAGGATCTATAGTCGACGGCCTAATGAATAAGACAATGCTTTGCATTGCATCTATACCATGTGGAGATAGCCGTTAAATAGCAACTTCCAATACCACCATACTCGCCACCAGCTTTGGATCACGTACCACAAACCGGTTGTCCTCGGCCGTTTCCTTGTTGTAAGACATGAGCCAATAGTGCTAGTGCGGGAGCGTGCCAGCCATTGCGGCGCGGCCTAAGAACCTTGAGTCTCTCCCTTTTTTTTTCTTCCATCTCCCTACGGATACGTAAGCCTGGTTCCAACGGGCCAGATTTGCGTAACTACTGCAAGCGATGTACTTGCATTGATGTTTTTTTTGCCCTCTTACTAATAGCTCAAGGTTCTAGAACGTGTTGTGGGAAAGACCATCGTAGCGCGGTCCCTGGCATGACAAAAAAAAACCAAACACCCGCATTGATTGACCAGGAAAAGTTTCTCGTGTTTGCGAGCCTGCTGTTTGGAAGTCGTCTTTTATTAGCATCAAGTCGCTTGTTCAGGGCTAGTCGTTGCCTTGCGGGAGCGAAGTCTAGAACACTTGACTTGACAGGACCGGCCTCGCCCCCCCCCCCCCCCCCCAGCCTGTTTCTCGGGTAGTAGTGTGTGATGGTAATTTCAACAAGAGGCACAGTTTGGGGGAAGGGTGCGTTGGTGGGAAATGTAGTTTGGCCATGGGCTTGTTACGAACGTGCCGTGTAGGCCGCTGAGAAGCAATTCGTGGCCGAGTAGCCGCAGGTTTTGTCAATGCGAAGATGTCAGTCGTCGACGCCTTAATTGCAAAAGCCATAACTCGTAACTGGCAAATCCAGTTTTAAAGGTCGTTCAAAGGTCCCTTGAACATGACAAATGGAATTTTTCTGCAAATTCAATGTCGAATTTCTTGCGCCTGACTCTTTGGAATACTACAGGGTAAGAAGAAGGCCCCCCCTCTCCCCGCCCCGGCTGAAGAAGAGGGCATTTAGACTGAAGAATCGCGCCACTGATTTCGGGCGCTACTGTCACGAGGAGGGGGGGTGTGCATTCAACAAGCTTTTTTCTTCGCTAACTAGGGCATGCTTGGTGGCATTTTTTCCCTGCGCCTTCGGCCGGCCGCGCGGTATCGCTTTCTTACACGGGGCTGCTGGCCTATGTAGTTAGCTCTAGGTGCGCACCCGCCATGCAAAAATAAAGAAGGCGGGGAGAAACTAGAGGAAAATCAGGCCACGAGTCTACTAACTTACTAACAAGTGCAAGGCTCTGGCTGCAGCCATCACATGCTCACCGCGATCTCGTCCAGGCCATCGCGGTCATGATGAACGGGTGTGGCGCGCGCATGATGTAGGCACTGGTGTTATATAGGCCCACTGCGAGCAACTACTGCCGATATTCATTTTCTACCTTAACAGTTCGCCCCGTTTTGTAGGGGAGCGCAAAAGGGTCTTTGGCGAGCGGCGTGGGGTGTGAGAGTCAGGCTGAGGGGGGCGCGGCTGTCATTAGCTGACCACTTATTGATATATGAAATAGGACCCTGTGTGTGTTAGGCCATTGTGCAGTTTGGCCGAGGAATACTAGGATGGGTATTCTTAAAATCAATGCTACGGGAATCCTGACATATAACATCAGATGAGACAAATGGGATTCACACAACGGAATACTGCCGCGCTCTTCTAACTAGCGCATGATCAGACATGCGCTGCGCAAAAAGTTGGGGGAGGATCCCGGCGTGTAACCCCCGCGACTTCGAAACGTGGCGGGGTGAGAAGGATGCTGCAAGGGGGGATGAGATGAGCTCGAAACGGATATCTGGGGAATGAGACATTTTTTAAAAAAAATCGAAGCACCGCATGACCAGTCCGGGCCCCATTGTGACGGACGGATGCCGAGTCGGCGCTCCGGACGGCCACCCGGAGGTCTCGGGGGCGTGGCTTTTGGGGCCGGAATTTTCGGCGGTTTTGGCGAGGAAGGCGTTTGGGCAAGGGGTGGACAAAAAAAAAAAGGGCATTGCATTCCGGTAACATCACCAGTAATTCTTTCCAGCCAGCGGGAACGGGAACGGCGTTACAGGGGTATGAAGATTGATTTTATCAGTTGCCCAGGTTTTCTCGGGTCGTGGCTACCGAGCAAGCACCGAGAATGATGTGGTTCAGTGGGGGCGCCGTGTCTCGGTCGAGAAGCCCGACTTCAACCCGAGAAGACTAAAAACAGGGGTCTTCGGGTATGGAATACCGAGACGCATAGCGCGACGCACGGCTAAAGATGGAACCCCGAAAAAACCGACAGCTGCTCTGTGACGTTCCCTCCCTCCTGTTGATGATTGATTGTCCTTTGTGCGTCTGCAATTGGTGGGAAGTCGCAAAACTCCCCGTGTATTTTCTTGACCATGTCTTGGGTCAGTCACTCCGTTCTCCTCTTTTTTGCACAGCTGTGCTGTTGTGCTACATGATGTCATGTCACTCAGCGTCGCGAAATCGGCCCTCTCCTCTCCCAGTACCGGGTTTCACCTCGTTTTCCTCCTCTCTCTCGTCACCTGAAGTTGCACATCTTCGGTGCCATTTTTTCTCACCTTGTTTTTTCTTCTCACCTGGCCCTAGATAATCCCCGTTTCGCTTTCAACTATAATCCAGTCAAGTGTCACCACGTGGGCTGACACGGAAAACCTAGCTACCGTTGCACCACAGCACTGCCCTCCCTCCTTTCAAAGTCCGCGGTAAACATCCCGATAGTTCGGAGTGGAGTCTCAAGCTTCAGAATCCTTTTTTTTTTGTCTTGGAGTCATTTGTTATCTTTGCCATTCACGGTTATCGCACGGTGAGACCGAGCTTTATTAACAGGACACGGCGCTGCTCCTATTTTGCGCTCTCTTCTTTCATCTTCGATACCCGAACATCACAACTCCAACGCCCTCGACAACGAGCTTACCTTGCAACATATATCCAATAGGCCCCGTCACTTGTACTAGGATAGCCTACATCTTGGCGGCTCCATCTTACTAGCATCGACAAGTAGCCGGAACCGGGACGGACCACATCCGCCGAAGCTTGTGACTACTTGACTTTCCATCCTCGACTCTTTCAACTTTGTCTTCTTCTCTCACACAGCAACACTCGGCTTTTGAGAAGAAAATCAGACTTGCTCTCGCGATCGTTACGATTCAACTGAGCTCGGCTTCACGCCTCCCGCATAGCTCATCGACTACTTTACCTCACCTCACCTCACACACACCACCCTTCACACAATGTCTCGAGCAGCAATCTCGCGTCTGCGCAAGCCTTTAATAGGCCTCGCCGCCGTGGCCACCACCGGCACCGTCCTCTACGCCTCCCGCCGACAGAACAGACACTCGTTTGACACGCCGCTAGTGCCGCTACAGCGCGACGACAGCGGTCGCATCGTGCCGCCGACATTTCCCAAGCTCAAGAGCCGCGCCGAGAACCTCGCCGAGCTCCGCCGCCACGGACAACCTGACAGTAACGAAGAGTATGACCTCCTGATTATCGGCGGCGGCGCGACCGGAACGGGCATCGCGCTCGACGCCGTGACGCGCGGTCTCAAGGTCGCCCTCGTCGAGCGCGACGACTTCTCAGCCGGGACGAGCTCCAAGAGCACCAAGCTCGTCCACGGCGGCGTGCGGTACCTAGAGAAGGCCGTATGGAACCTCGACTATGCGCAGCTGCAGCTCGTCATGGAGGCGCTGCACGAGCGCCGCACGTTCCTCGACATCGCGCCGCATCTGTCGCGGTCGCTGCCCATCCTGCTGCCGCTCGAGCGCTGGTGGCAGGCGCCGTACATGTGGGTTGGCACCAAGGCGTACGACCTGCTGGCCGGTGACCAGGGGCTGGAGCCGTCGTACTACATGGGCCGTGCCGCTGCGCTGGCCCGGCTGCCGCTGCTGAACCCGGAGAAGCTGGTCGGCGCTCTCGTCTACTACGATGGCCAGCACAACGACTCACGCATGAACGTGGCCCTCGCGACCACGGCGTCGCTCTACGGCGCGACGGTGCTCAACCACGTCGAGGTCACGGGCCTGCGCAAGGGCGCCGACGGCAAGATTTGCGGCGCGATGGTGCGTGACGTCCTCGCCGGCGACGACGCCGAGGCCGGCCTCGATGGCGGCGAGTTCGCTGTCCGCGCCAAGGGCGTCATCAACGCGACCGGCCCGTTCGCCGACGCCGTCGAGCGCATGGACGAGCCCACGCGCAAGCCGATGATCGCTCCCGCGTCGGGCGCGCACGTGGTGCTGCCGGCGGGCCTGTGCCCGAGCGGCATGGGCATGCTGGACGCAGCGACGTCGGACGGACGCGTCGTCTTCGTGCTGCCGTGGGAGGGCCGCACGCTGGCGGGCACGACGGACAACGCGTGCGAGGTGGAGCGGCAGCCGACGGCGCGCGGCGAGGATGTCGAATTCATCCTTGGTGAGGTCAGCAAGCTGCTGCGCCCCGAGGCGGCGCTGACACGCGCCGACGTGCTGGCCGCCTGGTCCGGCATCCGCCCTCTGGTGCGCGACCCGCACGCCAAGAACACCGAGTCGCTCGTCCGCAGCCACCTCGTCACCGTGTCGCCCGCGGGCCTGCTGACTTGCGCCGGCGGCAAGTGGACGACCTACCGCCAGATGGCCGAGGACGCCGTCGACCAGGCCATCGAGACGTTTGGCCTGCAACCGCGCGCTGACGTGGCCCTCGCCAACATCTCCGGCGCCTGCCCCCAAGGCGCCTCGGCCCTGCAGAGCACCACCGGCGCGTGCGTCACCCGCAAGGCCGTCCTGGTCGGCTCCCACGGCTACTCGACCAAGCTGCCCGCTGAGCTCGCCGAGGACCGCGTCCTCGACGCCGACGTCGCGCACCACCTGGCCACCAACTACGGTGACCGCGCGTGGGCTGTTCTCGCGGCGGCCGGCCCCGAGGGCCCGACACGCCTGCTGCCCGCGCACCCGTTCACCGACGCCGAGGTGCGGTACGGCGTGCGCGCCGAGGCCGCCTGTACGGCTGCTGATGTGATCGCGCGGCGCACGCGACTCGCGTTCCTCGACGCCGACGGCGCGCGCCGCGCGCTGCCCCGCGTGGTCGAGATCATGGCGGAGGAGCTCGGCTGGGGCGCGGCTAGGCAGGCGCGCGAGCGTCGCGAGGCGCTGCGCTTCCTCGAGTCCATGGGCCTGGCGCGCGGCGGCGGGGAGGTGTTCGAGGATGCGGAGGCGGAGGCCGCTCGCGTGACGACGAAGCAGAAGGCGCTGGCGGTCGGCGGCAAGCTCAACTTTGGCGGTGTCGTCGGCCAGCGGGACGCCGGCGGGCAGTAAGAGACGGCGCAAGGTGGAACATGGGAGGGAGTCGACTGGTGAAGAAGGGGGAAAGGAGACCATGCGGGGGATGGACGCGCAGTGTGTTGCGCGCATTGCATGGCATGACTTGTGCAGAGCGTCACTTTGCCTCGAGGCAACTACGATCCAAGCTCATTTCTTTTATTCTGTCTTATCTGTCTAGGTTTGCTGTTTAGGCGTTGTCTCTTGTTCATTTGCTTTTTCATTTACCCCATTTTGGGTCAGATTTTGCATAGTCGTTGCAGACAAAGCTCGACCGGGTTCGCGCTGGATAGACCTATAACCACCACTACATCACATCATAGCCAGAAATAACAACCATACGAAGAATGTTACACTCAACACCTCCTGTCGACACCCTTCTCCTAAATCGTGCATATGGCGGCCTGAAACTATGCAGCCACCTTCGGAGGCCGATCATGTTGACTTGCCTTTTTGTTCCCAGCTCACTGGCCAGCGGCTGCCCAATGAGCGACCTCGTTCAAGTTGGCGTCGTCCTTTTTTGGGACCCGACCTGCTGTGCAACCCGGCGTGCGTTTCCGTGCTGCCACCAGGGAAAGCGATGCTGCATGCGCTTTCCGTTCCGATCCCCCATCGTGCCCGACTTGATGCCTGGTCCGACAGAGGGGAGGGTGGTGGTGAGGCGGCTCAAGGCCGCACTCGTGACGGGGAACCCCCCCCTCCCCTCTGGATTCGTCATGGATCAACAGATGAAGCCGCAGAGAAAGGGAGAAGCGGCCCGGTGCGACCTCATGGATGGGGGTCGTGTCGTGTCATCCCAAGTCTGGTGATAGGCTCTGGGCATGGCCACCTGGCAAAGCGCGGGCGGGGGGTGGGCGGCTGGTGAGGGGGCAAAGTGGAAACGTGAAGAGCCTCCTTGCCTCCCTTGTATACAATTATTAGTCAAAAAAAAAAAACGTTTCGAAGGATCAAGGGCGAACAAATCATCATGGGCTTTCTTGGCTTCCTGGCCTGTTTGTGAGCGACGGAGCTGAGTGGACGAGAGGTAATCCGTATGTGACTGTCATATGCAGCCAGGCCTGACAAGCAAGCCCAAAGGTGCTGCTGGCCCATGATAGCGCAGCGGCCCGCCCCAAATCGGGAGAACCGGGTGCAAGGAACGTGTTGATGAGGCGTTAGTTGGGATATGGTTTGCCAGGCCGAGAAACAAACAAGTTGGAAGCGGATTCGAGTCTTTGCTTTGTTGCTGCGCTTTTGTTTTGTTTTTTTTTTTAAAGAAAAGAAAAAAATCTTGTCCTGAGGCGCAGACGGTTGGTTGGGCAGCGGCCTGCCTGAGTACGTGTGTGCCGTCCTCTCTGGCGATTGGTCTTATCATTGCCGACCGAGGTGGCTCAGAGCAGGATTTTTTTTCCATGGGCATCATGTCATACGTGTAACCCGACGAGAAAAAGTCTGCAAATGATTGTCATTATATTTAACCACCTGTTAGGCAATTTTTTCCCTACATTTTATTTCTTTTGCTTTCCTTTCATTTCTCACGTTTCTGATATCGCACTTCCCAATATTTGCGCACTAGTTATTGCCTTTTGGCGGTCTGTCGATACCGCCTCCGATCCCAGGTCGCTACAGGGCTCCTCCACGCCGGGTACAGTGGGTAATACGGTGGATCTACAGTGGGCAGGCATTGTTTGCAAGTACCTTTGCATTGTGTCCTTGCCCCCCGAGGTACTTGTCCGACTCGTCCGACATCAAATCAGGGGACCAGAAACCCAGTCAACTTGCCCCGGGGCATCAACCCCCAGCCTCTCCCTGGAGCTTGAAGAGACAGAAAGCAGACACGGTTCTTATTCACCGACACTTGGCATTAACAAGTCGACTTGTGAAATAGGTACGTTTTGGTTAGTGGGAAGCTGCGGGACCCGCCATTTGCCGCCTGATCTAAGCCCAGCTAGGTTCAAGGTTGTCGAGGTCGTCTTCCCATTGTCAAGCCAGAGCCAGCAAAGCCCTCAAGTAAAGGTACTACCTGGCTAGCTGAATCGCGAATCCCGATCTTTTAGCGGTCTCGACGCTTGTTTCTACCACTCTTTCAGCTGCCTTTGCTGTCCCCCAGCCTCCCAAGGTACTTACTTTACTGGTGCCCAGGTATCCATATTACAAGGGTACTTGTCCTCCGACTTCAATACTCCATTCAAAGCAGTCGCACGAAAGGCCTCCTCCTCTTGTCCAGACTACGGCATAAACTGCCGCTTGCTCAAGTTCCTCCGCTTCTTTTCTTCTCCTTCATCCTAAATCACCAGCTGCAAACACTACATCTCTCCCACCCGCTATTAGGCTGTCCATCATGGAGCAGACGGTCACCATTGTCAACAACTCAGGCAAGATCATCAGCACTGTAAGCAACCGTCCATCCATCCATCCCTCATCTTTGCTTCCCAAACTGCCGGCACCACAGACATCTCATTTTAGCCCCGCCACACCAAACCGGCTCACTACCTACTCGATCGGCATACCAGAATAGTAGCTAACTCATCGCGTTTCTTTTTGATCCCTCTCTAGGGCAAGCAGCTGTTTTCCATATTCCAAGAAGCGAAAGCCGTCTACAGCGAGAAAAAGGAAAGCGTCAGAGCCGGACGGGCCCTCTCCCGCGCAAACACATTCGACGAGACCAGAAGCGTCCAGCGTGCGCCCTCTGTCCGCCAGGGCCCTCCTAGCCAGGGCCCTCCTAGCCAGTACGCTCCTAGCCAGTACGCTCCTAGCCAGTACGCTGCTCCCATCCAGTATGCACCTTCGGTTCGAGGCGACGAGGCCGAGTTCCGCCCTCGCACCCTGAGCCGTGCCCAGACGGCCTACTACGTCGAAGAAGACCAGTACACCCTACAAGACCAGCCCCGACGCGCCTCCTACGATACCGCCAGCGTGGCAAGCTCCCGCCGCACTCACCGCACAAAGGCCTCCCACCACGGCAGCCACCATGGCAGTCATCACGGTAGCCACAGGCCACGCAGCACCCGCGCACCCTCCGAGGCGGGCTCGGTCGCCTTGACGGAGAACAACCTCAAAGCCCACAGCGAAGCCGGCAGCGTCCGTTCCTCCAGACCCCCAACCGCCTTGTCCAGATATCGCAGCCCCTACGCCGAGACGGTCCCCATGGGCCAGTCAAATATGGACCTCACCGTGGTGGATCGCAGCGTCTACTACCCTGCCGATACAAGGACGGCCATAGTCCCGGTCGCGAGACCGGAATCCCAGTACGGCGCGTCCCAATATGATCAGCCAGAATCCTATTACGCACCCCACTCCGAGGCGCCCATGCCCCAGTCTGGCGCTCTCGTCCCCGCGCCCAAGAAGAAAAAGATTGACATGAATCTTGCGTATGGAAACATTCCACCCGATCTGGCTGAAAGGACCGACCTCGATCCCGACCAAGGCGAGGCCACAGCGCTGGTTCGCAAGGTCCAGGGCCTGCTTGACGAGGCAGACTGCGTCCAACATTCTGCCAAGGCAATGATTCAACATCTCCAAGCAAAGCCCGAGGCCGCGGCTGCTGTCGCCCTGACGCTGAGTGAGCTGTCTGCTGTCGCCTCGAAAATGTCCCCTGCCGTTCTCGGTCTCCTCAAAGGCGGCTCGCCCGCTGTTTTTGCTCTCCTGGCCTCTCCCCAGTTTCTCATTGCCTCTGGTCTTGCCGTTGGCGTCACCGTAGTCATGTTTGGCGGTTGGAAGATCGTCAAGAAAGTGCAGCAAGAACGTGCCGCACAAGCTGCCATCGCATACGAGCCGCTGCAGGCGCTGCCCGCCATCGAGGAGCCGGTCGAAATGGAGAGACCTCAGCTGGAGCGTGCACACACATACGCTGAAGGCGGCACATATGCCGGAGGCGGAGGCTACGACGAAGCCCTTGTGCTCGACGAAGAGCTCAGCACCATCGAATCATGGCGCCGAGGCATCGAGCCACTCGGCGACGATGAGAGCGCCGACATTGAGCTCATCACTCCCGAGGCGGACCGCGCTACCCGTGTCGACGAGCGCGAGCGCTACGAGGACCAACGCGACTTTGACGACACCCGCTCGCATCGCAGCAGCCGCACACACCGCAGCAGCAAGACGAGCAAGACAAGCAGGACGCACAAGTCTTCCAAATCTCACAAGTCTCACCACTCGAGCAGGCACGACGACGAGGATGACCGCAAGAGCACCAGGAGCTCGTCGTCCCGTGCGGGGTCCTCGTCGAGCAAGCACAAGTCGCGCTCCGAGCTGGACGACAGCCGCAGCAGCCACAGCCGCAGCCGCAGCCGCGACGACCTCGACTTGCCCGTCCGGCCCAAGGGGCAGCGGCAGCAGAGCGATCTCTTCAAGAACCTGTTCAAGAGGAAAAACAAGGACGCCAGTCGCAGCCAGCTTGTCGTTGCGTAATTCTCTGCGTGCGTGTATGATAATGATATGCTTCCCGGTTCCCTTCCACTTCACCTGTTCACCTCTTTTTTACGATGCGATCTACCAATATGGTACGTAAGCAGCACACCCACGATAATGACCACACCTCCCCAATACTTTATTGCACTGTTTTCTGGACACAAGGCCTTGTTTATTCGACGCGAGACGCGTCCGTAGTCTGCATTCTTATTCCGGCGGTTCGCCGTGGCATGTACATTTGCTTTCATTCACATAAAGATATAGAGAATCTAGAACATATGTTTTGAGCCCTTCTTCTTCTGCCTTTTATCTTTCTGAGATTGAATTACCTCGCAATGTCTAAAATTGACAGACAGTAAACCGGGCAACTGCTAGCCTGCCCCAGTACTTTATCTCCATATACTTTACTCTTCAACAACCAGGCTTGACATGTAAGCGGCTTTCGCCGGCTCGGCTCGCGGGAGCCTGGCAAGGATTCGGCTAATTGCATACTCGAGGAGAGATTAGACAAGCCACATTGAAACCTCCTCTTCAATCCTTCCAGCCTACTTATTCCCCCCCCCCGCACTTTTTCTGTCCCTTTCATCACCAACGTGTCCGCTCTGCCACTGCATTGCTCACAAAAGTGCCTGTCTGCAGCCCACGCCTACCCACCGGCTCGGGGCATATGTTCCCGTTATCAGATAGCTAGTAAACAATCCGTAGAAACATCACAATAGACAGCCCCATTACATGAATGGCGGCCGCTGCTACAAACGTCCCCGCCGGCTCGGCCGTGGCGGCCGTGCTGGCGTTTCTCCAGGCCGCGACGGCCGTATTCGCGTGCGCATGGTCGCGGCAGAGTCTCGCCGAGGACGATGACGAAAAGGACCCGGAACTCGTCTCGGGCGCCTCGCCCCTGGCTGAGCATGGCGATCATCTGCGTGCCGCCGTGGCCGCGACTGAGGAGGCCAAGGCGGGCGATGTGCCTACGGCTCTCCTGCGCGAATGCGTCAAGATTGGCAAGGACATCGGGCTCCGGCTTGATCGGCTTGCGGAGGACGCCGCGTTTACTTGGGAGCTCGCCGACCTGGTCGTGCTCGGCGAGCGACTGGACACCCTGGTCCAGCGAGCGCAGCGCCTCGAACAGTCACCTTTGTGAGTTGCGTTTACGTCTACCTACTCATCTATCTACACCGAGTCGCGCTGACATCCCGCGAGTCCGGTTGAGGAGCTTCACCAGCTGGAGCGGCAGCTCGTCGTCCGCCTGGCGCCGAACGCGCCGGCCCTTGACGAGTTCTACAACGGCGAGCCCAGCAAGGCCGACGGCAGGCGCGGCGGCGCCAAGGAGCCACGCTCGGGGCTCGAGACGCCGACGCGGGGCCCGCGCGGGGAGGTGGCGCCGGAGGTCCTGCACGACTTCATCCTCGAGGCGCTCGCGTACAAGAGCATGCGTGACCGCGAGGACGAGGTCACCGAAGCCCACGCCTCCACCTTTGACTGGGTCTTCGCGGACGGGGAGCACGGCCTGAAGACCTGGCTGTCCACGGCGGACGCGGGCCCCGTCTACTGGATCACCGGCAAGCCCGGCTCCGGCAAGTCGACCTTTATGCGGCACCTCTCCCGACACGAAGCGACGGCCCGGTGCCTCGGGGCCTGGGGCGGCGGCACCCCGGTGCTGGTGGCGGGCTTCTTCTTCTGGACGGGTGGCGCGCGCGAGCAGCGCTCCCGCACGGGCCTGCTGCGCTCGCTGCTGCACCAGCTGCTCTCGGCGCGGCCGGGACTCGCGGCGGCGGCGTTCCCGGCGCTGTGGGCGCGGCTCCAAGGCATGTCGACGAAGGAGCGCGTGAGGCTGCGGCTCGCGTGGACGGCGGAGGAGCTGCTGCCCGCGTTGCACGCGCTCGTGGCGGCCGTGGCGGCGGCGGCGGACGGGACGAAGACTTGCCTGTTCGTGGATGGCATGGACGAGTTTGAGGGCGACCACGCGGCCGTGGTGGACCTGTTCCGCGGCCTGGCGACGGCGGCGGGGGGGAGGGTCAAGATGTGTCTGTCGTCGAGGCCGTGGGAGGTGTTTAGGGACGCGTTCGCGTTCACGGTGCCGAATCTACGGCTGCAGGAGCTGACGCGCGGGGACATGCGGCGGTACGTCTCGGAGACGCTGGCGAGGGACGGCGAGGTGGGCGCGGTCCTGGAGCGTGACGAGGAAGGAGGCGCGCGGTTCGTGGACGAGCTGGTGGATCGCGCGGACGGCGTGTTCCTGTGGGTGCGGCTGGCGGTCGAGAAGATCCTGGAGCGGTCTGCGGGAGCAGCGACGGACGGGGTGGACGGCCTGGCTCGGCTCCTGGCCACGCTCCCGGCGGACCTGGACGCGCTGTTCGCGAAGCTGCTCTTCGAGGACCAGACGCCGGAGGAGCTCGCGCAGACGGCGGCCGTGTACGGCCTGATGCGGACTAGGGAGGAGGCGGCCGACTTTGTGCGCAACGACGACGCCAGCAACCTGACGGTCTGGGAGCTCGCCTTCGCGCTGGACAAGGCGGACGACCAGATGGTCCTCGACAAGCTGGCCGTGGAGGAAGCCAAGGACGATTTTGTCCAGCAGCGCGCCGAGGCGACCATCGAGACGATTCAGAAGAGGTTCTCCGGGCTGCTGGACCTCCACGTCCGCAGCCGCGAGGGCAACCTCCTCCGAGGCAGCAGCAGACCGCGCTCGATGCGAGACCGCGCCCGGGCCAGGGTCGTCTACATCCACCGCACCGTCCGCGACTGGCTCCTCTCCGGGCCCGGCGTCCAGCTCACCCGGCCCGCCGACCTGGACCCGGACCTGCGCCTGCTGCGCTCCTACGTGCTGCAGATGAAGCGCCCGCTCGGCGTCTTCGAGCGCCACCGCTTCCTCGACGACTGGTGGCCCGGCATCACGCTCGCCCTGACCCACGCGCGGCGCGCCGACCCCGCCGACCCGGAGGGCCTCCAGCGGGCATTCGTCAATGAGCTCGACGCCACGGTCGGCCGGTGGTGGCTGCCGCGGCCGCGCGACCCGCGCGACCACTGGGCGCGCGCCGCGTTCGGCACGTTCGAGACGCGCGCCAAGGCGGCGCCCATCGGGCGGCCGTTCCTGTGCCTGGCGGTGCGCTTCGGCCTGCGCGCATACGTCGCCGCCGAGCTCGCCGCGCGGCGGCAGGAGAAGGAGGAGGAGGAGGAGGAGGAGGAAGACGATGCTCCATCGGAGGAGGTGCGCGCGCTGCGGGTGGACGATGCGGTGCCGCTGCTGGCGTATGCCACGGAGTTTTCGTGCTCCCGGCGGCAAACGGTCTACCCGGCGTCGGACCCGGCGCTGGTGGAGACGCTGCTGCGGGCGGACGGCGGAGAGGGTCCGGACAGCAGGTACCGCGACTTTGCGACGCGTGCGGAGACGACGACGTGGCTGGCGATGCTGCGGCACCTCCGGGATGCGCGGAGGAGGAGGTGGATCGGGCGCTACGACGTGGACGGCGACGGCACGCGGAGGTGGGCGAGGGTGGTGCGGCTGCTGCTGGAGGTGGGCGGTGCGGACCCGCGCGCGGTGGTCAAGGCGGACGCGTGGGATCCGGAGATCACGGCGGAGGGCGTGATGGAGATGCTGGACGAGACGTACAATGACGTGGAGATTCGGGGATTGAGGGACTTGCTGCGTGGCTTGCTGCGGGAGACTGGGGAGCAGCCTGATCAACAGGTCCAAGGAACACCCTAGCCATCCTTGAAGTATTGTATTTAGTTTAACAGGTCGCTCATCTTGGGCATCTTGGTTCAGTGTATTTTGCTCCCTTCTTTTATTACGGAGCCGGTACTGTTTTAGCCTCATTATTGTCATTCATCCGGAAAAGGAGGCCACTTCGTTAGATGTTACTGCATATACTGATGGTTAAAATATGAGGCTTATGGATTCAGCATTTGTCCCTTATCAGACCCAGTCACCATTGTTGCCTGCCAAAGGCGGCCTAGTCTGTCAAAGAAGACGTTAAAGATCCGGAGGTGAAGCCAGTGCTTTGTCCGGTAGCTCCGAAGACGGACCAACGGTATAACTAGAACCGGAGTAACGACTTGGATGCATCTACAGATCACATGCAGTATCACAGTATCATCGATCAATGACGAGCTCGAGCTAGCGAGCTTCCGGCGTAATGGAAGCTGAATTAAAGCCCCCAAAAAGCAACCTCTTTGACTCTTCCTCACGAACTTCCCCGCGAAATTCCCCACAAAGATAGCGCGTGTGGGAAAAGACCATGCCGTTGGGCTAATATTAGGTATCAGTTATCTCCTCGAGTCGTCCAATGGCTTGCAAGTTCTGGACCAGCGGCACGCCACAGCAGGCACCTGGGACCTTTTTGGGGTAGTAAAGGTTTCTCAACCTAATCAGAGACTAAATCTGTTGGTCACGGCAATTGGTAACACAATCGACTTCCCCTCTATACAATCTGATGACGACGCTACAAAGAGGCCCTTGTCCGTAACCACCTTTGTAGTCATAGGAACCGGGGTCCCCAATTCCATTACAGCATAATTTACCCCAAAGGCAAGCCACTCCTGTGAGAAGTGAGCGATGCTGTCAGACAGATTTGGGGTGAAGTTGGGGGAGTTTGGCGCGGCCCGGTGCCGGCCAAATCTTGAACAAGAGGCAGATAGACTCATGTGAAACGGCCCGTAGTGAGCTGAGGAACCATTGTTGGCCGTCTTATTGTATTTTACGTAAAGATCGGCGGGGTTAACCAAAGAGAGCAGGTACGTAGAACTCAGATGGTCTGCTTAATAGATGTAGAGGACGTGAATTGGCCGATCTAGGTGTCTTTCCTGAACAGTTTGCCGACGTGAAGTTGACGATCATGGCATATGGCATCACTTCGAGAGGTAAACCGGTCGACGTCGACATGTATGTATAAAGCTTGAGCCCCGTGCCGACACGAAAGATGAAGGAACCTCCTCATCGCCTCGTTCGCAACGACCAAACCCGACAAACCAGCAACTCAGATAGCTTCTTCGTCTTCTTCCCGCAATGCTCACCAAGATCGCCAGCACCGCCATCGCGGCGCTCTCCCTCGGCTCGGTCGTCCAGGCACGCCCGGGTAAGAGCCTGGCCGAGCGCAGCAACATCATCAACAACGTGTGGTGCGGACCCGTTCTGGCCAAGACGGCGACCTCGGTCTCGGCCGTTTGGACCGTGCCCAAGGCGACGGTGCCGTCGTCTGGCGGTAGCAAAGACCTCATGGCCTACCAGTGGGTCGGCATCGACGGCGTCGGCGGCTCGCACTGCGGCAGCGCTCTTCTCCAGGGCGGAACCGCTCAGGTGGTACGTCTGGCCGTCTCTATCTATCTATCTCTCTCTCTCTGTCCACCTGGCTTGACGCGCAAATGCTGACATGTTTTCTGGCTGCAGTACAACAGCAATGGCGGCTTCACCTACGACTTCTGGTTCGAGTTTTACAGCCCCGACAACACGTCCTCGTGGCACATCCAGGACCCGGTCGGTATGTCATCTATGCCATCCCCGGAGGAAAACAATACCGACTTCCATAGCAGTGAACTGACAACCGGAAACAGTCAAGGCCGGAGACCAGGTCCGTGTCACCGCCTCGGTCGACAACGACTACCACGGCACCATGTAAGTCGGGCCTTGTTCCTTGACGGGGCTTCCCCCAACTGACAATTCATCACCAGCTTCTTCGAGAACCTGTCCCGCGGAACCACCCACACCGAGTACGCCTGGTCCGCCAACACGCCTCTCTGCTACGAGCACGTCGAGTGGATCCAGGAGGCTCCTGTCAGCCTGCTGCCCAACTTCAAGGACTTCAGCTTCACCCAGATGACCGCCTCCGATGCCAACGGAAACACCTTCAACGCCGCCGGCTCCGACCTCTGGTACCTCGACTCCAAGGGCGCCAAGTGCTCCGCCTCCCTGACCGACAATGGCGACACCGCCATCATCACCAACAAGGTGGCCCTCCACTAGAGAGGCTGCTTTCAAAATGTCTATTTGCGAGTGCGAGTCGAGTGGCAAGTCTAGTTGCGACGTATATATAGCTTCGGTTGAAGCATGGGAAACAACAAGAAAATATTGTGGTTGAGATTTGTTCTTTTCGAGTTTTGTGATTAAAGCTGTACGAGTAACCTACAACACCATAGCCAAGCGAGTCTTTTCCTTTCTAAGTTGGCCCCGTCAATGGTGGTGGCTGGCCGGGTATAAAGTGAACATTCGGTGCATTTACTTCTAGTAGCCTCTAGTATCCTTCCCTTCTATTTATCAAATTCATCAATCTTTCCCCGTTGCTAAGCCGCGTCAAATTCTCCAGCAGAACCTCAAACACCCGCTCCATGTACTTTGACGACTCGCCGCTCACGTGTGGCGTGATTGTGACATTCCTCGCCCGCCACAGCGGGTGGTCCGCCGGCAGCGGCTCCGGGTCCGTCACGTCCAGCGCCGCGCCGCGAATCACGCCCCCCTCCAGCGCCTCCACCAGATCCGCCGTATTAACAATAGGACCCCGGCCAACATTCGACACGAACGCGCCGCGGAGGGCGGCGAACTCGCGAGCGGCGAGGCGGCCGCGCGTCTGGGGCGTAAGCGGCAGCGCGACGACGAGCAGGTCCAGGCCGGAGCTGAGGAAGGCGTGCAGCTCGGCGGCGGAGGCGCCGGCGAACCAGCGGTCCGGCAGGAGGCCGTCAGGGTCGCCGAGGCCGGGAGGCGCGTAGGAGGGATCGCGACGGGAGGAGGGCGTGCGTCGCGGGTGCAGCGTGTAGGCGTGGACGGTCATGCCGACGGCCTTGCAGACGCGGGCAACCTGCCGCCCAACGCTGCCGTAGCCGAGGATGCCCCTGGGGAGATTGATCGGGTTAGTGGGATTGAGAGCGCGGGAGGAGGGTGAGAGCGAGGGAGGAGGGTGAGAGCGAGGGAGGAGGGTTTGGAGTGTTCCCACCGGCCGTGGCGTTGATTTTCGAGGTACTCGGGCACTGAAAATGTCAGCATGTTGTCTGGCGGGTGAGTGATGGGCAAGGTGGACTTACAGCGATGCTGGAAGGCGAGAAAGGTGCTCACCACCCATTCGGCTATCTGAGGTCTGCAAAAGGCACCCTCAGCAAATTGTAATCATTCAGCTAGTTTTGGGGTTTCATACCCATGGACACCGCTTGCGGTGCAGAATGCTATCTCGGTGTCGTCAAAGATGGGCTTGCCGACCAGACCATCCGCGCCGGCCGATGTCAGCTGGAACAGCTCCAGCTTCCCAGCCTTGTCAATGGAGGGCAAATTGCGACCACTGCCGAGGGCCAGCGTGGCCCCCTCCCAGGGGTCCGTTGCGTCCGCGTCAAAAGGCTGCACTTGCAGGTCCGGGAACCGGGCACGGAGGCGAGGCAAGGCGTCCTCGGGGAGGGCACGGGGGTCGGTGATGACGAGCTTGTGGCCTTTGAGGGTCTTGTTTCGGGGCGGGAGCTTGATGAGAGTCATTATTGGGAGTTTCTGGGCTTTCAATTCGGCGTCTAGTGGGATGGATGATCAATGATGGTGACGATGGGTTATATACAAGTCTGTCTGTGGTGAGGCATGAGACGCGGGGTCCGACTGGCACGTCATATTACGGCGGATGAGCCTGTAGGGAAACCCCTGTAGGGGAATAGCTAGGGGCACGCATGGTGAGTTGGAGAGTGGCCGCAACTCTGCTCTGCTGCAATGATTACTAAAAATAAAAATGCAGAAAAAATCAAACAATCGTATCTGTGTTGACTTTTACTCCGAGTCGAGGGTTGCTAGTCGACTACAAGACAGCCGCGTTGTGTCCAACAAGCGTAAGACAGGAAGGGACATCCCGTAGCTGTACGGGATACGGATACAGGGTCCCGGATCCGGGTCTCGGGTCCGGTAGCCGGACATCTTGGTAGCCGGACAACTTGCAGGGCGACACTGCACTTGGGAGGTCTAGACATATGTTTGCCAGTATTTAATACTAATATCCTGCAAGTAATGACAAGGCATGCCTTGAGCATTTCTACAACTTATTGACGATTTGACGGGCAGGGGACTCAAACCGTTGCAAGCACAACGTTGTACTTGGCTTGCCCCTGTAAAGTCTCACCCAGGCCCCTGTGCGACCCCCGCGGAGCCCGCCTGTGACAGAAGCCGGTTGCGCTATAAACCCCGCTAAAAAACCAGGATCGATGCCCCCTCCAGCGCTATTTGCTCCATCTTCCCCGCTTGAGGCGGTCCCCACCAGCCACCTGAAGCTTCCGCCGCCCGCAAAGGTGCCCAAGGTTGCAGCCTCACCCGCACCTTGCCAACGAACAAATAAAGACACTCCGCCGACCTCGCCTCCTCACCACCCTACATCTTTTGCTCCCCGTTCTGCTAGTTGCCAACTTGAGGGCAGAAAAGCCGCATATAGCAGGACACACCTCACACCATCAGCCAAGATGCGAGCCGCCTCGCTGCAGCTCCTCCCGGCCGCCGCCGTTTGCCTGGCCGGGACCGCCGCCGCCGCCTTCCACCAGGCCGTCCCAGCCTACCTCTCGACCGCCTCCGCCTCCGCCCCCGCCGCCGCAAACCTCCCCGACATCAGCCCGCACATCAAGGCCTACAACCTCTCCGTCCCCGTCGACCACTTCCACAACGAGTCCAAGTACGCGCCGCACTCGCACGACACCTTCCCGCTGCGGTACTGGCTCGACACCACGCGCTACCGGCCCGGCGGGCCCGTCATCCTGCTGCACTCGGGCGAGTTCGACAGCACCGGCCGCCTCGCCTACCTGGACCACGGCATCGTCAAGATCCTCGCAGAGGCCCTCGGCGGCGTCGGCGTCGTCCTCGAGCACAGATACTACGGCACCAGCTGGCCGGTGCCGGACGCCAGCGCGGCCAACATGCGCTTCCTCACCACGGACCAGGCGCTCGCCGACACGGCCTTCTTCGCGCGCCACGCCTCCTTCCCCGGCCTGGAGCACCTCAACCTGACCGCGGGGGAGGCGGCGCCGTGGATCATCTACGGCGGGTCGTACGCGGGCGGGCTCGCGGCGCTGGCGCGCAAGCTGTACCCGGACGTCTTCTGGGGCGCCATCTCCTCGTCGGGCGTCACCGCGGCGGTGGAGCGCTTCTGGCAGTACCACGAGGCGTTCCGCAACTTTGCGCCCGCGGGGTGCTCCGACGCGCAGCAGGCGCTGACCGACATCATGGACAGGATCCTGTTCGGGGAGGACCGCGCGGAGGCGGAGGCGCTGAAGCGCATGTTCCACCTGGACGGGCTGCGGGACGACGAGTTCGGGTCGGTGGTGAGTGGCGCGCTGGGAGGGCTGCAGGCGACGAACTGGGCGACCGAGGACGACGAGGACGCGCTGGCCTTTTACTGCGCGGCCATCACGTCGACGGCGCGCCTGTTCGCGAGCACGGCGCACCTGGAGGACAAGGCAAGGCACTTTGCGAGGCTGGGCGGGCGAAGCGGGCGGGACCTGGAGCGGCGGACGGCACAGATGCTTAACTGGGCGGGCTACGTGCGCAACATGAACAAGAAGGCGAAGCGGTCCGGCTGCAAGGGCCAGTCCAACGCCGAGTGCTACTCGAACCGCCACGTGCCCGATGACACGACCGTCACCAACGACATGTCGCGTCCCTGGCTGTGGCAGACTTGTACAGAGTGAGTCTTTTTTTTTTCTTTTTTTTTGTTCTTTTTTTGGCCTTTATCTCCGGGTCTATGAAAAGAATTCCTAACAACTGCGAACAGATGGGGTTACTTTCAAAACGGCGAGCACGTCCCCTCCGACCGGCTGCCGCTCCTCTCGCGCGCCGTCACCGTCGAGTACTCGACCGTCAACTGCCGACGCTTCTTCAACATCACCACCCCGCCGGACGTGGACGCGATCAACCGCCACGGCGGCTTCGGGATCAGCTACCCGCGGCTGGCCGTCATCGACGGCATGCAGGACCCGTGGCGCGCGGCGACGCCGCACGCGGACGGCCAGCCGGGGCGCGCGTCGACGACGGAGCGGCCGTTCCTGACCATCGACTGGGGCGTGCACCACTGGGACGAGTTCGGCGCGCGGGAGGGGGCGACGGAGGGCGGACTGCTGCCGCCGCGGCAGGTGGCGGAGAATCACCGCCGGCAGGTCGAGTTCGTGACGGCCTGGCTGG